CGGGCGGGGACGCGGGGACGGGGACGCGAGGACGGGGACGCGGGCCTGGCCGCCTGGGCCGCAGCAGGGCCTGGGCCTCCCCGCGCGCAGACCCACCCGGTACCACAAGGGTCGCCCTCCTCTCCGGCGGCTCAGGGCGAACCCGACTCCCTGTGCCCCGACAAACCGCGCAGCCTCTCCCTCGTCCCACCTCCCCGTTCCCGTCCTCACCCTAGCAGGGCAGCAAACCCCTCTCCCGGTGGCTTTCTCACCTGTCACTGTGAGAGACTTGCACCTGCCTCTGTCTTACCCTCTGATTCCATCGCTCCCGTCCCTTCCTTTCCTCTCTGCTCTCGTGCAGTGTCTTCCCCCTGTTCTCAGCACCCCTCCTGGGCCTTATCTCTCCTTACCTGGGAGTCTGGAGTCGTCCCCCGCACACCTGGCTCACACCTTGCATAGTTACACACATGACTTATTTCCACACACAGACACCTGGGGATACACCTCTCTGAGTCTCCCACTCCCTCTCTCTCTGTCACACACGCCAGCCCTGCACTCTCCAATGCTCTCTGAAAGACATTCATAATCACCTCTTCCTCCCCAAGCCCCCTCCCCACTACCACCCGGCCTCCCACACTCAGAGAGGCCCAAGAGGCAGCTATGGACACTGAATTTCTGGAGTGTGTCTTGCACCCCAAATGGAACTCAGTGCAGTCTTCTGAGAGGGACAGAGGAAAGGATGGTGCCTAGAGAGACACATAGCTCTCGTTTTCCACCTCACCTGCTCCTTTTAGGGTTGCCCATCTGTAAAATGGGAGCAGGGCTGGGGATGGGAGCAGCGACACAAGCACCTGCCTGGCAAGTGCAAGGTCCTGAGTTCGATTCCTGATGCCCCCGCCCCCAAAAAAAGGAGCAGGACAATTTCCTCATTCACCTACAGAATCCACTATCACAGGGCTGCAAGGCCCACCAAAGGTCGCTCCGTTCAACTCCTTTTTAAAAATTTTTTGGTGGTGCTGGGGATTGCACCCAGGGCCTCGAGCATGCTAGGAAAGTGCTCAACCACTAACTACACCCTAGAAGGAGGTCAGCTCCTTAAGGCCCCTCCCCACCAGCTCCATTGTTTCCTCAGTCTCATCTCCCCACCTTCATTCCAGAACCCTCAACCCTGCCTCACCATCCCTGCCATGGCCCTCACTGCCCTCCAAACTCCTGATCCCCCATATCCCACACGGTGGAGGGAAAAGCTTTGCAGATTGGAAAAACAGGTCAGTTCATCATTTCAAGGAAGGATGACAATGTCCTTCCCCATGAAGATCCCTTCTCCTCATGTCCCCAGGGGGACACCATGACCTGTTGAAGGATGTCTTGTGCCTTCATATCCCACCCCGCCCTCTGATCAGGGGCCTAGATGCTTGGGTCCGGTTGAATCACCCCATCCCAAGGGAAGTCAGGAATGTCCTTCCCACCTGATGTATAGTCACTGTCCTCTTTGGGAATCCCCAGCCTAAGTAACTTCCCTGCCGCTCTCTTCTGTTTGTGACCCTCCAGGGTGATTCTGAGGGCACTGCAGCCTGCATGTAAAAAGTACAGGGGACAGAGGAGGGCGCAGATCCTGGCCCCATCCTGGACTGGGATGGCAGAGATCTCAGAAAGTCATCTCTTTTGGCCCTCTGCCCGCACACATGCAACATGACAGACACATAGACACAGACTCACACTGACACACCAGCACACAGACATGGAAAGAGATGCACATTCATGTAGAGGGATGCACGTACAGAACCACACGCAGACATACCAGATGCACACACTTTCCCTGGGTAACGTGTCCCTCAGTTGGGACACTCACCCTGATGTCCATTGTCTGTGCAGACACAGAAAGGTGTGGCCGTCCACCCTCCCCAGACCTGTGGCCCTGGTCACTCCTCCTGCTTCTTAGGGTGCTCCCACTAGCCTGCTGTCCCCACTTACCCTGCCCTGCCCCTCTGGAGTGGTCACAGGCTGTCGTCCTTCCTAGGTCCATGTCTTGAGTCCCTATCTTGCATCCACCCCTGGGCTCGCATCCTGGACCCTAGGCCCCATGGTGGGGTGAGCATGTCAGCCAGCCGTGCACCCCTCACTTAGCACCCCCAAGAGGCTGTCCAGCACCTCTGCATTCCCTTGTCACATCGCCACGGCTGTCAGCAGGTCACTCTGCTGTGGGCCTCCCGTGGGTCACCCTCTGGTCAGTAGGTCTTCCCCTTTCACCAAGCCTGGCACGCACAGCTCTTTGGGCATTTTGTGGCACAGGAGGTGCAGAGACCCAACGGGCCTTTCTGGCCCGGTCTCCGGTACAGCAGCGTAGGTTCGGGTCCTGTGTGCTCCCTTGGGTAGCGGGTCCGCCCCACGAGTTAGCTCGTGTCTCTTTGGCCTGTGTCCATGCCATTGTCCTCTCCTCTCCACCTGTGCTGCGCTGCTGATTCCAACATCTCCCCTGTGCGGTCTGTGACCCCCCCATTGACCCCCACCCCCAGGCGCATCCCGCAGGTGGTGGACCCCCTCCTTGTGTGCAGGTGTCGGGGCCCAGCCCTCACTGCTGCTCCCCACCCCCAGGTAGATGGCCCCCCCAGGGCAGGCCCTGCGGACACCCCTCCCTCCGGCTGGCGGATGCAGTGCCTAGCGGCCGCTCTTAAGGACGAGACCAACATGAGTGGGGGAGGGGAGCAGGCCGACATCCTGCCGGCCAACTACGTGGTCAAGGACCGCTGGAAGGTGGTGAGTGCCCGGAGCGCGGAGGAGGGGGTGAAGACTTGGAGGGCGGGTGCCCCAGGAACGAGGCGTCCCCAGCTCTCGGCATCCAACTTCCAGGCCTTATGTTGCGCACACGTGCAGACCCTCGGCTGCTCGCGGCACCCTCGACCCCACCCCTGTCGCCCCCTCCCGCGGGGTCGCGTGGGCCGGGTCCGCCTGGAGCGACTCCTGGTTGGACGCAGTGGCCCGAGCCGCAGAGCCCCGCGCCGGGGGTGGGGGGGCTCGGGCGCTGTCCCGGCCGGACCTTGTGAAGGGCAGGGAGGAGCGCGTTTCTCGCTTGCGCAGGGCCGGAGGTGGGGTTTGGGGACCCAGGCCTGGGGCGCCCCCGCCCCGCGCTCCCTCCCGGCCCTGCGGCAGGTGCAGAGCTCTCAGCTCCCGTACCCGCCCGCCGCGCGGCATGATGGGGGCTGTAGTCCGCCCCGCGGGTGGCGGGGCGGCGGGGCCACGTGGGGTCGGGACGAGGCTACTTTGGACACCAGGCCTGAGGGCGATCAGACCCCCGTCCCCTCCCCTTCTTCCCACTGATTCGAGCGCCGCAGTGTCCTCTGATCTCTCCGGGGACGGTGGTGTCAGGGGAGCAGTGTGAGAGTGGGGTCCGCAGTGCGTGAGGACGAAGGGGGGTTGAGGACAGCAGAGGTCAGGCTTGCACTGAGTGTGTGCGCGCGCGTGTGTGTACGTGTGTGTGTATGTGTGTGTGCTCGCGCGCGCGCGCTCGCGCGCCCGAGTGGAGGGGAGGCTCAGCTCACCAGGGGTGCGGGCTTGGAGGGGAGGGTGGGGCTTGGCTGCAGGCGGGTCTCCATGACAACTGTCACCCGGCGGTGCGCAGGTCCCCTTGGGGTCCGGGGCGATAGGCAAAGGTGGCAAGGCCTTATCAGGGATGGGGAGGAGCGCGGAGAGGAGACTCCAGGGTCCCGGGAGTGAGGGAAGGAATGTGACAGAGACGTCCTCAGAAAGAGCAATGGGACAGATACTGAGAGGCAGCCACGCAGGCCTAAAAGGATGAGGGCCTGGGAGGGAGGAGGCGCCTTCAAGACCCCTTGGGCCGGGCTCCAGAGCCGGTTCCTAGCAGGTGAGGAGGAGGTGTGGAGTGTTCAGGCTGGGACTTTGTGCTCCTAGGGGCCGGGGCAGGAGGAGGGCATGGGGCGGGGGGTGGTGGGGTGGCTTGGAGAAGGGCAGAGAGCCAATTTTGCCAGCCCCGGGTCTCTGCTGTGGAGTGCCAGGTTCCCCCCTTCTCTGTGAAGGATGGGACTGGGACGGGAGGCAGAAATCTGAGCAGGACAAACTGCCCAGAGAGGGGCTGTGGTCAGGAAAAAATGGGACCAGTTGCATATTTAAAATAATCACATCTTATCCTTTCTGAGGGTGCTTCTCAGGATGAGAAGAGCAGACAATAAAGTGTAGCCTGTTGCCTGGTGCTTACATGGGTTTTCTCAACAACCTGGTGGAGAAACTGCTAGTGTCCCTATTTCACAGGTGTGGAAACTGAGGCTGGAGATTAGCTAATTTGCCAAATTCCCTTCGTTATTAGGTGAGACCAGGTCTGTCTGCCTGCTGGGTAACGCAGTCACCAAAAATCAGCCCATCCAAGAATTAGAACCGTAGCTGGAGGGATCTTTGTGACCAGTTCTAGTCCAGCTTTCTTCATCTTCCAGACTCAAGGATTCCCCAGAACTGGGCCCCGAAGCCAGGTCTCCTTCCTGAGTGATGCTGGCCCATGGGTCGTGTTTCTGCCAGGTTAAGGAGGAGAGGTGGACTCAAGACTGACAGAGGGGGGCTGAGTAGAACCTCCCATGAGAGGGTTGTGGGGGACTGGGTGGGGACTCTCCTGAGTCCTAGGGACTCTCTTCTTCAAGGGCCCCTTCTTCCTTGATTGAGTTGTATTTTATGGCTGCACTAGTGTGAAAAGGAAATGTTTGTAGTATGCATACATTTTTCTCCCTGACCTAAAAGATCATGTTTTTCCTTTTCTGATTTTGGAAAAATGAAAGCTTTTTTATGAATCCGTAACAGTATCACAGTGCTCCATAGATAGGTGGACCCCACCCTTAGGCGGAGGGTGGAAGGGTGCTGGGGGTGGACAGTGCAGACAGGAGGGGACAAAGAGGAAGGAGAAAAGCTCTACTTAAAATGACGGGGAAGAGGGGCCGGGGATATCGCTCAGCAGCACAGCGCCTGCCTGGCAAGCTCCAGGTCGTGAGTTTGATTCCCAGTACCAAAAAAAAAAAAAAAAGGGGAAAAGAAATCCCCTTCGTGCCCCAGGAAGTTGGGGAGTGGGTGTCAGAAGTGTCTCAGCCATCCTGGGCCTTGGTTCCTTCCCTCCAGTGAGGATGGTGGAGGCCGGCCGGCCCGGGCTTGGACCTCAGCACACACCATGAGTGCTGGTGTAGTCACCACCCTGACCACATCCGGATTCATCTGTGTGGGCTCTGCCTTCACCTGTCCAGGTGCAGATGAACCTGCCAGTGTGGCCTGGTGAACCACTGCGTCTCAGTTTCTCCTCTGTGCACAATGGGGGATTAAATTCCCAGGTCCTTTTCTCTGTGATTACTCACAACAAAGCTAAGAGCAGGTGTGGTGGTGCACACCTATAATTCCAGCACTTGGGAGGCTGAGGCAGGAGGATTGCCATGAGTTCAAGGCCAGCCTGGACTACATAGCATAACCCTTGTCTCAAACAAACAAACAAACCAGACAGCAAAGCTCAGGGATCTGGAAGGTATTAGTGGCTCCTCTGAGTCTAGAGCTGCCTGAGAAAGATGGACATTGTCTCCCTAGAGTTGCTCTGTCCCTCCGGGCCTGTCGAGAGCCTGACTAACTCCCCTCTCCACCAGAAAGATGCTCGGGTTGCTGGCTGTGTTTCCTCCTTCCTCTTTGCTTCCTGGGCACAGGGACCTTTGTGGTCCCACCCAGCCTCTGGCTTTTCTCCTAGATCTTCCCTTCACCGCTCTCTCTGTGGCCCGGTTGCCACTGCCACCTGCTGGAGCTCCTGGCCGTCCCCCAGTGCTGCCTTTGCACTGAGCCCCATCCCCACCCCTTCTCGTTATTTATTTTGAGACAAGGTCGCCCAGAAATGGGCTTGAATTTGTGCTTCTCCTGCCTCAGCCTCCCCAATGCCGAGATTACAGGCGTGCACTATACCAGGCTGTGCTGTAGCTTTCTTACATCAGATTTAGAACTCAGCACTTCTCCTGCTCCCCAGTCACTGCCGACCTGTGTTCTCACCCTTCAAGCCCCCTGGACCTCCAGGCTGAGATGAGTTCTAATCCCTCCCCATAGCTCACTGTGGCTGTGCCCCTGCCCATTCCTTGCCACAGTCCCCCTCTCCTTCTCTCTGCTTTGAGGAGGCTAAATAAAAGGCACGGAGGGTCAGGTTGCTGTTGCTCTCTTCTCTGAAGCTCCTTCCGTCTTGGCGCTTTGCCCCCCCCCCCGCCCGATCTGGGGCGGAAGTCACCCTGGTTCTGGGCATGTACCTAGGGACCAGGAAGTGATGTGGGCATCTGCAGTGGGCATGGGCTGTGGATACCCTCTGCTGAGTCCCCTCTCCTGACTACTGTTTCCCTCAGGTGCCATACTTCAGGAAGCCACCAGCCTGGGAAGTGTGGCCCTCCATGCCCAGGCTGAGAGGTCCTGGGAGCACTTTCTTTCTGCATGGGAGTTGCTCAGGCTCAGGGAGTGTGATGGTGTTGTTCTTCTAGAGAAGGAAAAGTCTGGGACAGCCCTGATGTCCAGAGTCTTACACAGCAGGCCCGCCTCTACGTCTCCACAGAGTCATGGGTGTCTTGTGTTTCCTGCTGCCATCTGCCATCTGCTCTTGTGTGTGTGTGTGTGTGTGTGTGTGCGTGCACATGCACGTATGTCAGGTGTTAGGACAGGGCATTCCTAAGTAGCTGGGTGTGCCGATGGGGCAGAGCAAGGACCTGGTGTCCTTCTCTCCAAGGACCCTGAGTCCCCATCAGCAAGATGCCACCCCTGAGGGCGGGATGAGGATGGGCTCAGCCTGACCCTGAGTGCCCTCCTCCTCTATCTCCATAGCTGAAAAAGATCGGGGGCGGGGGCTTTGGTGAGATCTACGAGGCCATGGACCTGCTGACCAGGGAGAACGTGGCCCTGAAGGTGGAGTCGGCCCAGCAGCCCAAGCAGGTCCTCAAGATGGAGGTGGCCGTGCTCAAAAAGCTTCAAGGTACAGGCCAAGGGGATGGGAGGGAGGAGGCCATGGAGCCAGGGGCTGGAGAGGCTGACAGGCCTCGCAGGTGGAGGCAGAGGGAGGCGGGGCCACGGGTCCTTGAGTGTTAGAGAGATTATAGGGCTGAGGGCAGGCGGAACTGGGGGCAGGGCCAGCACTGGCCCAGGTGGGGAGCGGGGGAACCAGAGCGGCCAAGAGCTTCCAGGAGCTGGAGGGGAGGGGAAGTGCAGGCTCTGGGAGGCCCCCTCTGTGTCCCCAGGGAAGGACCACGTGTGCAGGTTCATCGGCTGTGGCAGGAACGAGAAGTTCAACTATGTGGTGATGCAGCTGCAGGTGCGTCCGCTCCGGCCTCCTTCTGTCCCCTCCAGCTGGGCTGGGTCTCGGGGTGGGAGTAGGGAAGACAGGAGCCTGCCGTTGCCAGGATGGGAGGACCACACAGCTGGGGGCAGGGCTGGTGTCACAGGATGTGGGACCCCCTGCCACCTGCTCCTAGGGCCGGAACCTGGCCGACCTGCGCCGCAGCCAGCCGCGGGGTACCTTCACACTGAGCACCACCTTGCGGCTGGGCAAGCAGATCCTGGAGTCCATCGAGGCCATCCACTCAGTGGGCTTTCTGCACCGAGACATCAAGCCGGTGAGCCAGTGAGCGCCGCCCCGCCCAGCCCTCCTCTCCCTGGTGTCCCCTAGCACATCCCTGCCCGCTCCTCTGTGTCTCTCTGAGGTTCCTTCTGCAGCCCTCACCCCCACCTGGGCACTCCTTGAACCTGGGAAGGGCTCACAGCCACTGTCCCCCCAGTCGAACTTCGCCATGGGCAGGCTGCCCTCCACCTACAGGAAGTGCTACATGCTGGACTTCGGGCTGGCCCGGCAGTACACCAACACCACGGGGGATGTCCGGCCTGTGAGTACTGCTGCAGACCCGGGTGGGACTGTCTCCAGCTTCTCTCACAGCTGCCTGAGCTGGCTTGGCCTTGTCTTCAGTATTAGCACCCCTACTCCAGGGGCCCCTGACTGTGCTCCTCTCTCCCAGCCTGGGCTCTTGGCAGAGGCTACATCCATAACTGGGTCCTTCTTTCAGCCCATGGTGGGCAGTGAGCAGGCATAGGCTCGGGTGTCAGAGGGCAGAGCTGCGCTTGGGAACAGGGCTGAGGTGTGGCTGAGGTCGGGTGCAGCAAGTGATGTGCTTGCTGGTGTCTCTCTTCGGCAGCCTCGGAATGTGGCCGGGTTCCGGGGAACTGTGCGCTATGCCTCCGTCAATGCCCACAAGAACCGGGTGAGTGGCGAAGCCTGGGCGAAGGATTGGGTGGGCAGAGTGGGTGAGGTTAGTGCGGGGCATGCTGCTGATCTTGGGGCTAAAAGGAGGGGAGGAGTCTCTCTTCGGCCTCTTCTTTTTTCTCCAGAGCAATCCCTGTACGGCCAAAGCACAGAGGCATTTTGAGTAGGGGATTCCCAAAGTCTGAGGATCAGAGATAGAACTTAGGCCTCAGGGAGACCCCAGCTTTGCCAGTAAAGGCTAGGTACCAGGTGGATGTGTCCTCCCCCGCAGGAGATGGGCCGCCACGATGACCTGTGGTCCCTCTTCTACATGCTGGTGGAGTTTGCAGTGGGCCAGCTACCCTGGAGGAAGATCAAAGACAAGGTGAGGTCCCTCCCTCCCCATGGGCCAGGGAGACCGAGGGTGGAGGTGGCCGGGCTCCACTGTCCCCTCTGCCTGCAGGAGCAGGTGGGGATGATCAAGGAGAAGTATGAGCACCGGATGCTGCTGAAGCACATGCCCTCCGAGTTCCACCTCTTTCTGGACCACATCGCCAGCCTCGACTACTTCACCAAGCCCGACTACCAGGTGGGAGCCTGCATGCCACCCCCACTGCCTGCTCCTGCCTAGTACATCTCCCTGTCTTCATTGTTTTTTTTTTTTCTTTTCTGTGGTTCTGGGGATAAACCCAAGGCCTTCACACTGAGCTACATCCCAGGCCTTCTCATTTTCTTATGTTTGATTTTGAGACACGGTCTTGCTAAATTGCTAAATTGTCCAGGCTGGGTTTGAACTTGCTATCCTGCCTCAGCCTCCCAGAGTGCTGGGATTAAAAGTTTGTGCCACCATGCCCAGCTTCCGCCTGTCTTCCAACTCCACTAGATTCTTTTGTGACCTTTTTTGTTTGTTTGTGTTTGCTTTTTTGAGACAGGATCTCGCTATGTAGTTCAGGCTGGCCTTGAACTCACTATGTAGCACAGTTTGGTCTCAAACTCCTGGTGATTCTTCCACTTTAGCCTCCCAAGTGCTGGGACTATAGGCATGTGCCACCACACACAGCCTCCTGTGACCTTTTAAATGGGAGCCCCAGCTAAGATTTATCAACAGTTGACCCTGTTCTCAGTGCATTCCTCAAATTAATTCATTCAAACTTCAAAAAAAAGCCTTTGATGATACTGAGTATTCCCTGTATTATCATTCCAGTGCTTAATTTCTGAAGCCATACCATTCATGGAGGAACAGGCCTATGATCCTGGCATTCAGGAGGCTGAGGCAAGAGGATTATGAGTTCTAGGCCAGCCTGGGCTACATAGTGAGACTCTGTCTCAAAAAAAAATTCCTGAAGTCAAATGCATTGGTGTCCTTTACACCAGAATCCTGCAGGGGGCTAAGTGGGGTGATTGCTCTCATTTCATAGATGGGGAAACTGAGGTATGATATCATGATTAAGAGCAAGGGTGGGTTCAGGTATAGTGATGTATCACTTAAGGACACGTAAGTCACCGTTGTGTGACCCTCACAGGGCACGCTTACACACATACCAAGAAGGCCTAGCTGTTGCTCACCTGAGCCGTATTGCATGTGCAAAGATCGTAGCATGTGTGTCACATGTTTCAGCACACTGCTCCTAGAGCCATGATGCCCAAGAAAGAGTAAACCAAGTGGAGGAAATGAGGCAAACAGGAAATAAAGCCCCAGGGGCTGTGTGAGTGGCTGCGTAACACAGCACATTTACAGTGGACCTCTTTATAAGGAGAGGTGCGCACCGCCCGGGGTGGTTGGTACAGGCACCTCTTGGGGTCCCCCAGGCCACACAGCTTCATTCACCTCCCATGCTGGGCCCTAAACGGGCTGCTGAGGAGGTAGAATCGGAGGAAGGCACAGCCCAGTGCCGAGAGGGAAGCTGGGGCATCAGAGAGGAGAGGAGGCTGCCTTCCAGGGGCATCTCCCACGGGGAAGCTCCGGAGGTTCTGCTGCGATGGTGGAAATGACAAAGGAGTTCGAGGATAGTAATCAGGGGACCAATCTCAGAGGACCTGTGTCCAGCTGGTGGGGCATAATCCAAGATGCTAATTTGCATGCTGATTTGCATATCTCATGCATGTTTTCATTTAAAATCAATGTGCCATTCTCCTTCCAATGCCCCATCCCAGAAGGCACCTCTCTTCCCTTCCCCCTGCAGTCCCTGCAACTCCCCCTTGTGCCTGGCCAGCCCCGGGGTCACCTCTCTGTCCTCCCCCACCCCGCCCCTGCAGTTGATCATGTCGGTGTTTGAGAACAGCATGAAGGAGCGAGGCATTGCTGAGAACGAGGCCTTTGACTGGGAGAAGGCGGGCACTGACACCCTCCTGTCCACGAGCACCTCCACCCCGCCGCAGCAGAACACCCGGCAGACTGCAGCCATGTTTGGGTGAGTCTTGGGGTGACTGGGGAGCTGTCCTCCTGCACCTGGATGTGCGTGGCTGTCTCGCCCCAGTAGGTGCTTCACAGCAGGGTTCTGGAACTTGAATGGTTCTGCTGCACTAAGTGGGGTGAGCTTCTCATTTGGAGCTTGTGACCCCAGCTCAGGAGCAAGGAACCTTCCGTGAACGACCCGAGCTCCAAGGTGCTCATTACTGTGCATCCCGAGACCACACACGAATGTCTGTGACTAACAGTCAGAACTGCAGGCCCATGTGGCAAGCACCGAGACCAAGGTGGCCCAGGAAAGGGCTCTCCACCCAGCCCGGGGCTACCTCTAAGGCGGAGGCTCCCCAGGACTTGCCATGGCGCCCAGATCTGTAAAGAGGTGGCTTAATGACTCCAGAGTGGTCCTTCCTTTTAGACTCAGTCTTGGGTCTAAAGAACCCAGGTGCTGATCCCACTGGGAATCTGCCAAGGCCTAGAAAGACACGGGGTCTCCTGAGGAAATAGAGCTGGGATGTGTGGCATCTGGTCTCAGAAGCCTCATGGGGCAGTGCTGGGCCCAGGACGCTGCATCCCCTGCCGGGGAGCCTTCTCTGTGCCTCCTCGGGTGGCCTCCAGAGCCTGTTCTTGTGGGAGGGGCTTTGGGAGCAGGGGAGCCCTAGCCAGCCCCGCTCCTAACCCCACCTGGCCTCTCCAGAGTGGTCAACGTGACGCCCGTGCCCGGGGACCTGCTGCGGGAGAACACAGAGGACGTGCTCCAGGGAGAGCACCTGAGTGACCAGGAGAACGCTCCCCCCATCCTGCCTGGGAGGCCCCCTGAAGGGCTAGGCCCCGGCCCCCACCTCGTCCCCCACCCTGGGGGTCCTGAGGCTGAAGTCTGGGAGGAAACCGATGTCAACCGCAACAAACTCCGGATCAACATCGGCAAAGTAATTGAGCCAGGGAGAAGGGCTCAGGCCTCCCCGCCCGCTTCCCAGCCCTCAGCCCCAGCCCATTCCTCCTGGGCACCTTCTCCCAGCCAGTGGTCTCTGAGCAACCCCCTGACGCGTGGCACCCCTCCTGCAGACCCCCTGTGTGGAGGAGGAGCAGAGCCGAGGCGTGGGGGTCCCCAGCTCCCCGGTGCGTGCACCCCCAGACTCCCCGACGACCCCAGTGCGTTCTCTGCGCTACCGGAGGGTCAACAGCCCCGAGTCGGAGAGGCTTTCCACGGCCGATGGGCGAGTAGAGCTGCACGAGAGGAGGTGGGTGTGGGAGTGGCAGTGCGGGGGGATGGGGCTCCTATGGTCTCTGCTGTCATATGGTGGAGATGTGGAGGTGCTGGAATGTGCTGTAGGGTCCTGCTCAGCTTGGGGTCCCACTTGGTAGGCGTCAGTGATAGCCTGAGAAAGGGGTCCCAACTCTGCAGGGCAGGGCTTGCAGGAGGGAGACCTGGTCTCCTGGTCCAGGAGATGTGTGGCTGGGGATCAGTGTGTTTCCAGGACTCTTCCTAGCCGCTAATTATGGATCCTAAGAGCAGCGGAGGCGGGTGCCTGGGAAGGGAGCTGTGGGAGGAGAAGACAGAGGATGCCACGTTTGGGGATTGAGGCCAAGGGGTCTGAGGGCAGAGTGGGGAGGGTTGTGGGGGTGGAGCATGCCTTTGGAAGGAGGAGGGGCTGGCTAGGGAGAGGGGCCAGGTAGAGCCTCTTCTGAGCTGTTGGTGCAGGGGGCACCAGGTAGAGAAGTACCTGGAAGATAGCCCCACTTTCCTTGGACCCTGAGGGTACTTTGCCCCCAGCAGGCCTGGGTACATATCTGCCCCAGGAAGGTCTTCCCAGGCCCAGCCTCAGGTGAAAGGGGTATCTTTAGGTGCCCAAGTAGTGTCTTTCCTCCTGACCTACCTCAGCATGGCCTCCCGGACTCTGCTCTAAACTGTATCCCCCCTCAAAGATGGGTCTCAGTACCTCCATGGGGTGCCCAAGACTGGCCTGTGTAGGTGACAGTCTTTGACCACCAGGCTGACCTGCCCAGTGCTGAAGACTACATTGGCACCATGTAGACCAGAGGCCCTCGGTGTGGAGGGTTCTGGATGCACTCAGAGAAAAGAGGAAGGGCGGATGGGAGGGGTGTTCCTTTTTTTTTTTCTTTTTTGTCTTTTTTTGAGACAGGGTCTCGCTATGCAGTTCAGGCTGGTCTTGAACTCACTTTGTAGCCCAGGCTGGTCTTGAACTTGCAACGATCCTCCTGCCTCAGCCTCCCGAGAGCTGGGATTACAGGCGTGCACCACCACGCCCGGCTGGGAGGGAGGTTCCTAAAGAGGAGAGAAGAGCTGCCCTCCGTGGGAGCCCTGATCAGGTTGGCTTGGGTCACAGTGAACCCCAGCTTCTGGGAGAGTGGGAAGCAGAGCGTTCTAGGAGGGCAGGTTCAGGATCATACAGCACAGCTGCACACATGTGTGTCTGAGGATGGCACAGATCCCAGATCTTAGTTCTTAGGGTGCCCTGGTGTTCGACAGGTGACGGTTCTTTAAACCGCATCCTCCCACTCCACACACAGAACTCTGGAGGTAGTGTGAGATTCCCAACAACCCCGAGGTAGTGAGAGGAGAGATGTCCGAGGCAGGACCAGTGCCTCCAGGGGTGAGGCTGTGGGGAGCCCGTCCCCACTACTGGCAGAGCTCTCAGCCTCCTGGGGACACAGACAGGAAACAGATATAAATAAGGTCCACTGTTGCCCGCTGCAGGCTGTGCAGGGAACACAGGGACACGTTGGTGATGCAGCGCATATAAAGCCACAAAGGATGAGAGAATGGGCAGTTAGGAAACTGAATTTGAAGTGGTTTTCAATAGGGAAATGGAGAAACGGAGGCTTTATCAGGTCGGGAGGAGCCTTGGATACCAGACTGGAGAACACAGGCTTTGTTCTCGGGGCGAGGAGTTCATCAAGCTGGGGATTCCTGGGGGAGGCGATGTTTGCCCTGGATGCAGCCTAGAGCAGCTGGCTTTAGGAAGATCAGGTTCCCGGGTTCCCCGGGGTCCCCAGGGCAGAGCCAGTGTTCCTGAGGCACAAGAGGTAGAGTTTGTTTTCTGCACATTCCTGTTCACAGCACAGTGAGCACTCAGAAACATTTGCTGAATGAATGAATGAATGAAGGGACAAATGAACAAATGAAGCCTTTCAAGGAAGCAAGGTTGTAAGGTGACAGTGTAGGATGTGGCTGGGCCTGGCGCGGGGTGGCAGCGGTGCTGTGGTCCCGGGATCTCAGAGAGGCTGACACTGACCCACTCAGTGGCTTTGCAGGTCACGGATGGATCTGCCTGGCTCACCTTCGCGCCAGGCCTGCTCGTCGCAGCCGGCTCAGATGCTGTCAGTCGACACGGGCCACGCCGACCGGCAGGCCAGTGGCCGCATGGACGTGTCTGCCTCTGTGGAGCAGGAGGCCCTGAGCAACGCCTTCCGCTCGGTGCCACTGGCCGAGGAGGAGGACTTTGACAGCAAGGAGTGGGTTATCATAGACAAGGAGACAGAGCTGAAGGACTTCCCTCCAGGGGCTGAGCCCAGCACATCAGGGACTACAGATGAGGAGCCTGAGGAGCTGCGGCCGCTGCCCGAGGAGGGCGAGGAGCGTAGGCGGCCAGGGACAGAGCCCGTCGTCCGCCCCCGGGGACGGGGCATGCAGACACTGGCCGAGGAGGACCTGCGGCAGATGCCGCCCCAGCCCCCACCACCCCAGCTGAGCCAGGCGGATGGCCGGTCAGAGATGTCGCAGCCCCCAACGCCCGGCAGCCCTTCCCACTCACCCCTGCACTCGGGACCGCGCCCTCGGCGGAGAGAGTCAGACCCCACAGGCCCACAGAGACAGGTAAGGCTGGGCTTGCACCCCGCTCCCTGTCCTGACGCCTGAGTCCACGCGGACAGGCCTGGGACCCCCCACGTGTGTGGCCTCTGCCACCTGGGAACCCGACAGTCACAGCTGTGATGGAGGGAGACAGGGTTAAGGCCCAAAACCATGCTTGGGGCCCAGCAGAGTCTTCCCAGAGGAAGCGCCCTGCTGCTCCTGAGTGGAGTCTTAGGAGAACAGCCTCCCATGCAGGGGACCCATGCACAAGGGCCTCGAGGTGGCAACAGGGCAACAGGCTGGGCCAGGGCTGTCATGCAGGGCCTCAGGCTGGGCCTAGGGTGGGGGCTGACACTGGAGGCTCCCTGAGCCACTGGGGGTTTAAAGAGGAGCGCGGCGATGGCTGTAGCACTTTTGAGTGATTCCTGGGGCTGCTGTGCAAACAATGACTCAAAGGAGCACAAAACATAGAAGCAGGAAGGCCACATGGTGGGCAACATGGGGAGAAGCCCTGGTGGCCTGGACAAGGGGACATGGGGCAAGGAGTTGGAGCCATGAGGTGTTGGGAGGAGGACAGGAGGGCTGTCATGGCGTGGAGGTAGGGACCTCTGGGTGGGCAGCAGTGTCCCGACTCCGTGACTCTGCAGGGGCGGTGGGTTCAGATTTAGACACAGTGATCTCCGGTATCAAAGGTTGCCACATGGCCATATCCAAGGCTCAGGGGAGAGGTAGGATTTTGGAGCTTTGGAAACTGTTAGAGTGGGTGGTGAGGTCACCTGAGGGGATGTTCAGGGCGGGGAGACCTGAGGGAGGGAGCAGCAGCGAGTCGCTCACAACTAGAGGAGAGAGGAGAAGAAGGAGTCTTTGGGGGTGGTGGAGGAGGGGTGGGGCCATGAGAGGGGCGCCAGGGCAGAAGGGCCACAGGAATGGTGGACGTGGGGGGTGATAGTAGGGAGAGGCAGGAGGCTGCTGCTATGGTCAGTGCAGGCTCCTATGGTCGACACAGGCTGGAGGGACAGTGGAGAGAGTGGACCTGGGTGGCCGGGACTCTGGATTAGGGACGGGCATGTTGCGGGCCGGGGAGGGCCAGGCGGTGCGAATCTCAGTGCTGGACTGAGGGTCTGAAGCCTGCTCCTGGTACTGTGGTTATTCTTTTCTGACAAAGGTAGGATGTCAGAGTAGGCAGTAAGTGCTGGCCCGGCCAGGCTTCTTTGTATGGGGTAGGCCTGTAAGGGAAGTGGACAGTGACCCTTGTGCTGAATGGAGTCCATGATCTTTGGGGCGACTGGGAACCCATGGAAGGGATGCTGGGGCGGGGCTGGTCTACTCGCCGGTCCCATATCGGGGAGGGGTACGCAGGTGCACTGGGCAGTGCCCAGGTGCAGGGCTAGGGGCCAGTTCTTCTGCTCATTCAGGCTGGGAGGCCTGGCTGGGGTCCTGTGGGTGCTTGGGAAAGGTAGCTGTGGGCAGGGGTGGCTTGGCTCCGTCCCTGTCTTGTAGAAAGGCTCTCTGGGCTATGATCCTGGGGAGTGTGCTTCCTGATTTTGCCCTGGAATTTGTGGGGCTCAACACTCAGTCCTTGCTGGCCTGAGTTGTGGCTTCATGCTGGCAGGGTGCGGTGACCTGGTGATGACTGTCACTGTGACCTGGTCATGGCTCCCATCGCAGTGGTGCTGGGTCAGCAGGAGAAGGAGCGGAAGTCATGCAGAGCTCCTCGTGCCCCCATCCTACACCCTCCCCAGCCCCAAGCACAGACTGTATGCAGGTCCCAGAGTGCAGAGCAGGCAGCCCCAGAGGCTCCAGGAAGGGCAGGATCTAGGACGCACGACACACAGCGGTGGTGTGAGGTGCTAAGAGGTCACAGATCAAAGCCCGGGGGCCTTGGTTCTTCTGGTCACTTCCTGGTGACCAAGGACCAGTCGCTGTCCCTTCTGGGGCTTGGAGTGAGGGAGTTGAGCCATCACTGAGATTTCCCTCACCTCATATCCTGCCTGAATCCCAGGAATCATCCTCACCTTGCTGACTTCCAGCTAAGGGGGTGAGGAGAGAGAGATTTGGGGGAGCAGGCCCAGGTCTGTGGTGCAGTCAGGCTCAGGTGTGACATGGCCAGAAGAGGTGAGTTGTGGGCCTTTGGGGGTGAGGTGTTGGTGAGCCTCAGTGTCCCCAGTGTTCATAGACTGAGGTTGCTCAGCTTTCTGCCACCATGTTTGTGTTTATCCGTGTCCTGGCACAGTGAGCTCGAGTGTGCCTAGGCATGTGGCTGTGTCCCACATGTGCACCTGAACATGAGCACACACACAGGCATGTAGGGGGCACATGGCAGGGCTCGAGTGTGCAGGGCACAATGGCTGTGTGGGTGCTCACAGCTGGAAGGATAATGACAGAGAGTAATCATCCTAAGGACGAGGAGGCCAGCTCCAACTTAACCCTGGTCTCAGCGCTATCTGTGTATATGTGTGCTCCCTACCCCAGTACCGTGACCAGGCAACTCTGACTTATAAGGACTGAGGGGCTGGGGATTTAGCTCAGCGGCACAGCGCCTGCGTGTGAGGTTGTGAGTTCGATTTCTGGTACTGAAAAAAAAAAAAAAAAACAAAAACAGAATGGACGGCCTCCCCGATGCCCACTCTGCTTTGCTGTCATTAAAAGGTTAGGGGGCTGAGGCTCTGAAAGGCTCACTTCCCAGCTTAGGTCTCTCCAGCTGTGCAGTGGTAGAGCTGGGACTTGAACCCAGGTGCAGGGCCTATGCTCTGAGCTGTGCAGCCTGAGCCTGTGTGTTTACTGAACAGAGGCACAAACAGACCGAGAAGCAGATTGTCTGTGCAGGGTCAGAGAGTGGCTGGCCGGAATCCCGGGGTTGCCCTGGTAGGTCCCCTGCGTGGTGGCTTGTGTGTACCGTGGAGGACAGATGGGGCAGGATGGATGAAAAGGATGTCCTTCCTCCAGGGCAGTGGGGCAGGAGGTGGGGCTAGTAGAGTCCCCTTTGGAGGTGGTGCATGGCTCTGGCCAGCCCGGGCTGCACACTGGAATGGCTGTCCATGTGGAGTGCTTAGAAATCGCTAGAGACACACCCTGCCCTTGCCTGACCCCAGCTACCTTTCTATGAGGAATCCCTCTGGAAGCCTGGTTGGTGCAATCGCTAATGTGTGATGTGTGAACTTGTCACAGTGTGAGCACAGAACCTATCACCTGTCCCCGTGGGGAACACAGGCATTAGCCACGGTGTTCGGCGTCTGTCGTCCTTTGGTACGTGTGACGTGGTATCAGGGACACTCTCTTTGCACAACCTGGCTTTCTTCTCTTGGGAATTTCAGGTGCGGATTTCCAGGGGCTGGGAGCGCTAGGGCACAGGGTGTGCGGGACAGCGAGTGTGTGGTTTGGGGGAGGGCTGTTTGCTCCAGCGCTGGGCCCCACTGGCTGATAACACAGCAGGTCAGTGCTCCCTGAGTACACAGACTTGCCGGGAAGCTGCCGAAACGCCTCCGTCACAAGGCGGGCAGCGCACCACAGGCTGGGATGAATGAGGCTGGTTCCCAGTCCTTGCCACGCACAGCTCAGGGTCGGGGGGTAGAAGGTGGGGACGCTCATAATCTGGGCCATCAGGAGCAGAGACAGGGGGAGCTGGGGTGGTCTCACAGAGGTGACTTCAGCTGAGAATTGAGCACAGGAGGTGGCTACAGTGGGGTGGAGTATGCTAGGATTCAGTGGCAGCCTCCCAAATCCTCCTGGCAGCTGACAAACTCTGGCCAGGGTGTCAAACTGAAGGTGCCCATGTGTACTATGTCATTCATGGGTACCTCTGTCCCCCAGTCTCTCAGGTGGGCCTCACACCCTGTGCCATCCCTACAGATGGGCCTAGCTTGGCAGGATCCTAACCTTGGCCCTAAAGACAGGTATTCCTGACAGGTGGGACGGGTGAGAACAAGCAGTCCTGTTCTTCCTCCCTCTCTGCAGCAGGCTCCCTGCCAAGTCCCGTGTGTCCCCATTTGCCATCAGCGAGGGACGCTGGAACTGTATCGTCAGCCCCTTAGAGCTGGCCCAGCCACTGCCACAGCACAAGTTGGCTGAACTACCCTCAGTCCCAGGTCAGGGTAGAACAGTCAGTGATACCCGGGCCACCATTTCCATCCCAGGGTGTCGGTGAAGCGGAGTGCTCCCAGGGTGTCCACATGCCTGGGACACAGGGCAGAATTCTTCCCAGCGGCGCTGTGAGAGGGGAGGGGAGAGACACGTCTGAGAAATAGTTTGGCCCCGCCGTCCTTCTCCGCTGTCTACACCTGTCCCCGTTCTGAAGTGACTTCCAGGACACCAGGCCACTCAGGAGCACCCCGCTCCTGCACTAAGTGCTCACAGCCTGTGGGGTGGGGACCTTCTCGCCCCGCCTCACATATGACAAAGCTGAGCTGTGGGGGAGAGGGGCAATAATTTCAGTCACCAGGGAGGAAGCTACGGAGTGGGGGTCAACACTTAGTAGCTGGGCTCTACAGTCCAGCCGCTGTCCCCAGGCCCTGAGGGCACACGGAGCTGGCTGGGGACAGAGGCAGCACATGACACATGGCTGGAAGGTGGCAGGGAGGCCCTCCTGCTGGAGAGGCTCTGCAGCGCAGGGGTGCCAGGAGCTGGGTGGGACCAAGCCAGTTGTCCCCAGCTGGTCCTCAGCTGGTGGGGCACTGGGGCCGGGAGGTGCGCTGTGCGGGGCCAGAGCCCGACCGCCGGGAGGAGGGGATGCCTGGCCGCAGAGGCAGGAGGAGGGCAGGCAGGGTCGCCGGCCGCCGCAGGGGCTGTGCGCGGGTAGCCCCCGAGCTGTGGAGCCGTGGAGTCTGACGCCTCTTTTCCCTCCACTCTCTTGGTCTCTTTCAGTTGGAGGAGGACAGACTCTCGGGGCACTCCCTCCCGCGGTACAGCCCCCTGCGACGACTGGCGTCCTCCGTGTTCTCCTCCTCCACGCTGGAGACGGAGCATTACCCTCACCCCGGCGGCGGCGGCGGCTCTGCGGGCTCCTCCGGCTCCCTCATTCAGCGCAGCCGCTCGGCCGAGAGCAGCCCCGTGCGGGCGCCGCACCGGCGCCACGCGCCCCTGGCCGCCAGCAACCACAGACTCGTGCCCTCGGTGCTCCGCATCTCGCGGTCGCAGCTGCAGCAGGTGTGGGCCCGCTTCACCCACAAGACCTAGGCGGGCCCCCTATGCAGGGGACAGGTGGGGGGCGGGAGCAGGCAGAGACTGTGGTTCCTCCCCAGGACGCAATAATCACCCACACACCCTTCCCACCCCCGTGCAATACGGCCCCTCCCAGAACACTGGCCCAAGGTACTGTAATCTCCTGCCCCCACCCCCGAGTCTCCGTCCCACCCCGTCGTGGCCCTTCGCTTGGTGCCAGCCATGTGGTGCAGGCAGGGGTGGGGTTGGTGGTGGTTTTGAGGATGGCGTAGGGGCACGGGGCTGGAGTCACTTGTGGGTCCAGAGTTTTCTGGAAACCCGGGCACCGGGGAGGAGACCGTGTGTGCTGGGCTGGAGTGGCAGGCTTGGGGCTTGTGCGGTTTATCTAGGATCTCTTGGCATGGCTGGATTTGTGCTCCCCCCGAAAGGCTGGCAGGAGACCCAGACCCTCTCGGTGGGCCACAAGGGTCCAGTTCTGTGGGTATCATCGGCTGCACAGGGCAAGTCACGTGGCCTTGTGAATGGACTAATGGGATGGGCAGTGGGGAGTGGGTAGCCCAGTGGTCCAGCAGGCCTTTCCATGCCACTGTCCTGGAGGCCTGAGCCCCTCCTCCTGCGGGCTATGCCAGGGGCCCAGGGGGCCGTCCATGCTGGCTGCCCCTCCCTGAGACCTCTGTGCCGTCACTCACCGCTAGCGTTGGTTACCCTCGCTCCTCGGAGCCAAGGACAGAGGACAGGGCCTCTAGGGTCTGACCCTAAAGCCGGCTGGACCTCAGCAGCAGGGGCACCCCGTGTAGACACGGTGGAGCAGGAGATTGCTGAGGGTGGGTGTGACTGTCGAGATCTGTGAGCACAGTGGCAAGAGCCGACCCTCTGCCCCTCTGCCTACTCCCTCGGGTAGGTGCTCAGCAGAGCGGATTGCACCCAGGGTGTCGGTGAAGACAGCCGCAGGCGGGCAGGGCAGGTGGGACCTACGATGGCTGGGGCTGCAATGCCTGGCTGCTCTCACCCTCCCTGCCCATTTCCGAGCCCTTAATCTGTCACTGCGGGGACCCCGAGTTTCCCATTTTTCATTCCTGCTCATGCCGACCGGCAGCTCCGTCCCCTGGGGAGCGGAGCGGTGGTGCAGAAGCAGCGGCGGCGGAAAGGATGGGGCCTGTGTAGAGTGGGGAGGAGGCTGGGACTGGCATAGGGTGATTTCAATGAGTTATGCCTGTGTGGGTAGTGGTGTGCATGCACGAGCACCGTGAAGGTTCGTGCTTGTGGCAGGGGTGCCGTGGACAGGTGTCAGGCTGGGCCCGCACAGCTCTGGGGAGGGCCATTTACATAGACCCAACGTGACTGGCCCCCGTTGAGGTTGTGTGGTGCTTTGGTCCTGTGTGCGTGTGCGTGTGTGCGTGTGCGTGTGCGTACACACGTGTGTGTTAGGAAGCCAGGAAGATACCTGCGGCATCCGTCATACTTTCCTCCGTACCCACTCGCCCTGGCTCCTGGCTCCACCTTCATCTCCCTCTGACCTCTGCTTCCCCAACTCCCCTAACAGCCCATCCCCTCTCAGATGTCTCCTGCCCCACCGCGGGGTGGTGTGTGTCTGCAGAGCCTCGCTGTCCCTGCAGATGGCCGTACTGTGGGGTGGCTCATGGGCTCAGCCACACGCGCTGCTCCCATAGGCACCATTTATTTCTCCAAAATCTCATCTTTTTTTTTTTTTTTTAAAATGAATACCAGAGTCGGGTCTTACTCCTTGTGCCCCTTCCCACGCCTCCCCTGGCTGCTCCTCCCCCAAACCCACATTCTGGTGCCCTCCAGGCTGTTTCCGGTGACCCCACACTCTGCCCAGGTAGACGGAAGAGGAGGGGTCAGGGTAGATTTTGAAGAAGGACAGAAAACCAAAAGCACAAGGTGAGGGGGTGGGCACGGACGGTGTCCCACTCCCCTCCTTCTGGCACTGCCCCTCTCTACCCAGCACCCTCCGGCCCTCTTCCCATCCCCCTGCATGGTGGCATAGGTGGTGAGGTGCAGGGCGTGTTCCACCGTCCACTCCACAGGTCAGCAGTGAGCACTGTGTCACCTGGTGTCCCCTTCCCAAGGTTCCACTCCCCACCTAGCAGAGCTCCAGCTCTGTGACTCTTGACCCAGACTTCGAGGTACTCTAAGGTCCCAAAGTGCCTTGTGACCTCTCAGAGAGGACGATGGCACCTGCTCCAGCATCATTATCGCCTCTGTCTCTTGTACCTCTCACTGTTGTCACGGCCTTGGGAGGCGGGGTCCTGCTCTGCATTCCCAAGGTGACTGAATTTGCACCCCCACCCCAAGCTGACACCCATGGGAGAGCGTGTGTTCTTCGGAGCAAGGCCATCTCAGGACATTTTGTTGCCTGGGGACATCCTCTGTGCGTCCTCTGTCCTCTGTGACGGAGGAGTGTTTGTAAGCCATAAATCTCGGAGCTAACCAGAAGTGAGCTTGAGAATATTGTCTTCTCAGGGCAGCTTTGACTTTTGGAAACGGCCAAGGTCATTGAAGCCACCTGTGTTAGATCGAGGTCATGTGGTTTGGGTCTCCGGTGTCCAGGCCGAGTATGGGTGCTGGGGGCTGTGTGGTGTCAGACTCTCTCTGCAGGATTTCTCAGAGCAGGCCGGTGTCCCGAGAACTTACGCTCAGCTTGGGGAAAGGGCACAGCCTCCCCAGGCCAGCTTTGCCAACCGACAGCACTCGGTTGCACTTGGAAAGTGGCGTTTCCATACTTTGTACCCCCACCCTGCCTGTAGCAGGGTCTTGCATTTATTTATTTTTAATTTTATGTAACAGTCACTGGCACACAGTGCTTCTCACGTGCCGGGCAATGATTTGAGCACTTTACCGATATATTAACACCCGGAAGCCTCACGCTAGCCTGTGAGGCGGATCCAGTATTACTCCACTAACCGACTCAGAGCAGTAACTGCAGGCTTGTCCCATGGCGTGGCCAAGCGTCCGGTCTGCATGTTGCTTTACTTGGGGTCCTTTCTGGTTGGCGTCTCCTCCTGCTCTGCAGGAAGAGAGGCGTTGACCCAAGCCATGCTTTCCTTCCTTTCCAAGCCCACCCTGCCCTGGGATGGGATCCAAGTGTGAGTCTCCCCGAGCCCTGGATGCCATCTCCCCAAGACCCCACTTCTTATCCCACACGGCCCCAAGCATCCCGTGGCAGCCCTGGGGACCAGGTGGGCAGACCGCATGCTCTGAACTTGACCTGTGGTAGTGGTGGGGTCCTCAGGCTCAGGCTGACAGGGCAGTTAGTGGCATCGCTGAGCACCGGCCAGGGGACTTCAGGCAGGTGCCACCAGCTCACATAGGAGCCAGCAGTATCAGGGAATTGGCAGATTTGAGAACTGTGGTAAACGGAGTGTCCCTGTATTCACCTGGCCACTATCCCAGCTAACCCAGTTGTTGCTACTGTCTTCCAATTTTTATGTGAAATCTCCCAATTTTTAATTGTTGTCATCTAACGCGCACACACACACACTTTTTTTTAAAAAAAGAAAAATTAGGGCATGAGCCAAGCAAAACCAGCTTCCGGAAATGGTGGCCCATGCCCATTTGTTGCTTCTGTGAGCTTAAGGACGCCCCCTGTATCCCCTGTCAGAACTCAGCTCTCCACCAGGGGCAGTGTTCTTCCCAGGGACTCAAACCTCGTGGGCTGCCCAGAGGAGGCAGCTCAGGCTGGGGGGCTTTGAAGCGTGTGTTGTGTGCACCTGTTGTGTGACCGTCCTGTGTGTGCGGGCCGGCAGGCTTGTTCGTGGTGACTGCAGTGGGCCCTCCTGTAGGACCAGGACTGTCCCCTGTCCCCGTGGGAGAGGGTAGGGACTTGTGGCAGTGAAATGTACTCTACTGAAATCTTATCAGTTCACACTTCCCCTCAACATGAAGGCAGCTGGGGCCACAGCAATAACCACTAATTGTTCTCATCCCAGGGGACCCCCCAACCCCCATCTCCCTTTGCACTTCCAGTTTTAGGGACAACAGACCCAGCCCTACCCAATGGTGTGTGTGGGGATGGTGGCCCTGCTGAGCCAGGCTGGCCCCAGCACCCGCTTCTTGTCTGTCCCTTCTGCCCTATTTCCTTGTTCTGGGGAGGGGCGGTGCTGTCTGCTCAGGGGGGTGAGGGTGTGCGTCAGTGTGTGCATTATGGGATGGTCAGGCAGGGCACCGCGCTTAAGGAGGGTTGTGGCCTTGTTGAGGATGGGGTGTTCCAGCTGTGGGGACACAGATGATATCGCATCCTCTGCTGTCTTGGGTTGATTTGGCGCTTGGTGAGGAAAGTCTAGACCTCTAAGGAGGGCCTGAATGCCACCCCCCTGCTACCCCAACCCCACTTAGATCTGGGGCACTCAGAAGCAAGGGGCAGGAGCCAGCCACCCCCATAGTCTCCCCAAGGGAGAGACTCTGTAAGGGTCACATTGAACACCCTAGCCCCAGAGAGCCCTGGGCCTGTGACCCCTCCCCAAGGACTGTGGGACTCTTCCCAGCCCTGCCCCCACCCTCACACAGGCTGGAGGGTGGGCTGTGGTGTCGCCCCAACACCCCTAACCTGCACACGTGGGTACACGCACGCTCTGCAGCCTCACACACTCTTGGCCCACTTGGGACAGCTGACTGCAGCACCCAAGACACAGGGTCCTAACTGTAATACCCACCCCAAAGGCCACCTGTTTCTGCTCCCCGGCCCCCCTAGCCCTCAGGACTGTCACCTCCACCCCCTTCAGCCGTTGCACCATGAATGTACCCCATCTTTCTGGCTGGCTGCTCTGCCCCTGGGCCACCTGCTGCTATTTCTCCTTCCCCTTTCATGCTAGGTCCTGTTTGCTTTTCTGCCTGCTGGGTCCCTGGCCCTGGGCAGGGATGGGGTGGGGGTGGGGAGGGGGGGTACCCCTGAGTGCTTCCAGGGCTGGGGTGCAGGGGCCTGTTGCCTCACCCCATCCCGGTTACCTCGATGTCCACAGGGCTGCCCCCCTCTCTCCATAATTGGCCTTGAAATTGGATGCCAAAGAGCCCGGAGTTGCGGGGAGCAAAGCTTGGAGTCCAGATCTCTCACAGCTACCTGACCCTCCTCCACTTTTTGCCCACACCCAGGTCTGAGCCCCTGCCCCATCCGATCCACCACTACAAGTCCTGGGGGACCCCAAATGTGTCCCCACTTCCAGCGCTTCCCCCACACCCACCCAAAAAATAAAACTCAGGGACCAACATCTGCTTCCTTTGCACTTGCTCTGTAACCCCCACCCCAGGCAGAAGGGCTTGGGGGGCAGGGGCGGGCCCTAGGGTGACAGCGTTGGGTGAGGAGGGGGGCTGGGCTCCCTCCCCCCAGGGACCGGGGTGTCCTCTCCTGCCCCAGGTTGGAGAGGAGTGAGGGGGAAGGGGGTGTTGAGGGGACCCCCCCTCCCAGGGTCACGGTCCCGGCTGGTTTATTCCTGAGCCTGCCCCCCACCCATGCTAAGTCCTTTTCCGGGTGACCCCCCATTTTGTACTGCAATAACTGTATTATACGCTTGCACTACCCTGCCCCGGCCAGCCCGAGCATGCATGAGAAGCTCGATACACGAAGACAGGACGCTGATTTTTGTTTTCCGTCCTCTTTCTCTCCGGGGTGCGTCCTCCTTAGCGTACATAACAGCGTTGGGGGGCCCCGGGCCGGTAGAAAAGCATGCACTGAGCCCCCCGCCCCTAGATGCGAGTACTGTACAAAAATCCAACACTTGAAACCGACACGCACACGCGCGGCGCCCACGGGGTGGGACACGGACACGCACCCACCGCACACGGCCGCAGGGTGGGAAGGCGCCCGCCAGCAGCGCGCTGTGCGAGGGATCTTGTGCCTTTTCAGTCCCTGTATGTTCCTGCAGACAATCCGGAGAGCTTGTGTACTACCAAATCCTGATTAAAGACGCCTTCCAGGAACCTGCGCCTCTGCCTGCTTTCTTTCCCCCTCCCCCAGGTGGCCTGGGCTGGGCTGGGCTGGGGGCAGGGGCTCGGGGTGGGTCCCCTTCCCAGTTGGACCTCAGTCACCCTCCCCTGCTGCCTTTCCTTTCCAGAGTCTCTGGTCCCTGGTCTTTGCATTGCCAACATGCCAGGGAACCCCTTCCTAGTAGGGGTGCCGGGCTCTGTCGGGGGTCAGGCTGTCTGTCGAGTTCAGCAGAAAGGCCGGATGCAGAAGGCCTGGGCTCACTCTGGCTGTTCCTGCTCCTCTCTTGCCTCTGTGGAGGTCGCGGGGCCTAGGGACTGTGGTGGCAGATTTGGGTAGAAGGCGCATCTAGGCAGAGGAAGGTGTGAGACACTCAGAGGATTGCAGAGATTTGCGGATTGCAGAGGAGCTGTCCCTCTGAGTCTCCCATGCCAGCCTCAGCGTACTGCAAAAGAACGCACCTGCTGTCCCCTCTGGGCCCAAAGCAATCGTGGGGACAGGAGGGCCAGCTGCATTGTGTAACCAACACACACACACACACACACACACACACACACACACAGCCAGGGTAGATTGAGACCCTGATCCATAGGTAGAGTGTGTGGCGTCTGTGTGGACCCACAACACACAAGCAGCCGCATCCCCACCTTCTCCTCCCTGGCGAGGGTGCCCTCGGGGCTGGGTGGCAGGTAGAGTGGAAGGAGGGCCCCCAGGGTGGCAGAGATGTGGGGAGGGAGAGCAAGTGTGGCGAGGAGGACTCTGGGAAGGTGGCAGTGGTGGCCAAGGAGGCTCCTCAGCCCACATCTCTCTCTTGAGGCTGGGGAGTGGGCATGGGGGAGGGGTGGCTGCCGAAGGAGGCGACAGAAGCCTCCCAGGCCCCCCTTCACCTTGGGAGCTTGGGCTAGAGTGAGTTCCGGGTCCTGAGCTGATCTGGCTGTCATCTTCCTGATTTTCCTGCAAGCCAGGGGCGATGCTTCCCTCCAGATCTCCCTGCGATCTGAGGAGTGATGAAGCTCCAGCTCTCACTCCTCCCGTCCGATGGGAGGAGCAGAGATGGAGGGCGAGTTTCCTCTGTGCTCAGCCAATGTGGGCAACTTGGGGGGTCCCCCTGCTCTGGGTGGGGGCTTTCCAGAGAGACCCAGGGCCTGGCTTGATGGCAGGGAAAGGGTACTTCTAACAGAAATGTCCTAGATGTCTGAGACAGCGGGTGACCTGGGGTGTCAGAGGACACGCTTGCTGGGTGGGATAGAAGAAGGTGATCAGAGAGCTGCGTCTGTCTGCCTGGCTCTGGCGCTCAGTCCTGTCACCTCCCCCTCGCCCCTGCTCACCCAGGAGCTCACAGCGGCTGCCTCTGCTGCTGCCCCTTGCTCTGGCCTCGGCACTGGTACCTGCACTTGGCAAAAGCAGCCTGGCACAGTCTGTCATTAATGTTTGCTAAATGAATGAATGGATGGATGAGAACCAGTGAGCGGCGTGGAGAGAGAAAACGATTGCTGGGCCTTGCAGCCGGCGTGTGGTCGGGACAGAGCTCATTTGGCTGTGCTGGGCGCTGTCTGGCACCCCTGTCAAGTTCTTGTAGAGATGCATGATGGCGAAGGTGGTGGCGGTTGGGTGGGGGCAAGTCACACCCTCAGCAGGTGCTTGGCCTGGAGATTCCTGCCTCAGTCTCCACTAGCCTCTGTGCTGCTACCTAAAGCCTCAGCCAGTGGCTGTGGACCCTTTTCCAGTCCTGCCCTTGCAGGTCCCAGCTTTCTGAGGCAGAGAGAAGGCAGTGATCCCCAGGCCGGCGTGAGCAGAGCCAGGGTAGCAGGTGGCGGGGAAGGAGCTTCCCGCAGGCCCTTTGCTTATATGACCTCACTTAGAGTCCCGGGCCGTGCGAGTGTGCCATTCCTGTTTCTGCCCTGGATGTGGAGATGACAGGCTCCCAGAAGAAGGGCTGTGCCTGCCTTGTTCAACACTAGCCCTCAGAGTCTGGGCCCTGAGGGAGGGACAAGAGCAAGGGACAGCAGATTTTCTTTTTCTTTTCTTTTTTTTTGGGGGGGGGATAGCAGATTTTCAAGGACCACTTGAATATGTGCATGCATGAATGAATGATTGGAAAAACCCTCCAGGGGCCTTGTTTACAGAATGCAGGAAAACGAGTAGAAAGGAGAAAGCCATGAAGTTGGCTTGGGGAGTGGATAAAAAGGCTTTGCCAGAGACAAGCTATTGGCAGAAGACTAGGAATTTATCAGGGAACAGAGAGAGTGGTGGGGATCCCCAGGCAGGGGAGAGATGCCAAATGCATCTGGGAAGGGCTGGCAGCCTCAGAATAGCTGGGACCCAAGGTAGGAGACGGTGGGTGCTCCAGTGAGAGGGGCTAGAGCAGAAGGTGGGAGCCGTGGCAGTGGGGGCTGCCCATGGGCTGATCCAGGATGGTAATCGCTTCCGGAGGACCCCGGGGACCTGGAGTCAGATCTGGCCTTCAGGGGCATCACTGGGACAGTGGTGACAAGGATGGAGAAAGCAGGCTGGCAGCTAGGGACCCCGGCAGGACAAAGTTGTGCCATGGGCCTGGGGGCGTAGATGCGGAGATGGTGAAATGAGGGTGTGTCTGGGTGAAATGAGGGTGCGTCTTGTTAGAGCCGTGAGACCGTCCTGGAGCTACGGGTCTGGATGGGCTGTGTTGTGCTAGTTCAGGAAGACAGAGACACAGTTGTTGAGAGAAGCTAAGAAGCAGTGGACACTCAGTCCCTGAGGGATAAAGCCAGGTCAGTCTGCCCCACCTGAGGCCCCAGTGCATTGTGGGTGCTGAGCGATGTTTGGGGATTGGGTAGAGTAGAGCAGCCTAGGGACCAAGAAGGTGGTGGAGACGCAGCAGGTCCTGATAACGTGGTCAGGGCTGTCCAGCTTGGAAGGAAGAATGTGACAAGAGTCTAAAAAAAACAGGAAGCATGAGGCTTCAAGGGAGAAAACCTTAGTGCCAGTCTCCCTCGCGGGCCCGTCTGGGGCAACAGGAAAGAGGGCTGGTATGCCGGAGGCCCAGGGGTAACTTTTGGGTGACAGAGGACAGCTCTAAATTCACCCTGGTGTCACACAGGTGCTGGAGGCCCTTGACAGCCAGATATCTGGCTGCAGAGGGGTGGAGAGAACGGGCCACCTCGGGAGGGACACAGACCTGGCTGCCCCCCTCTGGGCTGGTTCCCACATCTCTACAGGGAAGGTGGACCTAAACAGTCAGTGGCTGTGGTGCCTTCTGACTTTCATTTGCTATCGATGCTCTGGGGTTCCGGATGGGCACGGTGAGGGGTGGAACAAGGTCATGGAGTGGCAGGAGATAGAAAAACCGCCAGGGCTGGGGCTGGGACCTCAGGGGACCTGGAGCGGGGACTCAGTCATTCTTTAGAGATTTACCAGGGACCGGTCTAGGCTGGGGACAGCATTGTGTGAAATAAACTCAGTGCCCAGGGTGCAGTCTCCTTGGGCCCGGGAGGGGGTGACCTCAGCGGGTCCCTGTGTGTGCCTCCTGCAGGTGTTCTCGGTGGCGCCCCCATTCGAGGTGAACGGCCTCTCTCGAGCTGTGCCTCTGAGCCTGCCCTACCAGGACTTCAAGAGAGATCTCTCTGATTACCGGGAGTGCGCACGGCTGCTGCACAGGGTCCGGAGGGTGGGCTTCTCGCACGCGCTGCTCGCCGCCCCCCAGGGCCCGCCAGCTCCTGTCCAGCCTCAGGCTAATGGGAACGAGGAAGAGGAGAAGGCGGAAGAAGAAGAACGGGAGGAGGAGGAGGAAGAGGAGGAAGAAGAGGAGGAGGAGGAAGAGGAGGAAGAGGAGGAAGAAGAGGAAGAGGAGGAGGAGGAGGAGGAAGAAGCAGTGGCTTTGGGGGAGGTGCTGGGGCCGCACAGTGGCTCCAGCAGTGAGGGCAGTGACAGGAGCACCGACCGGAGCCAGGAGGGCGCCCCATCCACGCTGCTGGCCGATGATCAGAAGGAGTCCAGGGGCCGGGCCTCCATGGCCGATGGCGACCTGGAGCCTGAGGAGGGCTCCAAAACGCTGGTGCTGGTCTCCCCTGGTGACATGAAGAAGTCGCCTGTCACTGCCGAATTGGCACCTGACCCCGACCTGGGCACCCTGGCTGCCCTCACGCCTCAGCACGAGCGGCCCCAGCCCACTGGCAGCCAGCTGGATGTGTCGGAGCCGGGCACGCTGTCCTCTGTCCTCAAGTCTGAGCCCAAGCCCACCGGGCCCAGGGTAGGACCTGGGGCTGGGGCAGTGACCACAGGGGCGGGAGGTGTGGCAGTCACCTCCTCACCCTTCACCAAAGTCGAGAGGACCTTTGTGCACATTGCTGAGAAGTCTCACCTCAACATCATGTCTTCCGGAGGACAAGCCTCGAGGCCCGAGGAGCTGGGTCTGGAGGTGCCCTCAGATGGGGGCACCACAGAGGAGGGCATCCGGGTGCCCTTGGAGAACGGCGCAGGCCTGTTGGGGCTGGATGGGGCCAGGGTGGAGAGCTGTGCCCTGGCTAGGCCCCCCGGGGATACTCCCTTGGAGATGGCCACAGACTCACTGCCCAATGGCCCGGCCCTTACCGGTGGGCCAGTCCCAGAGTCCCTGGAGCCAGGCCCTGAGAAAGCAGTCACTGTCTCCCCCAGCCGCCAACCTAGGCCAGGCCCTCGGCCCCGGAGCCGCATCCCCGTGCTGTTGTCAGAGGAGGACACGGGCTCAGAGCCCTCGGGCTCGCTGTCAGCCAAAGAGCGCTGGAGCAAGAGGGCCCGGCCGCAGCAGGACCTGGCTAGGCTGGTGATGGAGAAGAGGCAAGGTCGCCTGCTCCTGCGGCTGGCCTCGGGGGCCTCATCGTCCTCCAGCGAGGAGCAGCGCCGGGCCTCGGAGACGCTCTCAGGCACAGGCTCGGAGGAAGACACACCAGCCTCTGAGCCCGCCGCAGCTGCCTTGCCAAGGAAAGCTGGGCAGGCAGCTGTCACCCGCAGCCGGATTCCCCGCCCCATCAGCACCCTCGTGCCCACGCCCGCCACCACCCAGCAGCTTCCAGGCAGACCCCTCAGCACAGCCCCAGCACCTGACACCACCGTCACCAGCAGGTGAGAAGCCCTGCCAGCTCCAGGGTGGGCAGAGGGTGACTGCAGAAGGCCTCCCCAAGTGGGGACTCCCAGAGCCAGGCTCAGGGGCTGGGAAGATTTGGGAGGGACCCTCGTCCATTCTCCCATCTGCCATCTGCCAGCTGTTGTTGACTTAAGTGTCATCCCTGTCTCTGGGCCCAATGGAGCCTGGCGGGAGGGGTGCCAGGGAGGCCAGGATTGGGAAACGTTGATGGGGATCAATAGGGTTCCATCTCCAGGGTGATGTGAGGCCTTTGAAGCCAAGGAATAAAACCCAGAGCTTGCATGAATAGGAAAACACATTCTTTCATATTAATCTAACCGTACTGGCTGGGGTGTTACTCAGGGGTTCAACACTTGCTTAGCATGTGGGAGGCTCTGGGTGCCATCGCTAGCATGGAGAAACGAAGCACACACATGCATATACACACATGCACACACGTATGCACATGCATATACACACAACACACATACACACACATTATGGATTCCAGTGCAAAATCTGTGAGGATTTTAAAGATGAAACAGGGTCCCCCTAAGAAAGCTCTTCTGGCTGCAGCCTGGGTGTACATGGCCCTTAGAGGTGCCACCCTGGAAGATCAGGCCTCAGTTTACCCACCTGTGTCTCTCTCATCCAGCTCTGGGGATGTAGGGCTTTGGGACTCCAAGAGGATTCTGAAAATGTCTCTCCTTTTTTGTTTCTCTGCCCTCTTTTCTCTCGCCTACCTCTTCTCTCTCGCGCCTACACCTCAAGCAGGCTCCAGCTGCAGAAGCCCCCCGGATCGGCCACTGTTGCTGACCCCCGCCCCAGGCAGCCCCCCAGCCGCAGCGCTGGCCCAGGGAGAACCCCAACCGCCAGGCCCCCCGTGCCCCGCAGCCCTGGCCACCCCGCCTCCACCGCACGCCACCCCAGCGTGTCCCCCCGGAGCCAGTCCCTGTCCCGCAAAGAAAGCTCGTCCCCCTCGCACCAGGCCCGGGCCGGGGTGCCCCCAGCTCGGGGTGTCCTTCAGGTCCGAACACAGCCTGAGAGTGGCAGCCCCTTCCCGGGGGGCCCCAAGAAAGGACCCAGAGGGAAACTCCAGACTCAGCGTGCAACAGCCAAAGGCCGGGCGGGGGCTTCGGAGGGCCAGGCAGGGACCAGATAATGACGCTCGCGGCTCTCTGCAGCCCCCTACCCTCGCCCGGCCCCCCACCCGCAGCCGGCCACCCCGGAACGCGCCCAGCACAGCCTTATGCGCCCCGTGCGCGCACCCACCTGCATCCATCAGGACCGCGCGGGAGGGGTCACCCGTCCTTCCTCTCTCCGCGCCTCCCTGACCTGGCTCCTCTGCCCCTTGGAAGGCTCAGCCAGTTGTCTCCGGAACTCCACTTTTGGGGACACCCCACCCCCTTCAGACCTCAGCAGCTCTCTGCCCCCCAGGGCCCTGTGCTTACATTTCCTGCGGCGCCTTGCCCTCCTCCCCGCTTCCCTTCCTGACACCTCTACCCCCTTTTCAGAGAAGCAGCCTCAAATTGCAGCCTCACCATGGTCTCCTGGGAGCCCCGGTACCCGGGATGATCACTCAGCCGCCAGGCTGCAGTTGGAGAGATGGGACTCAGGGGCCACCAGCCTACTCAGGTGTGAAGGGACAGCTCCCACGTGCTCCGAGTCAGCTCCATCCTGGTCATACTGGTGGGAGATAGTAGGAGGTGATGTGGTGGGGGGACTCTCTTGCCTCCTAAATTTGGGTGGCGCCTTGCAGTCACTGTGGGAGGAGTGTGGACTGCCTTCCTTGGCAAGTGATTCCCCATGGGAGAGGCTTTCAAAAGGTTCCTCTCCCTCCCTGGCCCCTGATGCAGCCTTCAGGATCCCTACGATCAGGAATTGCTTCCTGCCGTCTAACCTCAGTCCTGTCTGCAGGGTTTTGGCCAACTCCCCCCTCCCTGGGGTTCTGTGCAGGTGGAGAGAGGCTGGCTATTGTCAACTCTGCTGAGTCCAGGACCCAGTTCTGGCTGGGTCACCCTTCATATCCCCCCAGCTGTGGGGGCAGAAGGAGCAGGACCAGCAGCCCACTGGCCCCTGGAGGCAGAAAGGCCCTTCCAAATTCTAGACTGTTTGTGTGATGGGTCCCCCAGCCCATGCCACCCCCCTAGCTCCCCTGCAGCTTGGCTCCCATTGCCCTGGGGGACCCGAGCCGCCTCCTGGGTCCTGGGTCCTGACTCCTGCAGAGCTCACCCCATCTCATCCTGAGCCTTGACTGCCGGCATCTGGGGCAAGCAGCACGCGATCGAACGAAGGGACCGCCAACCCAGCCTGGCTCCCGTGTCCCACCTGGAGCCACAGAGAGCAGGCCAAGGTGTCCAGGGGAAGAGGAAGAGAGGCCTCGCGTGCCCCAGCCATCTGGCCACATCCATTACCAACACCCAGAAGGATGCCCTTGAGGAAGCCGGTCCAGGAGCAGTCTGGCTGTGCCCGCCCAACTCCCTCAAGGGCTCAGCAAGCCTGGGAGGCTGCTCCCATCCATGGGGGCAGCTTCTGTGCAGACCAGCCCATGGGAGGGCAGCAGGGTGGATGGCCTTCAAGATCCACCCCATGTGAATGCAGGAGCTCCCAGAACACTCAGGAAACCTCTTTGGACCCAGCCCTCCTGTCCACCAAGGTCCCCAGGGCCCGTGCTGCCCTCTGGGCCCAGCAGAGGGGAGCAGGGGCCATGCCCTCCCACCCAGAGCTTCTCTGAATGACAATCAGCTCGCTTGTGCCCAGTGGGGACCAGAGCCTAACCCCTGGTGCCCGGCCCTGGGCCTGCTCCTTGCCACCAACCAAACCGTGAATGTAGGGCCCCAGCCTCGCCTCTGCCCGAGGACCAGCAACACCCTGCTTTGGAGTTGGGAAGAAGGGCTTCACCCACTGAGGGGCTGGCAGAGACGCAAACCCCAGTCTGCCCTGGGGATTCCAGATCTCTTGGGGCTCCCAGCTGATCTCAGGCTTCTGAGTGTCAAATGTCACCAGGTGAGGGGGACAGGGAAGAGGGCCAGCAGAGGGGGCCCGGCCCGAGTCTGCTCCTCTCCCAGGAGGGACCCAGGGCAGAGGAAGCCGCACTTCCCAGCCCGGCCAGCTGCAGCCTCTTTCTTCTTGAGTTTCCAGATCCTGAGTGTCCCCAGCTTCTGTCCCCCATCTCCCCCAGCACTTGCCCACCGTGGCCGCCCATGTCACTGGCTCAGATGCAGGGCGTGCTCACTCCAGAACACACTTCCCCTCCCCAGCTGCATCACATGCAAAGGGGGTGCCAGGCACAGGGCTCCCCTTCCCAGCTCCTCGCAGGGGCCTGGTTTGCTCAGTCTTCTCAGCTCTGGGGACCAGCCCCATGGGTATGGGGTGGAGGGACAGGAATCGCCCTCCCCCGCCCCTCGGGAAGCTACCGAAGAATGTTTACACGCCAAACAGAATGTAACCCCCGGCCCTCCCAGTCACTGCATGGCCTCTGCCCACCCTGCGCCTGCCCCCTCCCAGCACCCTGGAAGCCGCTGTCATGATTAGATCGATCTCGGAAGGGAAGTAGCCATCACACCATTAAAAAGCCTGTGGACCTTTCTCGCTGTTGGCCTGGACTCTTCTTCCCTGGGGAAGGGGTGGGGCAAAACCCATTCCCAGGGGTCAGGGTGTGGAGGGCAAATGGGCAGGGACTCCCTGGAATTGAGGAGCATCGTCCTAGGACCCATGCAGGTAACCTGCTCAGGGCCGCACAGGCCCAAGGACACCGTCCTGCCGTCCACCCAACAGCGAAGCTGCTGCTGGCTCAGCCTCCTGGTTACTTCCGCTGAGGGAAGAGGGCAGGAAGTACTCGCGTCGGTCTGCGTGTCTGTGGACTCACACGGACACGGGCAAAGTCACACGCGAGCACAGCGCCTCGTCCCGGCACTCTCCGCTTTGCTGCCCAAAGCTGCACGTGCAAACCTGAAGCCAAAACTCCCTGGAAGCGAGGAGCTTCCTCATCAGGATGGTACAAGGTCATTTGGTGTCAAAATTTACAAGGCCATTTATAATCTTTATGGATTTCACTTGTTATAGATCTTTCCAGTGGAAACATTAACGTCTGTGATTATGGGGTGCTGCTGTAGATCCTTTTAGGGTATTTTATAATGTATGGAAATATGCACTGAGCTTTTTCCCCTTTTTTCTTTGGATCTCTCTTCCTGCCTCTTTCTTCTCTCTTTCTCTCTCTCTCTTTTTCTCTCTCTCTTTTTCTCTCTCTCTCTTCCTCTCTCCTTCCTTCCCTCTCTCCCTCCCTCCCTCTCTCTCTCTCACACACCTGATCATCTGGATAACAGATGGAACAGCTGGGAAAGCCACCTGTCCATTACTTGGATGGCCAGAGGGGGGTGTGGCCTTGTGGGGCGTGGCCTTGTGGGGCGTGGCCTTGTGGGGCGTGGCCTTCCGCACAGGGGGGACCCCAGCGTGGGACACTGTCGGGTGGCGCTCTCCATACGCATTTACAGGCCGTCTTGAGGCCAGCCAGGGTGTGCCCGTTGGTCTGAGGGAACGGTGGGTGCCTTGGGGGCCTGGAGCTGGGCAGAAGGGAGAAGGTGTGTGATGTACCTTTTGCATTTTTAACCCAAGTTCACTGACTGAAGCCTTCATCTAACGATCACATACACGATTTCGCCTTTCTTCTTGTTTTTTTCTTTATTTTAAAGAGAAAAGAAAACAAAATAACAATGAAAATCAAAACAAAACAACACAAAAACAATTATAAAAAGATACAGAATTTCCAAACACGATGATAGGAAATTAACAATGGCTGTTATATTGGGTATTGTTATCTTCAACGCAGTTGCTCGGATTACCAGATGTAAGAAAGCAAGATTGATCAAACAATTACAGAGAATAAAAAATAATTATTAAAAAAAAACAGTAAAACGATACAGAGTTTCACTAATCAAGATGGTAGGACTTCAACAATGGTTGTTATGTTGCATATGGTTGTCTTCAAATTGGTTGTTCCCTTCTTGTGGAAAGTAGCAGAAGCAGGACAAACTTGTAGCAAATACTGAAAGCATATAAAAAACAGGAAAGTCTCCTGTCTACAAATGCAAGCTTCCAGTGGTAGTTCTTCTGGATGGTGTGCTGTGGGCCAGTACAGACCTCCTTTTCCATATTTATAATAATAGCCATCTCTCTCTGTCCACCTGTACAGATTATGTAGGTATATTTCTTAGGAATAAAAATAAAAATAGGTGTATTTCTTATGTCTCTTAAGACACAGAGAGAGTATGCATACAGGTGCGTGCTTGTAATACCAGGATTTGGGGAGGTTGAGGCAGAGTTGCAGCCTGCAACACAGCAACTTAGCAAGAACTTGTCTCAAAATTTAAGAAAGAGCGAGGGATATAGCTCAGTGGGAAGGTCTGAGTTCAATTTCCAGTAATAAAAAACAGAGGGAGGACATTGTACTACTGTTCTGAAATGTGATTTTTATGCCCAAGGATATGTCTTTAAGTATATATACTTTATAGACAGGGTCTTGTTATGTAGTTCAGGCTGACCTTGAACTCACTGTGTAGTTCCCAGGCTGGTCTTGTCCTCATCTTTTTAAAGTGACTTTGTTTAGACACAATTTACATACGACACAATCCACCAATTTAAAATGCACTACCGTGGCTATTAGTATATTCAGAGTCATGCAAGCATCACTGCAATCAATTTTAGAGCATTTCCATCACCCCCGAAAGAAACTTCCCACCCTTGAGCAGTCATCTCCATTTCCCCAGCCCCTGTAAGCCCTGGGCAGTCACTAATCTACTTTCTTTTTTCTTTTCTTTCTTTTTGTTTTTTGGTCTTTTTGGGACACAGTCTTGTTATGCAGTTCAGGCCGGCCTTGAGCTCACTTTGTAGCCGAGGCTGGTCTCAAACTTGCAGTGATCCTCCTGCCTCAGCCTCCCAAGTGCTGGAATTACAAGCATGTGCCACCATGCTGGGCACTAATCTACTTTCTGACTCTAGATCTATTTGGGACCTTTTGTACAAAGGAACTCCTGTGGTGTGATCTTTCTGTGAGAGCTCCCTTTTTGAAGAACCTCCATATTACAGCACTTCTCCTTACATCAAATCTTTTTTTTATTGTCAAGTAGTATTCTTTTATATGTATATACCAAGTACCAAGTGATGGATATTTATCCATCAGCAGCAGTGAGGATCTTTTTATTTTTTATTTTTTATTTTTTTTGTCTTTTTGAGACAGGGTCTCACTATGCAGTTCAGGCTGGTCTTGAATTCACTTTGTAGCCCAGGCTGGCCTCGAACTCATAATGATCCTCCTGCCTCAGCCTCCTGAGTGCTGGGATTACAGGCATGCACCACCACACCCAGCTCAAGATCCTTGTTTTTAATGGCCATGTAATATTCCACTGCATAAATGTTTCATAAACATTTAGTTCCATATTGATTTTTCATTACATTCTTTCACTAATTCAAACATTGGCAGAATGAACATCTTGGCTCTAACATTCACTTACTTCTTTTTTTTTTTTTTTTTTTTTTGGCTTTTTGAGACAAGGTCTCGCTGTGCAGTTCAAGCTGGCCGTGAGCTCACTTTGTAGCCCAGGCTGGTCTTGAACTCGACAATCCTTCTGCCTAGCCTCCTGAATGCTGGGATTACAGGAGTGCACCACCACGCCTGGCCACATTCACTTACTTCTGCAAGTCTAATTCTAGCAGAAATCCCCAGAATAATTAAATAGGTAAAAATGGTATTTTATTTCTTAAAATTTTTTTTAGATTAAATGAATGAAAGAAAAGAAAAAAAAGTGTGAAAGAATGCTGTGGATTATTCATTATTTGGTGGTCAGTTAATAAGTCATTCACATACACCATTTATTCAACTAACTCTTCAGGCTCTCTCTGAGCTGCACTACTGCCAGAGGCTTTGGCACACCGAAGCCTGCTCAGGCCTCAGTGAGAGCACCTCATGCCCTCGAGCATGCTCGCAGGTGTGGCTCTTGTGGCCAGACTGGGCAGGGCGGGGAAGCTCCAGCGGATGCCCTCCAGGGACCAGAGCTGCACACCTGGAGCGGAAAGGACCTTCCTAACAAAGGGAGCAGATGGGCGAAGTGCAGAGGTGTGAGGGTGTGTGGGAGTCACGGGGTGAATCAGGAGGGGCAGGGAGTGTGAGGGGAGCAGGCCAGGCTGGCAGGGTCAGCTTCGCAGAGGAAAAGGCACGAGCAGAGGCAGAGACCCGTGCCTGTCCTCTCCTCTCAGAGCCTGAGCTCCGCTGGGCAGTCACCTCTGCTATCGTCAGGGACCACCTGACAACCTACGGCAGCGAGGACCTGGGCAGTCCTACACGCCATTTCCCCACGCTCCCCTAAAACACCCTTCTCAGAGCCAAGCGTGGTGGCGCACACCTGTAATCCCAGCACTCGGGAGGCTGAGGCAGGAGGATCATTTCAACTTCGAGACCAGCCTGGGCTACAAAGTGAGCTCAAGACCAGCCTGAACTGCATGGTGAGACCCTCTCACAAAACACAACAAATCACAACAAAACACAACAAAAAAAAAAACAAAACAAAAACACCCTTCTCCCTCTTCCCTGTGATCACAACGGGATCTCAGTTCTGGGGCCCAGAGAATTAGTGGGCTGAGCAAGATTGCTGAGTCAGGGTCTAGATACTGACAGAGCCAGGGACATTGGGAGATTTTATTACTAGAGAGCACCCTGGGGGAAGAAGATGGGTGGGGGTGGGGCCTGCTGAGATTTCCCCTTTAGCTACTCAGGAGTGAAGACCAGGACAAGGGCCAAGGAGGGCCAGGACACCCTTCCTAAGTCCTCAGCATCAGGAGCCGGGCACTGTGCAAGGTCAATGGGCAGAGTCTGCATGACTAGGAAGCTGGCCTTGGGTAGACAGGGATAGACAAAGCCCATTTTCTGAAGCTCCCACGAGTGTCTTCCATGCTCCTCTTTGTTACCTTTTTTTTTTTTTCAGTCTTTTTTGAGACAGGGTCTCCCTCTGCAGTTCAGGCTGGACTTCAGTTCACTTTGTAGCCCAGGCTGGTCTCAAACTCGCAATGATCCTCCTGCCTCAGCCTCCCAAGTGCTGGGATTACAGGCGTGCACCACCAGGCCCAGCCATGCTCCTCTTTGAATACCACTAAAGCCACGGTGTGTCACCCCGCCAGTCACCACCATCCCCCCGTCTCCACCACTCACCCCCATCTGTATCCTCACCATTACCAGCATGTCATCTTTCAAGCCATCACTGTCACCATCACCAGGCTCTGTGACAGTGATAAATAAGAAATGAGGGCCTAGCTCTCAGGGAACTATGTATCGTTATTGTCCCCACCACGGCCACCCCATCACCACCATATCACCATGGTTACCGCCACACGACCACATTCCACACCACTGCTTCCACCAGCACCAACACCATCATCATCAAAATCGCATCCCACATCACCCCCACCCCGACCCCCTCACCATGACCTTCACCGCACCAGCACCACCCTCACCAGTGTAGGAAGCGGTTCCATGCTCAAGGGTACCTGAAGCCCCAACTAAGACGGGGAGGTCCTCTAAGATCACTCAGTGGGGAGAGGAGCAAAGGGCCCATGAGGCCTAAAGTGTAGGAAGTCTCATTGTAAGCGATCCCAAATAGAAAACCGTTTATCCCAGGAATTTATTCTTCCCCCAAAGCCTCCAGCAATTCTAGTGATAGTCTGAATTAGGGGGTTATGTTTGCAGTCTGCAAGGCTTCTCCCCATCCAGTTAGGTATGCATGGCTTGGTTTCCAAGCTGAGCTCAGGTTTGGGTTCCCAGGTTGGAGGCCGGGAGTTAAAATACAGTCAAACCCGCTGTGTCGTTCAGTGTGGTCTGCCCTCTGGGTAGACTTCACATCTGTCTGTCTAGCTCCAGCCTCCAAACATCACCACTGTCACCTGTCACTCGCCACTCCACAGGATATCAGAGAATAAGATGACACCGGGGGTCTAATTCAGGGCCGCACTGCTCGCTGCCAAAAGGGGCTGCAGATTAGATCTGCACGCCCTAGGACCAATGTAAAGAGGGAGAAGTGGCCTTGTGTGATAATCAGCTATGTCTGGTATTAAAGCAGGGGAGAAAGTCTAATTGTATAAACTAAACCAGTAACCAAAGCCAGTGCCCAAGCTTGGCCTCACTAAGAGTTATAGTATTTTGTATAATTTAAATAAAGAATGTGATTTTGTAGAACTGAATGAGGGAGGAAGCAACAGCACGAGGGGTCACACGTGGGTGGAGGAAGATGGATAGGAGGGGCTCCCCTCAAGCTGGCCTTTGGGGAGACAGGCATCCCCGGATGGAGAAGGAGCCCTGTGTGGCCCATGGGACCACGCTGAGGTGCACGCTGCCAAGGGGCCAGTGGGCTTGGAGGATGGAGGGAAGGGGCTTGTTGGGGAGCTGGAGGGCAGGAGCTGATCCTTACTTCCGTGAGCATCCTCAGGGCAGGGACAAGTCTGAGGCTCCTCTGTACGCTACAGGCTGTGCTAGACTGCTCTGACTTTTACCACCTCCTCTCACCACTGCCAGCTTTCTCTTGCCCTCACCCCACACATGTCACGGCGCCCTCCACACCCAGGACCCCAAGCTCACTCCTCTCCTGCAGCTTTCTTGGGGACCCGATCCCAGAACAGACAGGGAGAGCACCGGTTGGTCGTCGGCACTACAGTTCAAAGGCGAGAGCCCTGTGCTGGGGTTAAGGGTCCTGTCCTGCTGTCACCTCTGCTGGTCAATCCTTTCTTTGTTTTTTTTTTTTTTTCTGGTACCGGGAATCGAACTCATGACCTCGCGTTTGCCAGGCAGGCGCTGTGCCACCGAGCTAAATCCCCAGCCCTTTTTACAATTTTTTCCTTTCTTTTTTTTTTTTTTTTCTGCTGTTCAATCAATCCCCGTGTGACCCAGCAGGTCCCCGCGCTCCCTTTGGCTCCTTATCTGTTCAAAGCAAGAACTAGATTAAATGAGTGGTTTTCAACTTTTTTTTTTTCTTTCTTGGCATAGATCTTTTCTCCAAGGACACCTTTGGAAGTTCATTTGTTTAGAAATCTGGAGCTCCTCGGAACCAGTGTGACAGCCTCCCCGTTCTGCTGGCGTGGTGTGCGGAGACTCCAGCGACAATAAATCTGTTTTTGCTATGGGTCAAGAGTGGGAACTGAGCGGGGGCGGGAGATGGAGCAATCCTGGCCTTCGGGCCCTGAGGGGCTCCGGCAGGACCTCTTCCCTTGGCACCTGAGACGTCTGGCAACAGCACTGGCGCACAGGAGGGCTCACGGGGCTGAGGGCTCCTGGGGCAGGACTGTGATGGGTTGGGGGCATCTGCTCTGGGAATGGGCTGGGGCTAGAGGAGGCCTCGAGGCTCAGTGGAAAAACCTTTCACCCAGCAAGGGCTGGGCCATCCGGCCTGAGTCCTGGGCCGCGGGCCAGACTGGCTGTGGATAAAAACAGATACTGGTGACCTAAAGCTTCACAGGACAAAGGGCGTCCGGGACAGGGACTGCTCTGCTAAGGGACCCTCAGGGCTCTGCACACCCAGCTATCCTACTGTGGTGGCTCAAGGTCCCCCCTTGGTCCCTGAGCCAATGGGAAGTGCTAGAGTCACAGAGAGGTAGCCTCTGGATGGATGATGGCCCCTCCCCTCAGGCAGGAGGCCAGAGTGGCAGGGTCCCTGCAGACAAGGATGGACAGGGAGGGCCCAGGCCTGGGCCAATCCCCGGGGGCTGGATTCTGGCTGCAGGCTCCGCTCATCAGCCCGTTGGCCCCCACGCCAGAGTCCAAGGGTCTGTGCGGTGAGCAGGCTGGGCCATTCTGGGTACTGCAGGGGGATAGCCTGGTTAGGCAGCATGGGCTTTGAGGAGCTGCTGGACCAGGTGGGTGGCTTCGGGCCCTTCCAGCTGCGGAACTTGGTGCTCATGGCCCTGCCTCGGATACTGCTGCCCCTGCATTTCTTCCTGCCTGTCTTCCTGGCTGCCGTGCCCTCCCACCACTGTGCCCTGCCTGGCACCCCCGCCAACATCAGCCAGCGGGACCTGTGGCTGGAGGCCCACCTGCCCCGGGAGCCTGATGGCACATTTAGTTCCTGCTTTCACTTTGCCCACCCCCGGGCTCTCTTCAACTCCACACTGCGGAGAGAGGTGCAGAGCCCCGGGGAGCCAGAGGGCCGAACTTCCACAGTTCCCTGTTCCCAGGGCTGGGAGTACGACAACTCGGAGTTCTCTTCCACCATTGCTACAGAGGTACCGGAGCCCAGAGGGTGAGGGACACGTGAGTGGGACTGGCCTGCCAGAGCCTTGGGTGGTTGCTATGGGCATTAGGGTCCTGCCTTTACCTCCTTGAGTCTCAGTTGGCCCATCTGTAGAAAGGGTCCATGAGCATGAAGCAGAGTATCAAGGAGTTTAGTTCACAGGCTGTAATGAGGGGCCTCTCCACAGGAGGGCTGCTCTTGTCATTCCCTTGGGGTGATCAAGGAAGGAAAGGGCTACAGTGGCTCCTGAGACAGGGTGGGGACAGGGAGCTGAGAAGGGTGTTTCTGCAGTCTCCTCCCTTCCTCTTTTCTGGCCCCAAGGGTGGAGCTTACATAATCTATCTGGATTTTATTTGGTTTGGGTTTTTACAACACTGCGGATGGAAGCCAGGGCCTGGTGCATGCTAGGCAAGCGCTCTGCCACTGAACTGCCCCCTAGTCCTGCGTGTCCATCAAGGGGAGGCGGCAGGACTAGGGAAGGGAAAGTCTCCTACTTGTGACACTGGGGTGAGCAGTTGAGGGGGCATGGAGGTGGCTGAAAGGCCTGGTTGTTCTGAGAAGGCCCCAGCATCTGGGGAGGCAGGGCTAGTGTCAGTGAGAGGGGTTTCTACCCACAGGAGACCCCACCTGTCTGTCCTTGCAGTGGGACCTGGTGTGCGAGCATAGAGGCCTGAACAAAGCGACGTCTACCTTATTCTTCGTTGGTGTGCTGGTGGGGGCTGTGGTCTTTGGATACCTGTCTGACAGGTGGATTGAGGCCTGGGGTGGATACAGGAGCAGGTGGGGGGGGTCACTTTCATTAGCAGAGGATGGGCCTGTGTCCTGGCATCTCTATGGGGTGCTGATACTGCATGACCCCACACAGGTTTGGGCGGCGATGGCCACTGCTGCTGGCCTATGTGAGCTCCCTGGTGCTGGGCCTGGCATCTGTGGCCTCGGTCAACTATGTCATGTTCACCATCACCCGCACCTTCACCGGCTTGGCTTTGGCTGGCTTCACCGTCATCGTGCTGTCGCTGGGTGAGGCAGACAGGGGAACAGAGGGCTGGAGCAAGTGTGGGCAGTTCGAGAGCCCACCTGGCCCCGCTAACTGTCTTCCCTGGCCCTGCCTGGGCCTAGAGCTGGAGTGGCTGGATATGGAGCACCGCACGGTGGCCGGAGTTCTGAGCTCCATGTTCTGGTCGGGAGGCGTCATGCTGCTGGCATTGGTTGGGTACCTGATAAGGGACTGGCGATGGCTTCTGCTGACTGTCACCCTGCCCTTTGTCCCGGGCATCATCAGCATGTGGTAAGGCATGCAGGCAGCTGGGAAGTGTGAGATGCAGGAAGCCAAAGACAGAACAAATCAGAGACAAAGACTGGGAGACAGACACTGAGGGACGAAGGGAAAGAAACAGAGCCAGTGACCAAGAGACAGAGAGAGGCACTGAAAGAGCCACAGAAACAGAACAGGACGTAGGCAGAGGTGGAACCAGTGAGACAGCGGGAGAGACCAGGACTGAAAGGTGGATTCAGAGACAGAGGGAGAGACAGGAAGGGCAGAGAGACAGAGACAAAGGCAGCGCTGGAGCATAGGCCGAGGCTGGTCTTGGAGGAATAGGATGAGCAGGGCCAACCTTGGGGGGAGCCTGGCAGCAGAGCTGCGGGCCAGGTAGGGTGGCCTCCCATGCCTCCCAAGATGGCCTGGGTCTGGATGGTCTTTCTGAGCATCAGTATGTCTGTCCCTCTTGTGCCCTCGGGGAGAAGTGTTTGGCCAGTACTGGGAGCTACAGTTTGGAGAGTAAGACAACTCAGCTGAGTAAAGAAGGGACCCCTGAGGCTGGGGGGTCGTCCAGGCCTAAGCAAGGAAGTGGGAAGAGGCGGCTTTTACATTGGGTCTTAGGAAAAGACTAAGAGCTCATGGGGCGTGGGATCAGATGAGCTGGCGGGTACTGCATGAGGGAAAGCCTAGAGCACTGGTGGCGAACCTATGGCACACATGTTTTTCTTTTACAACAAAAGATGTTAATGTATGGCTTATTTATTCTAAACTAAAACCTTAGTACTCAGGTTTCATTGCAAAACCCACTTACTGGTATTTGCAATAAATAAGTGGGTTTTCAGTTGGAGTTTGGACACTCATCCCTAAAAGGTTCGCCACCGCTTGCCTAGAAGCTGACAGCCTGTGATGGGCCAGGAGGGAGATTTAGTTAATGATGCTGATTCTCTGACTGGAGGGTCTCCTGCTGTCCCCTAGGTGGGTACCTGAGTCAGCGCGCTGGCTTCTGACCCAGGGCCGCGTGCGGGAGGCCCAGAGCTACTTGCTCCGCTGTGCCAAGCTCAATGGGCGCCCTGTGGGCGAGGATAGCCTGAGCATGGAGGTGAGGAGGGGTGTGGGGGGACGGTGTCCTGTGCCCCTCTCCGTGGGCCCCATAGGTGGTAGGAAAAGCCCTTGTCTCCCCTGCAGAGTTCTAAACACATTACAATGTCCTGCCTGGCCTGGCTGGTACAAACCTCAAAGCTTCCTGTGTCCCTCCACCACCACCACCACGGCAGAGGGGAGGCACAGAGACCGAGAGAGGAGCGGGAACCCCCGCGAGCCTGCTGAGACCAACTTTGACCTACAGCATCCCGTCCTCCCCTGCAGACTCTGAGCAAAGTGGCAGCCACCGAGCGGGTGGTCCGGAGACCCTCATACCTGGACCTGTTTCGCACCCCCCGGCTGCGACACATCTCACTGTGCTGCATTGTGGTGTGGTAAGGCGGGAGCCATGGGTGACCGGGGACAGGAGGGGTTCCCTGGCTGGGAGAAAGAAGATGGAGCAGGCCGCAGAGAAGTTCAAATTCAGGTTCTGCACTTTTTACTGCGTGGCCCTGGACAGTCCCTTCTGCGACTGTAAAATGAACCAGTGTGAAGAGGGATCATGGCCCTCTGGCCCTGGCACATCCTAGGCTCAGAGGGTTCGGGAGGTCCAGGCAGCAGAGCTCACAGTCCCTGAGCAGAGAGGACAAAGGGGTGGGAAGGGACCCTGAGCGGGGCTGCTGCTGCTGCTGCTGCTTCCAGGTTCGGGATGAACTTTTCTTACTATGGCCTCACGCTGGACCTGTCGGGGCTCGGGCTGAACGTGTACCAGACGCAGCTCCTCTTCGCCGTGGTGGAGCTGCCGTCCAAGCTGTTGGTTTATTTGTTGGTGCGCTGCGCAGGGCGCCGGCCCACGCAGGTGGGCATGCTGGTGGGCACCGCGCTGACCTTCGGTGTGCAACTGCTGGTGCCTTCGGGTGAGCCCCGCCCACACCGGGCTCCTGCCCCATCACGGCCCCGCCTCCCAGAAAACAGCCGGCCCCCCCAGGGCCCTGCCCCACCGTGGCCCCACCCCTATGAAAAAGAGCCACGCCCATACGGCCACGCTTAACCCGGGATCCCGTCTACCCTGCCTCCTGTGGACCCCCGCCAACCAGGGGCTCCGCCTCGCTACGACCCCGCCCGCCCGGCCCCGCCTCCTACGAGCAAGCCCCGCCCCTCCCTCGGACCGCCCCCTGCAGAGACTCCGCCCCCTCCTGGGCGCTCTTCTTTCTTCTCCCTCCCTTTCCGGAAACCCTTTTCCTTCAGAGACCAAATCCTGGCGCACCGCCCTGGCAGTGACCGGGAAAGGTTTTTCTTCTGCCGCCTTCACCACGGCCTTCCTGTTCACTTCAGAGCTGTACCCTACTGTGCTCAGGTGAGGGGGCCAGAGAGCAGGGTCCCGGGCCACTGACTTGGGCTCAAACTTGTTAGTCCCTCCCTGTTCTTTACGCCACACCCACAACACCGCGCTAATCCCCGCTGGGTTAACCCAAATCTTGAAGTCGGGCGTTTCATCTTCTGTACTGCGTGGCCCTAAACCAAGTCAGACAACGTCCCTGAGCCCGCTTTGGAATGAAACAGTCCCAGGAAGCCCCATCCTGCCTGCCCTGTCCGTTTCATCGCTGACCAGGCAGAGCTGCCTGGGGGACTGACTCTCTGGGCCCCAAGCCAGTGCCCCTTAGGTTGTTGGCCGCGCGGGGTGCGGAGCTTCTGGGTTTCGGTGTACAGACTTGGGCTTCTCTGACAAGGCACTGTCCGGGCAAGCTGCTGTCCTGTGCTGCTCCTCCCCATCCTGTCTAGCTTTTCTCCTCTCTCGGTGGCACCTGATTGGCACTCTGGTGACACTGGCCTGGGGGCTTCTGGCCTGGGGGTGGGTGGGCAGCCCTGGCTCCCTTAGCTGTCTGGGAAGAGGGCGGCAGAGGGAGCCTGGTGAGGCAGGCGTGGCCAGGAGGAGGGTGAGAAGCAGCTGCCTCCCCACTCCCCTCTGAACAGGCAGACAGGGATAGGGCTGAACTCACTGGTGGGCCGGCTGGGAGGCTCCTTGGCACCCCTGGCGGCCTTGCTGGATGGAGTGTGGCTGTCACTGCCCAACATTGCCTATGGGGGGATCACTCTGCTGGCTGCCATCACTGCCCTCCTGCTGCCAGAGACGAGGCAGGCACAACTCCCAGAGACCATCCAGGACGTGGAGAGAACAAGGTGTGTGCACAGGGCTGGCTGTGTGTGTGTGTGCGTGCATATGTGCATGGCTGCAGTGCTTGGCAGCCTAATTCCTGCTCAGGTGTACGTTGGGCAAGTGAGTGTGCACAGGCATGTGCAGGCCCTAGGCATGGGGAATGTGAGTCTGTACACGTGCACACACAGACACCTGGGGCTGCTCAGGAGAGGGCTGTGTGTGCACTGAGCCGTGCTTGCACATCAGGCAAGTGTACAGGTTTGTGTATGAGCATCACTGTGGGGGTCAGTGTGTGCCAGGAGCGGGGGAGAGGCGAGACAGCAGGCTCTAACCCTGCATTACTCTTCTTCCGTCTTCCCAGTTCCCTGCCCGGTGTTCAGGAGGAAGAGATGAGGAACTGAGCAGGGCTGGGCACAGCCCTCCACAAGCAGCTCTGCGCCAAGGGCTGAGTGCAGAAGGGCAGGCTCCTGCGACTCGGGCTGGGGGCACTGAACCCCTCTGCCTAGGGCTGGACTTGCCTGTGCTTGTCTAGCCTTAACTATTCAGCTGCCAGCAACAGGACCACTTCCCAGGAAACAACGGTCTGTGGGAGATCCTGGGCACCCCTCTCAGGACTGGGGGGATTCTGTGAATAAAGGTGCCTTTTAGGTGGGGGCAGCAGTGAGGAGCTTTGGGAACAGCTCTGGATAGGAAGCTATTGAATTGGCTCTGCGCTGTGTTCTCAGCTTTGCCTCTAATTTCCTGTGTGACAGTAGATGTGTTGCTTTTCCCCTCTGGACCTCAGTCCACTCATCTCCCAAATGGAGATGATGAAGCATCTTAACTGACCTCACCACAGGATCTTTTTTGCTCCAACTGAACAAAGTGCTTCTTGTAGATAGTGCTGAAGAAGGGACTGTCCCATGTTGTCCCCTGTATAGTGCTAGGGGCTGCCCTGGGGAAACAAAGGCACCGTCAGGGTAGGCCATCCCTGCCTCCTCTGAACCATTCTGCAGGGACCCCCACTCCCACTCAACATACTGTCTACCCTGGGGCCCAAAGAATTGAGGGCATGGAAGTCAACATTTTATTGGAGAAGCCAGAGAAGCTGGGGCTCAATAAACAAAGGTTTGATGCATTCCTCTAAGCCCCAGAATTTGCTGGGACAAGGGATGAGAAGGCTGGGGTACCACTATTCACAGTGGGGTGGCCTCTGTCCCCTGACCAGGTAGGAATGAGAAAGGGAAGAATCGGCAGAGAAAGTCTAAAGTAGACACTGGCCTACCATGGAGCCTAGGCTGAGGGACCCAGGATCCCACCTTCCCCACCCCATAGGACTGGAGAAAGAAATCATAGCTCCCACTGCATCATGGAGGGATGACAGGAAGCCTGCACTGGGATGACCTCTCCTGGGAGCTCTCATTTGGATTTTCTCTCCACTGGGTCGTAGATATAGCAGCCCACTTCGCCGATGTTCACACCTGGGGAGAGAGCCCTATCACCATGGGCCTTAGTCTGTGGGGAGGGGGGAGGGCTGGAGGGAACTGGGGGCTACAGGGGAAGTTGTCCGCACAGCCCCCAGACGATGCACATGCTATATTCTAGCCCCAGTATCTGGGGTGGGGTTGCCCACCTTTCGGGCCGAACAGGTAGCCATAGCAGGGGATGTGGCAGTAAGGGACGCCATCATGCTGGAACACGGAGAGATGCGAATTTCTCAGCCTGGCACTCTTGCCAGCACCTGCATCCTCATCCCGGCCTAACGCCACCCTTGCCCTGCCCACCTCAGCATGGCTCCCGGCAGTCAGGGTCTTCTGGCAACGCTGGCACCTCAGGCAGGGTCGATGCCAGTTTCTGCCCAAAGACATCACCTTCTCGGCTGGAGGTGGAAAGAGATGGCAGTTCTTCCCTGCATATGCTGCCCACCCAGGGTCCCCTCCTCAAGCTCTCCATTGTCACTTACCAAAGAAGACAGGTTGCCCACAGCCAGGGCACAGCGAGGTCTCTCCCGTGAATGTCCTCATGCTGGCCAGGCCTTTGAGGGACGGGGGAGGCCCCAGCTAGGGCTGTGTTGGGGCCAAGGCCTCAGCGAGGCCCACAGCATCTGTGTGCCATGGTGTCCTCTCCCCAAACCCATGCTTGCTTGTCCCAGAGACCCACACAGGTGGGCACCACCCACCTTCCTTGAGGCCCACCCACGGCCCCAGCCCCTTCTGTATCAGGGACCACCTGCCTCCTGTTGGGGCCACCAGCCCCACCTTGTCAGCAACTCAATCCTTAGGAAACCTGAGCTGATAGAAGAGCCAGCAGGGGCAGGGTGTCAGGTGTTGGGAGCACAGTGTCACTGCCCACTGTGGGACAGCACAGGAGCAGGGACCAGTGGAGAGAAGTGAGGAACCTGCTGCAGGTCCAGCTCGGATCCCTCACTTGTAGGTCCTTCCCTCTTGCCATGGCCTCTGCTGCCTGTATGACTACACCAGGTCATTTGCCCTCTCTAGACTGCAGATGCCTTGAATACAGAGTGGGTGGCAGTGCCATCTTCCCCCCTACCTGTTAAACTCAGAAGCTGGCATGAGGGAATATCAGAGAGGGGGTCTGGGAGAAGACTGTAGGGAGGGAGGTGCAAGGATGAGACTCGGAGAAGACAGAGGGTCCTGAGGCGGCACATGGAGGGCTGCCACCTGCCTCACTTACTTTTCTTGCCACAGGGGAGGCCGGTCCTTGGCCTGGGGGGGCTGAAGCTGCTGGGGCTGAGAGTGGTGCTGGCAGGGGAGGCGGTGGGGGAGTTGTAGAGATATGAGCCCACACCTCCAATATTCACCCCTGCAGGGACAATTGCACAGAGACCAGACTGATGGATCTCGGGCAGGGCAGGGCAGGGCAGGGCAGGTCTTGCTGCTGGCCCTCCTAGGCTGGTACTCACCTCTGGGTCCAAAGAGGGCCCCGTAGCATGGCTTGTGGCAGTAGGGCCTCCCTTTGTGCTGGGCACAGCAGAGGGAAGGGGGTCACTCGGGCCAAGATGGTCTGGGCCGGGGAGGGCTGAACAATGGGTGTGCTGGCAGAACTGCCACTGTGGTCGGGGAGGCAGAGCAGGCTGTGGGGCCAGGGCACACCGCAGCTCCCAGCCCTGGTGGTGGATGACTCCGAGTTGGGGTTTGGGGTGGGGCGTGACACGGGACTGGGTCCTGGCCAGCTCACCTCTGCATGCCCTCCTGGGGACAGCACGGTGTGGCAGCGCTCACATTTCAGGCAGAAGCGGTGCCAATTCTTGCCCAGGGAGCTCACTTTTTCTGCTGCAGGGGACAGGGTGGGTAGCTGCTAAACGGGACTCTTCTCCCTCAGCCCAGGACGCTCAGCTGCTCGGGTTACCGCATCCAATGCCTGCGCAGGGCAGGGAAGGGACCGGACCGCGTGGGGAGAACGTCTGCGGCCACCCGATCCCGCCCTGCGCCCCCGGCCCCCGCGTGCCCCCTCCACGCCCTGCCTCACCGAAGTACACGGGTTCGTGGCATCGCGGGCAGCTCCAGCTCATGGCTTCGCCGTCGCAGCCACACCCGCCCGGCTGGGTTCCGCGGTCTCCACGCAGCGGGCTGGTCCCGCCCCGCTGCAGCCCCGCCCCCAGCCCTCGGGTGTCAGCGACCCCAGAAATAGAGCCCTGTTCTCCGGGCGGCCTCAAAGCCCCGACCCTCGGGGAGGAGCCCAGGGCTGCCACCGAGCCCAGTGGGCCCCACACAGTCGTCAAGGGAGGTTGGGCAGTGAGGACGCCTAGGGCTCTCGTTTCGAAAAGCATCCCCAAGCAGACGTCGTGGAAACACTACTCTCACTCTCTGAGCCAAGGTGTGGGCGTTCCTCGCAGAGTTACTTCCACCCTAATTCCACCCGGGGCCATCAGCAAGCTGCAGAGAGCACGGAATCCGCGCCATCTCAGCAGCTGTCTCTCACTCCAGGCAGCGCCCGGCTGCCTCGAGCGTCCGCGTACACACAGTACCCATCGCGACAGCAGTGTCCGCCTCACAAGAGGTCATGAGAATTACACGCGTTCACACACATGCACCCCATAGCGTCAGCATAGAAAACCAGATGCGCCTCAGCTGTCACCAGGATGTATCCCTTCATGAGCTCAAGGCTCAAAACAGGACCTGCATCCATGGCTTGTTCATAACATTAAAATGTTTATTTAGAAGTAGACTCAAACACTAATCACATATTTCGAGTTTAAGATTTTAAAATAGTTATTAAAAGTAGCCCACCTGGCAGAGATGGAAAATCTGTAATACTTTCTACACACCCAGGTTAAGTCAGAAGGATCACAAGTTTGAGGCCAGCCTGCGCAATTTATCAAGACCCTGCTTCAAAACCTGGAAAGTAGCTTAGTGGTAGAGCACTTGCCTAGCAGCAGCGAGGCTCTGGGTTCAGTACCCCGTACTTGGGGGTGGGAGAGTGGCCCAGTAGTGCTGCAAAGAACTTACCCCCAAAACAAGGAAAGCATTTGTGAGCATATATCTGCTATGGGTCAAATAACCAGGACATGTAAATAACAAATAATACAGAGATAAAAACGCAAGGGTGGCAAGGATGTGGCCTACGTATCCCTCATATCTTGTTGGTGGCCATGTTAAATGGGGCACCCACTTTAGGAAGCAGTCTGGAAGCTTCTTAAAAGTGTTAAATGGAGTTACCATAGCACCCTAGCAAGTCCACACCCTGGCCATACCTGAGAGAAATAAGCATGGGAATAAATGTTCACAGGAGCACTAATCACAATAGCCAAAAGTAGAAATAACCTAAAGCCTATCCAGTGGTTAAGTGGATGAACAAAACATGATACATCCATCCATATGACAGAACACTAGTCAGCCATGAGTAGTACTGAGGGATGCTACAGTATGAGTGAATCACAAAAACATTAAAAGCCAGGCATAAAAGGCCACATACCGTACGACAGCTTTTGTATGTCACCTTACCAATTCCAGCTAACTCAGGTTTGCCTCATTTGCTCAGTGTCTGGTTCTGGGCCCAGGCATTCACACCTATAGCATTGTCCTCTGCTGAAGGGTATTGGAGGCCCAATCGATGACAGCTATGCTTTCCTGTCTGGGTGCTGAACCAAATGAGGAAACAAAGGCTGACAGATTCATGTAGCACCTCTGTCAATGATAAAGGCGGGGACGTCCAATCTAGTCTGCGACCAGAGCTGCCTGGCCAACCACAGTATTTCCAGCACCTTGCTTGCTTCCGGCACATAGTGCTCAACAAATGAATGTTCAATGTTATACTCAAGACCCTCAGGTGTAAGTGCTAGTGGGACAGATGTGGGAGTGAGAGGGGATGGTAGGGTTGGAAAGCTGACAACAATCTGGGAGTGCAGCTCAGCCACCTAGGCGGAAGGTCTGAGTTTGTTTTCTTACATCCATCATCAACACGTATGATGCGAAATAGACTATGATTTAAACTGGTTTACTGATTATAAAGTCAAGGTACAAAATTTTTTAAAAACTGAAAATTTGCTTTGGCGGTAAACTAGTCCCACTATTTATAGTCATTCACAAGAACTTACCAATTAATTGTAATTAACATGTAGCACAATTTATGTCTATCATTAAGTATATGGCAAATGAATGTGGGAAAGTGTTATGGCAACTTTACAGCACCTTTTATATATGGCTGCTATTATGTGTCAGGTTTACTACTATAAATTCCACCTACTTTATGTCTTTCTAGACTTGCTCAAATACAGGGTCATATGACTTTTGTTGTTGTTATTGTTTTTTGGGGGGGTACCAGGAATCAAATTCATGACCTCACGCTTGCCAGGCAGGCACTGTGCCACTGAGCTATATCCCCAGCCCACTTTTGTTGTTTTGTATTTTTGTGGTACTGGGGGTTGACTCCAGGGCCTCATGCATGCTAGCCAAGCACTTTACCTGTGAGCTACTCTCCAGTCTCAGCCCCAGTGACTATTAAGGCATCATTGAGAGCTTTGTTCCTAGACACTACTGAAAGGAAAAATCAGTAAGTTCTGGTAAGTTAATGAAAAATCAGTCATTTCTTTATAGTTTGGGATTTTTAAACCTTTACAACTTGTGCTTTTTCACTGTATTTTCCCTCAACTAGAAAGCTTTACTTTCTGTAGTTTATATTATTTAACAACAAAGGCTGGGGATATAGCTCAGCAGCACAAGCGCCTGCCTGGCAAGTGCAAGGTCCTGAGTTCGATTCCCAGTACCAAAAAAAAAAAAAGTCGGTATTTAACAACAAATAAGGCTGGCCACGTAGCTCAGTAGTGGAGCTCATGCTCAGTATTTGCATGGCCCTGGATTCAAACTCCAGAACCAAAACAATATACCTAGCTGCGTGTAATAGCACACACCTGTAATCCCAGAACTTGGGAGGCTGAGGCAGGAGGACTGCTGTGAGTTCAAGGCCAGCTGGGGCCACAGTGAGTTCAAGGCCAGTCTGAATTACACAGTGAGGCCCTGTTTCAAAAAAACCCAACCAACCAACCAACCAACCAAAGAATAAAACACATACACAAAAGCAAAAAAACCACATACAGCCAAAACAGAAAAGACTGAGTTTGCTTTCTTAAAAAACATGCATCCCCCTACTTGTGGAGAATTGCTGGTACATCATGTATGGCTCTGGGAACCTGTTGGGTTTTCCCGACTCCCAGCAGCACCATGCCATTCCATGAATCTCTGACAGAACACTCTTTATAGCCACTAGTGCTCAGCTGCTCAGGGCTATGTGTTTATATATTGTCATTCAACATTATCAATTGGATTAATTCAGAATCCAAATTTCAAGGAAGCCCTTCTAGCCCTTTGCCATGGCTGCCTTCACCTTATGCTTGTGAAGAAACCAGCAACAGCTTTAACTGACACTTTTCCGAGAAAAGTTGGATTTGGCTTTTCAAGTACCACTTGGAAATGTACATTTCACCAGACAGTATGTAAATAACTGCCTCCAAGTAATCTGCACGAAAATGTATCTATATGCTAGAGATTGAGGAAAAAAAGAGGAGTGCAACTTGCCCATAAGTCTGACAGATGATGGGGATGTTCCTTGGAGTTGTAAAGTAGTAGAAACTTCCTTATCTTCATACTAAGATCCAAGTAGGAATTTTTTATAATATATAAAAATAGGTCTTCCAGCTTCTAACGCTATGTTAATGTGGCTGAAACAAGTTAATCTTATGAATGTAGACATGTGGAAATGTTTACTTTTCTATGAAAGAGGCTTTCATTTTCTGTACGAAGCTCAAGGTCACAAAATGAACAGTCAAGTAAATTCTAGCCTCTTTCCAAATACTGGATGACTGGGCTCTTCCTCCTCTTCTCTCCTAAACTTGTTGTCATCCCACCCCCCCCTGCTGCTTTAGTTTTAGGCTAGGCCAGCATTCTGCCACAGAGCTATAGCTCCACCCATCCCCTATGTTTTTGGAACAGGCAGGGCAATAATATCCTTATCTGTTATTACTATTCTCCTACCAGGACCATAACCTTCTCCAAAGGCAGTGTCTTAGGGGAGAACCTGAACACTTGCTCTTGATAAAAAGCCCCAGAAATAAAATCTACACATAAAGAGGCCACTCAATCTTTGCAGCTTTAGAGAGGACGTTTAAACTTTCCACTTAGAAACATTTCATTTGGAAAACCTCACCTCCTCCCATTCCAGGTTAATTCCACTCAGTGGGCTACACCTTTCCTTTCCTTGGAGAGCTTGCAAGCTGGGCCTGGTCTAAGTCCTCTGTCTACCTGGCTGACCACGGTAACTGTTCCAGGGTAGAAATATGGCTCAAGTTAGACTAATCAGCATCCTCCCTGTGCCTTTCTGGTATTATAAGGAAAGACACACTCATATTCTAGCTAAAAACTTTTAAGGGTTATGGGAGTTTGAGGATGCAGGAAGTATCTTGCTCCTGAGTGGAGAGCTTTCCCAGCCAAGTGGAGCTGAGATGGAAGACAAATTTTAAAATGGTGCAAGTCCTTATCAGTACTGTAAATATAAATAAACTCACCAATTGCTATGGTCCGAATGTTTGTGTGTACCCCCCCTAAATTCATACAGTGAAACCTAATCTCCAATGCAACAGTAGTAAGAAGAGGTAATCGGTCCTGAAAAAGGGGCCCTCGTGAATGAGATTAGTGCCTTTATAAGAGGCCCAAAGGAACTTGCTTGCCCCTTCTTCTATCTGAGTAGTTACAGTGAAAAAGACTTTCTTTTTTGAGGAAAAAGGTCCTTATCACACATCAAATCTTTCTGTGCTCTGGCCTTCCTAGCCTTTAGAACTGTAATAAATTTCTGTTGTTTATAAATTACTCAGTCTAATGTATTTTGTTATAGAAGCAAAATGGATTAAGACACTAATGAAAGAAACTGACAGAATGTAGAAAAAAACATGACCTAACTATATGCTGTCTATCTATCATGGCATTGAGGATCAAACCCAGGGTCTCACACATGCTAGACAAGTGCTCTATCACTGAAAGTTGCATCACCAGACTTTTTCTATTTCCTTTTCTTTTTCAGTCTTTCTAAGGTGCCCAGGTTGGCCTCCAACTTGTGATCCTCCTGCTTCAGCATCCTAAGTAGCTGGGATTATAGGTATGTACCATTGCACCTAGCTTATTTATTTTTTAGTGGTACTGGGGATCATGCCAGAGCCTTAAACATACTAAGCAGGCTGAATGTAAAAGGATGAAAAAGATATTCCATGGAAATATTTGTTCTCTATATATTTTGTATTTTGTTTTTTGTTTTTTGTACTGGGAATCAAACTCAGGACCTTGCACTTGCCAGGCAGATGCTTGTACCGCTGAGTTATATCCCCAGCCCTGATATTCCATGGAAATAGTAAACAAAAGACAGTTGAGGTTGCTGTACTATCAGAAAATAGGAGTTAAGTAAAAAATTTAATGTGGCTAAAAAGTCACTATATATTGATTAAAAAGTCAATTCATCAAGAAGAAACAGCACACACGCACTACACAACAAAAGCCCAAAATATATGAAGCAAATATTCACAGAATTGAAGGGAGAAACAGTAGACAGTTTTATACAGTAATAGCTGGAGATTTCAGTGTGTCACATTACTAAGTACAACATCTAGATAGAAGTTTAGTAAAGAAAGAGAGGACTTAAACAACATTACACTGAGCAGACCTAACAGAAATATGTAGAACATAGGATCTAACTTTTCAAGTACATAAGAAATTCGCCAGGGTAGGTCACTTGTTAAATCATAAAACAAATGTGGCCTTATTGTGGCCACAGAACAATACACTTTTTAAAAGTCTGTCATTCAAAGCCTCTTTACCAGTCACAATGGAATGAGGATAGAAATCAGTAACAGAAGGAAAACTGGAAGATTCACAAATAAAGTGGTACCTCTGTTCATGAACGCTTTTACTTGCAAATTCTACAGTGGGTGACAAACACGACTGTAGCCATCTTTCCACACAAACATGAATGTGGCCATCTTTTCCAGAATTGTGTAATGAATTAAGTTCATGAACCAAGGTACCACTGTATATGGAAATTAAGTAACACTTTTTTTTTTTTTTCAGACAGGGTCCTGCTATGTAGTTCAGGTTGACCTTGAACTAACTATATAACCCAGGCTAGCCTCCAACTCATAGCAATCCTCCTGCCTCAGCCTCCCGAGTGCTAGAATCACAGACATGCACCACTATGTCTGGCTAAATAACACATTCTTAACCAACAGGTCAATAAAGAATTCAGAAGGGAAACTACAAAATACTTGGAGAGGAATAAACACAAACACATAACATTTCAAAACTATGGAATTCAGTCAAAATTGTGTGAAAAGGGAAATTACACCTATAGACACTTAACTTTATAAAAATAAAAATCACAAATTAACAACCTAACTTTATACTGTGAGGAACTCGAAAAAGAAGCACAAACTAAACAAAGCCAAAAGGAAGAAGTAAAAGTTATAAAATAGAGAACAGAAAAACAGAGATAATGAAAGAGTAAGTTTTAAAAAGAGAGACTTGGGCCAGGGATATAGCTTAGTGGCACAGCACCTGCCTAGCAAGCACAAGGTCCTGAGTTCAATTCCTGGTACAAAAAAATAGAGACAGGCTCAATAACCAAGAGTTGATTATTTGAAAAGATCAACAAAATGAACAAACTTTTATCTAGACTAATGACAAAAAGAGATAATATGAAAATAAAACTAGAACAAAAAGTGAAAGTGAGGACATTGGTACTAATCTTCCAGAAATAAAAAGGATTATAAGAATACCATGAACTAACCAAAAAAAAAAAAAAACAAAAAAAAAAAAAAAAAAAAAATATTGGGGGGCTGGGGATTTAGCTCAGCAGCAAAAGCTCCTGCCTGGCAAGCGCAAGGTCATGAGTTCGGTTCCCGGTACCGGAGAAAAACCAAAAAAAAGAGTACCTTGAACTATTATTATATGCCAACAAATTTAAAAATCTAGATGAAATGCACAAATTCCTAGAAACAGAAAAACTATCAAAACATGCCAGGTGTAGTGGTGCATGCCTGTAATCCCCACCTTCAGGACACTGAGAGGAGAGGATTGCCATGAGTTCAAGGCCAGCTTAAACTACATAGTGAGACCCTGTACTGAAATTTAAGAAAAGTCCAACAAGAGAAGTTGGCTTCACTGCTGGTACAGCTCTTGCCTACTATGTGTGAGGCCCTGGGTTCCACCCCCAGCAACATAGAAAAAATAAAACATAGAATAACCACATACCTAGCAATACCACTTTTAGATATATACTGAAAAGAACTAAAAACAGAGATTCAAATATATCTGAGTGGTCATAGTTGTACTATTCAAAATAGTCAAAGGGTAGATCAAATGCCTACTAATGATTGGAGAATGAGATCTATCTATTTATCTATCCATTCATCCGTCCATCCATCCAACTTAGCCATAAAAAGGGACACTTCTACCTGTTATAGCCTGGATGAACTTGAAAGACATTATGTTAAGTAAAAAATACTGACACAAAATGCACATATTGTATGACTCCACTTACTAGGACAAGTAAACCTGTAGAGACAGAAAGCAAACTGGTGACTGCCAGGGGCTGCAGGGAGATGGGAATGATCACCAACTATTTAAGGGATATAGGGTGAGTTTTTTTGTTTGTTTGTCTGTTTGTTTTTGTCTTTTTGAGACAGGGTCTTGCTATGTAGTTCAGGCTGGCCTTGAGCTCACTTTGTAGCTCAGGCTGGTCTCGAACTCACAACGACCCTCCTGCCTCAGCCTCCTGAGTGCTGGGATTACAGGTATGCGCCACCACACCCAGCCTTGTTTTAGTTTTTGGAAACAAGGTCTCACTATGTAGTTCAGGCTGGCCTTGAACTCACAGTGATCTTCCTGCCTCAGCCTCCCCGAGTGCTGGGATTACAGACATGCACCACCATGTCCAGTGGGATACAGGTTTGTTTTTTTTGTTGTTGTTGTTGTTTTTTTTTTTAAGGGATACAGGGTTTTAATCTGGGATGATGAAAATATCACATACTTCATGATGTGAATTTCACTTCAATTTTTTCCAGAAGCACCTGAGATAGCAGTCACAACAATGCTTAAAATTGGGAAAGTAGAGACTAGAAGAGGATATGAGAAGAGATTCAGATAGTGTTGGTCATTTTCTTTTTGATTAGATGTTGATTACCAAGGTGTGCTGACTTCATGAAAATTGAGCTTAACAAATGTGACGTGTGCTTTAAAAAAATATGAACATTATATTTTAATACAAACTTTTATTTTTAAAAAGTTACACAGTTACCAATAGCAATTCTATTTGTAGGTATACACCCAAGAAAACTGAAAATATATATCCTCTCAAAAACTTGCACATGAATATAGCAGCATTATTCATAATTGCTCCAAAGTGGAAATAACCAAAATGTCCACCAACTAATGGATAAACAAAACATGGTGTATATCAACGATATATTATGTGGTGAAGCAATGATACATGACACCATATGGATGAATGTTGAGAACATCATGCTAAATGAAAGAAGCCAGACACAAAAGACCACAGGCTGTATGATTCATGTTCAGAATAGGTAAAGCCATAGAGACAGAAAACAGACTGGTGACTGCCCATCTTAGGGGCAGCTTGAGAGCAGTGGTAATTGGGAGTTTTTGCCGATGGGTTCTGGGGGAGAGATGATGAAAATATTCTAGAATTAGTGGCAGTGGCAGCTGTACAACTTGAAGGTATTAAAAAGCAAAGAACTGTATATTTTGAGATAGTGAATTTTATGCTACAAAAAAATAAATCAGCTGTTCTGTGAATTATATTTCAATAAAAAGTAGATTTTAAGTATTTCATCACTTATATGTAAACTACAGAATATCAAATAAAAGAAATACAAAGGAGAAAACATTATTCAAAAATGTCCCCTTTTCCACTGCCTACTTCCCAAATCAGTACACCTCAGCCTTATACTTTAGACACCCGAACTAAGGTCTGAGCTGTAAGCCAGGAGATGGAGGTATAAATGTGGATCACAGTTTGGAATTCCAGCCTGTGACCAACACTTGTGCTTATCCCTGGAAAGGATAATATGATGGTTGATGAGAAACAGACCTCGGGTTGGAGCAAGAGAGATAAAGTGGTAGTGACCACGTGCTGGCAGACCTGGCATCAGGTTGCTTTTCACTGCTTCACCCACAGAGTCATGTTTTAGGCATGAGTAGACCTCAATGGCCATAATCTCAGTTGCAAGAGGCCCTGGGATGCTTTTTACCCTTTACTTTTTATTCTGTTGAAAGCTTAGGTTGTGTATTATACACTTTTAAAAAATATTTCAAGTATCACAAGTATTCCTAAAAGTTACCAAAACCATAGACTTAGTTGCATAGTAAATTACACCTCCAGGACTCTAAAAATGCATAATTTACCAGTTAGTAACAAAACTAGGCCAATAGTTTTCTGGGTGCATCTGGAATTGGGGTAGCTCAGACTTAAATGAATCTTAGAGTTTTAAGGACTTAAAGGTCAAATTTTATTGGGTTCTGGTTCTCATTTCCACTGTATTGCTGAGTTCCAAGTATAAAGAAGAGTAAGAGCTATTGGCATTTTAGATGGACAGAGTAAGGTATTTCCTTGGTATTCTGGAATGATGCAGTGAACGGGGAGGTAGTTAACACTGAGTGAAAACCAGCCGACAATTCTGAAGTTTGATATCAGAGATTTTTTTTTTTTTTTTTTGGTCTTTTTGAGACAGGGTCTCACTATGCAGTTCAGGCTGGTCTTGAACTGACTTTGTAGCCCAGGCTGGCCTCAAACTCACAGTGATCCTCCTGCCTCAGCCTCCAGAGTACTGGGATTACAGGTATGTACCACCACACCTGGCTATATCCAAGATTTTTTTAAACATTCTCTTTGTGACTGACTCCCTCCCTTGAGGCTCCTTTGCCTACTGACACTCCACTCCTTTAAGGACCTATCTAATTTTACTGATTCTTGCATGAACTTGTAAGGCAGGCTATAAACAAGACAGAAGATATTCTACTTTCTGGGGATTTGGAGGTATAGGGAGAATGGGAAGGCCTGAAGCCCACAATTTTAATGTAAGTATCATGGCACAAAATGGAGATGGAAGTTTAACAGATAATTTATCCAATGTAGAATGAGATGTGTGGTGAAAACTCTAAAATACACACCCATTATATCCAGTCTACTTTTCTCCTCCTCTGATACAAAGACACAGATACATTCACTCATCCAACTCACCATTTCCTGGTAGCTAAAATGCCTGGGCATTCTCCACAGCCATACCTACCTTCTGGAAGTCAGACCCTAGAGGTGACTGCCTACTGGTCACAAGGGTGTTCATCATTTCCATGATCTCCGTGACTTCTATCTTTACACTCCTGGAGCAGGAATGTCTGCTGCAGTGCTTCCTTTTGTAAATGTGCAGGCTTTTGGAATTGTTCCTGGAAAGAAAAGGAGAGTGATGAGTGAGAACCTGTAAAAATGTGATGATAGTGTTTATGTAAATAGGCTATGGGAAACTAAACGGAACCTTAGCAGGGGCATAGTTTCTAAGAGATGAAAGAAAATACTACTTCAATATGGTTGATTTCATCTTTTTGCTTTCTCCACTTCCTCTACCTTTTGTTCTCTGTGTATGTAACTATGTCTTTATTTTCATCCTGCTCATTCACTTCTTTTAAACATATTCATTTCCCTGATTTTCTACAAAACTCTTCTTTTTCCTGATTTCCCATGAATGGAATGAATAGAGGCATGTAAAGCTTTAAATCATTATGAGTAGATATATATCTTGCACTATTTTGCATCCAACAAAATGGTATCTTTTGTGTTCCTGCATGAAAGCTTTGTGGAGACAAGTATCTAGATTCATATAATTTAACAAACCAGTACTTGGCTATCAGTGGATATACATAGCTCAATAGAGATACAGGCAACAGGAAGAGGAAGAAAGGGAGATGAATGATAGGAGATTCTTTAAGAAGGTACGGTGCCGGGGCCAGGAATGTAACTCAGCAGCACAAGTCCTGCCTGGCACATACACAGTCCTGAGTTTGATTTCTGGTACCAAAACAAAAAAAAAAGTATGGTGCTTAGCATGGGTGGGAGTAGAGAGGTTTAGAAGTCTTGAGGGACAAAGCAGGACCTACTTGTAACTGTGGAAAGTAGATGAGAGGCATAAAGACAGGATGTACCAAATGAGACAGCTCTAAAAACATTTTTTAATACATAAAAGTATCCAGAAGAGAAAAAAAACTCCAAAACCTTGGCAATAATTCTGCAGCACCAGATAATCCTTACTGACATAAACGTATTTTATGTGTGCACATGCATACATATTTTATGGGTATAACGTATTTTTATATAAAATGCATTTTCATGGTCAGAAGGTAGAAACACAGAAAGTAAAAGCACTGCTCTGCATTCTTCCAAGACAAACCTTGAACACTTTTTTGTGTCCAGAAATGAAATTGATTTAGTCCTGATAACAAGAGGATGCCGGCCATAGTAAGAGGATGCTGAATTATTCCTGCAGTCAAATCAGAGAGGCTTACGGTTTGGCTGATTTCAACATACTTATCTGGCTGGAAGAAGAAAGGGGGCCATCTGAACATCAGAACCCTCGAAGTATTTTTTTTTTTTTTTTTTTTGTGGTTGCTTTTGTTTGTTGTAATTCTAAAGTTAGTTTGCCCTCCTCATCTTTAGTTTCTCTTCTAGGAGCTGCTGTATTGGCAGTGTGTACCCTTGCTAGCCTGGGAACATTACTCCAGAATACTGACGAAATGAGGGGCCACTGGCAGCCTTGACATACACACCCTACTACAGATGGGTGTTTTGTATATGGACAGTTGGCTTCTGAAGTGCTAAGCAATCGCAAACTACAATCAGCAATTCAGTTTTTACTCACTTATAAATTGCTAAATATTAAGGTTCAGTTAAGAAGTACAGCTACTATTACTGCACTGACTATTGCATCAAATTTTTATCGCACACCTTATGTGCCAAGCAACTGTGAACTATGAATATGATGATGAAGTAGCAGCAAGCAAAGACAAATTCCTGCTTCAGAGAGTTTATAATGCAGGTGGGTCAGGTATTAATCAAAGAAACACACATATGTAAAATTATAAACCATGTTAAGGCCGGGTGTGGTGGCACACGTCTGTAATCCCAGCACTCGGGAGGCTGAGGCAGGAGGATTGTTGCAAGTTTGAGACCAGCCTGGGCTACAAAGTGAGCTCAAGGCTAGCCTGAACTGCATAGTGAGACCCTGTCTCAAAAAGACAGAAAATTAAATAAATAAACCATATTAAGCGCTGTAACATAAACATTCATGTTTATGAATTACCTTCCTCCAAAAATGTGAGACAAGGGCAGCTCAGGATAGTAGTGATTTTTTTTTAAGAGTAATAGAATCCTCAGTGAAAGTTAACTGCTTATTTACCAATAACTACCATTATTTTATACATAACTTTTTAAGCTAAAAAGTTGGAAAATTAAACTCTAAGAAGAAATGTTCTTATAATCTACTTCTGTATGTCTGTGTTCTCACACAAATCATTGACTTTGTTTAGGATCTCAGCCTCCACTTAGCAAGTTTTGTTAAAGTGAGAAGAAGCAGAGTTTAGGAAGAGATTCAGAACAAAACAAAAACAATGCACCTCATTTAAGTGTTATAAGCTATCTGTTGTCTGAATCCTCACCCCTTAAAAACAAGGCATAATGTTCCTATTGGATTCCTGTGTCCTGTATGTCTACTACTCATTCTTCCTCAGACCTTGAATCTGGATATCTGATGAGACAGACATATATTCTGGTATGTTCTACTATTGAAACACTACATAATTTATGGACCTTTTAGAGATGAAGCAGCATGGGATAAGGTGGGACAACTTTCCTGCATTACTCAGCAGTATTAGCAGAATGATAAATATTAAAAGCATTACATGCCTTGTGGGTAGAATGGCAGCTTACAAGGTAGGAAGCCTCCATTCAGAAAACCAAGGGAATTTTTTGAGGGTTATTTATACAACTTAAAGCACATGTGGATATTTGCCCACATTTAACCATCACTGATGTTCATTTGTGCTCACATGAGGGGGCCCAATAAAAATTGTTCCTGATGTTTGCAGAAGTCTAAAACATAGCTGTTTTATATAGAAACCACATGTAAAGATCAGGGCCATTCCTTGCATGTGCTTTGTCTCCAAGTTGAAATTTTATTCAATACTGTGATGGGAGGGCATAAAAAGAAATACACCCTACCTCTTGGTGCTAGCTACAAAGTTAGACTCCTGACCCTTTCTTTTCACACAGCTTTTCTGGATGCGCTTCAAAGCTAGATCCCAAGGGACAGAATCGAAGGGAAAGAAATCAGTACCACTACCCACCCAGACTATGGAATCCTAAAAGCTCTCCCTTTCCTGGTTCAGGGCAGACACAAAAAAAATGCCATTCCTGCAACTCTTAGAAATGTGCCTTCTAGAAAAAGCTCCAGATTGGTAGATGACTTTGGTGTAAATCCTGAAGCTACCCAGAAATTGTAAGAGTTATTACCAAAATTTAAGCTCTAAGTACCCCAGCCCCAACTACCTAAACTGGTTTTGCCCTTCCTGAAATTTGCTTCTTTTCCCTTATCATTCCTCTCCTGACCCCCGCTTACCTAGCGGGGAAGATTTTAACTTCCTCAAAGAGTGAGGTTAAGACCGGCATATGATTAATTTCTCCCCACTGTTTCCCTAAACTCATCTATCTTTTCCCAGAGAGATTAAACAAGAAATAAATAGGTCTGAAAGTCACTGCAAACTAGCATTTTTTAACTCTTATGTTCCAAAATTCCTATAGCTAACATCCTAGGATAAGAAAGAAAATAAGTGGGAAAACAAACCTCTCCAAAGCTTAAGAGTTTAAGCTTTATTAAAAGACACCTTTTTGAGAGAGTCTGTGGTTTCCAGGTCAAAAGTGTGCTGAATTCAGGCTATGGCTGAAAAAGCATACCTAGAGATTACTCAGGACAGCCTGACCCTGTAAACATCTGGTGCTGAAATGGGGATAATGATCCTCATCTTAAAAGAACCCTATGACACAGTGAGATAAAGCACCTTGTCAAAATATTATAGTGAATAGCGGAGGCATTTTTAATGAGTAGCTCTCTCAAATGTTTCCTTTCCACAACGTGAAAAGGGGCCATGATGACTTCTAAATTGACATTACTGAAGGCTCTAGAAAAATTTAGTAGCCTACTAAAATTCAACCTAAGGATTCTGCAGCTCTGTACACATGTAAATAAGGAAAAAAGAATCCTGAGAATAAGACTATTACATCACCTTTGAGGAATAGGTTAAGGGAAAGGACTCAGAAGTCTATGTTGAGCCAGGTTACAAACTGCTGACCAGAGGGATGGCAGAAGGAAACTGGAACAGAGATTAGAAAATCTGAAGACTGACTCCCTGATTCCAAACAGCATCTCAGCAAGAACCTGACTGTCCTAAGGAAACTCAGTTCCTAGAAGAGCCTGAGCCAAAACAAGGGATTATAAGAGCTTCACAGTAAGAAGACACCAATACCAACCACTGAGGTCTCTCACCACCTATGTGGCAGCACAGAGGTATAGACTATCTAATCTAGTATTTTGGTACCAAGGAAGTAGCTCTGACAATTGGGGGAAAAAATGAATGGAGGTAGAAACAAACAAGTCAGTAAAGGTTCACTATTTTAGTCTTCCTTTGAAGTTCAAATGTGTGTGGTTTCAAAACAACAATCCAGAAAGAAACATGAGATTAATGCATTTATTCCACGAAATTAACACATTAAAAATAAAGTTAAACGTGTTCAAGCCAACTTATAAATTCTTTAATCTTTTTAACAAATGTACAACCCAAAACACCACACTGGTGGAAATAATTTGGGATAGGGAGAGGTAGAAGAAGGGATACATACAGGTTTGTGGAACAGAATGAGTTCAATCTCAAGACACATTTTAAATCTTCTGCCTCTTCCAACAAAAATGGTTGCTAAACAGTTTAACACAAAGTACTAGTGGAGCACAGTACAATGAGCGAATGTAATTTTAAAAATGAAAGCAATTCCCCAAAAACATATCTGCTCCTGGGATTGGGCCATGCATGAATAAGCCTTACCGATTTGCTGTCTTCTGAGAGTCTGCCAGAGTTTCTTCCACGTTTACTGAGGCCATTTCCAAATAGGTTTGTGGGCCAGCAGGACCATCTCAAGCAACAGCAACAGTAAGAAGGGAAGTATGGGAGTTGACATGCCAATAAGGGAAGTAAAGAAACATAAACAAAAGGGCTACTCACGCTGCATTTCAAACAATGTTAAGGCAGGCCCATCCAAATGGAAGCCTAAGAGATGAACAATTCTTCCTTTGTCAGTAGAAGCTTTCCATTTCAACAAGCTTTTTTCCCCGTGCTTCTCCCAGAGATCCATCAGTTGTCCAGGAAATTTGGCAGGAATACAACACAGTAGGTGGAGAAGTCAGCTCTCTGGTTTCCCCCCTCTCCCACATTCTACAAATAGCAACATCAAAGCCAAAATACAATCAGAGCACACTATGTGGTGAACAGATAGACATTTGACTTTAATGACAACATAGGAGAAAATAATTTGGCCAAAAGATAAAAAAAAAATTAACAGAATTTTTTTTTTTTACAGATACATATATAAGTTATGATTGGTTTGCCTCATACTGTAAGGGGAAAGGACAAAAGGAAAGGAGGTACATTTTTTAGCTTCCATAAATATTTACTATAAGATGTTGACTGCACCTCATGGTGCAGGTTCCAGATGAGATTGCCAACCAGTCCTGGATTATCTGGGGATCCAATTTCTAGAAGCCCGTTTGGTTCATCCACAAGGAGCCCTGGGTGTTTAGTCATGAACACTGGATTCTGCGTGGTCCTGGAAGGGACTGACTGCAGCTTCATCAGTCATTTCCTGAGGGACCATATTGCCTCCAACTACCAGCTCCCCTGAAAGGGACCCTGAAGCTGAAGTTTTGACCAAATTCAAAGGGTTCTCATTGTCCTCATTTGCTTGAAGAACTGCTATCTCTGTAATGGAGACATTTGGGATTTCTAGCTGTAGTGGTCCCATCTCCAAGGAGCTACACTTAGGAGGGTCATCTGGATCAGAGAATGGAGAACACAGTTTCTCTTTCAGAATGCCAGATGTCCGTGAGACAAAGTCAACGAGATCTGGAAGGCAAGGAGATGGTCCAAGGCCTACAGGACTAACTGTTCCTGATTCCAACCTGAGTGAGTCTTGCTTCTGTAACTGGGAAACTTCTTCTGCTTCTTCATGCAGCCTTCCCCCTGACAACAGGTCAAGGGCCTGATGTGTTCTCTCTGGGCTGCCCAAGCCACAGTCAACATTTTCTATAGGAAGTCCAGTCTTCAAAATGTTGGGAGAAGTGATCCTCCTACTTACAGGATTAGAGGAATTATGTTCACCCTCTGTTGCAAAGTTAAGCACCAGGGTTTTGCGACAATCTAATGGAAACCCAGAAAAAGATGAGACTGCTTCTAAGTCACTGGGGGTAGAGGGATTGTACCCTGTAGATGATACAGAAGTTTCTTCACATGCTTTCTGAGACAGGGTAGTTGGAGATCTATGTCCTGGATCTAACTGAGTATCACAGAAATCAGTGCATTTCTCTCCCAGATTCCCCAGAGCAGCAAGCTCCTTTACCTTTAAGTGTGTAGCTTCAAGGTCTGCTAAGGCCTTGCTTTCTATTGTTGCTGTTAATTCTGGATGAACGTCTCGAAGATTCACAGTTTCCACTTCAGGTTTCTCTGGGCTCTTGTTCTCATCCCAAACAGCCAACTCATAGAACATTTTACCTTGAACATCCTTTGATCTTTCTTTTTGGAGTTTGAAACTTCTGTATCTAGAAGTTCTGAAAGCTGATTCTGGAGTTGAATTTTCTAGCCATTCTTCACTACCACCTGAAACTCCTTGTTCCTGGGGATTATCTGTTAAATATGTATCTGGTCTTGCTGGATACTGAAGAAGCAATTCCGGGGTAGAAATTTTCCCTGGCTTATCTTGTGGATTCGGGATGAAAGACCTATCTTCTGATGGAAATGAGTCTATTTTTGCCTTTGTAGAGGAGAGACCCTGTGCATTCAATTCAGTGATTACTTTACTTGGAGTTTCATGTCCTGTCACTAATTTCTTAGACTGTTCAGGCTCCCTGTCAATCATTAGCAACTCTGGCTGTTCTACTTCTCCCTCCCACATGTATCTGTTCTCATGCTTCAAATTAGAATCTTCTATGCTATGGGGCCCAGAGTTGGCACCTGCTCCCTCTTTAACTGTTACCCTTCCTTTTACTTCAGTGTTTGTCTCCATTTCACTTTTTCCATAATCCTTAGAGCTGTGGAGCTCCTGGTTTTCCTTATTTTGGTTACCAGAATTTATGAGGTGAACTACCATTTTCTGAGATTCCTTGGTATGACATTGTGTACCTGACAGCTGAGGATCTAGGTCTACACCAGGTGGCCCCGGCTCTCCCAAGTCAAGTTCAATTTGCCCCTTTGAAGCTAGATCCCTATCACTGTTACTCTGGAAAGCGCTATTAGTCCACATGGCTGAAGTGTCTGTCTTTGGAGTAGTTTTATGAGGTCTGTTTTGGCACAACCTTGTCAGAGGTTGTAAGAAGCTATAGCTACTATCTCTGCTTTTTGAGTCTGTTTCCTTTACAATTGACCGTTTCCCTACAGACACCACAGTTTCTACAATGGGATTTTCATGGTTCCTGACTATGGGAGCAGTGACCAAGCCTCTGTCTTGAGGCATCTCCTTTTGAGAGGTACTGCTGGTCAGGGGAGAAGTAGAAGTATATGAATTTTCAGTTTTAGATAGGTGGCTATTTTCCCCATTAGCCAATGGACCACTACTCAGCTTAGTCTCAGAGGCCCCTTTTCCACCACTACTATAGAATATGTCATACAGATCTTTAGCATTGGCTGTAGCTAAGCATGAATTTCGCTTCTCTACCTTTTTGGCCTGTTCACTGAACACACTTGAGAGCGGTGGAGGAGGACGCACTAACATAGAAAATAGAGTCTGGTCCCAGTCACTCTCACTCACCCCAGGAGCTGTCTCATCAGAAGGAATGGCAGCTGGCTGTGCTGAGGCCTTGAAGGCTACAGGCAACACTGAGTTCAGAATGTTAGGACCCAGGAAGCCAGAACTGAGAGTCTGAGATACAGCTGAGTTTGATTTTCCTGGAGTCAAGACCACATTTGCTTGAGCAGGAGATGGAGCAGTGGGATGAGGTATAACTGGAGGTGGGGGAGGTGGAGGAGGAGATGGAGGAGGAGATGGTGGAGGAGGAGGTGGAGGAGGAGGGGGAGGGGGAGGAAGAGGTGGCGGCGGTGGCGGCAACATTTGCTCAGGTATATGGGATGGCTCATTCTTTTCAGCCAGCACTTTTTCCTCTGGAGACCCTTTTAGAATCACTTCTTCTCCTCCAAAAGCTTTGGAGATGATGTCTGGAGGCAAGAGGAGATCAGCTGAAGACTCTTTAACCACTGGCAGAGGTTTAGCAGTAGTTCCAGAGGACTTGATGGACAGAAAGGTGTTAAGAGGGGCAGGCTTGCTCACTGTAGCTGAAGCTGACTTGCGGAGTACTGTGGATGGGATAGGCAGGTTGGGTCGGATTTTAGTCTGTGCTGAAGTTGTCACAACAGGCATCCAGGGGCTGGTATGTGCAACAACAGTTTTCCCAGATAGCTTGATTTTGATGGGCTTTGCCTTCCCAGTTTCAGCTTTGCCATCTTCTTTATCCTTACTGCTTTCCACAATCTCTTCTTTAAGGATACTTGGGGCTACCTCTGAACTCTTTTCCTCTTCTTTTTCTGACTTCTTCCAGCTGAATTTCCCAAAAGATGATGATGTTGGTGATTCCTTCTTCACCTCTTCTTTTAATTGGAGTTTGATGTTCAGATTCCTTTTATTTTCAGCTTTTTCAGGGGAGTTCCAACACTCAGAGACTTGGTCTTCTAATTCCATACAGATCTTGTCACTCTCCTTTGTTTCTTTCACAACCTTTGCCTTTTTTTCTTTCTCCTCTTTTTGTTTCTCCCTAAGTTTGCGCTTTAGCTCATTTTGCCGTCGCCGTTCTTTCTCTAGGACCACAGCAAATGGGTTAGGCTGACGGTCTAGGTTCCGCCGCTCCAGATTCCGCCGCTCCAGATTCCGCCTTGCCTCATACAATGGATTTTCATCCATGTATTTCTGGGAAGAGAAAAGATAAAGGCTCAACAAGTGGTCAAAATACTGTAAGAAAATCTTGACCCCTGCCATTGTTCGAATTCACTTAGCAGAAATCCCTAAAATAATCTTTTTGAGTAATCTTTTTTCTGTGAGCTGTTCTGTTAGCTCTGCATCTCTCATTAGGATCAGGAAGAACCTTGTAGTTGTTACATGGAATTTAAAGTGTCAGTGATTATTTCTGACTCTGAAATTTTACAAAGTCAAAGGAATTACTACAGAAGGTGTTAAACTCCACAGGGTATTACAAAAACCAACCTTGTATTTGTCATTGTGTTCGTGACCCTTCACATGTTGCTCTCCAGAAATTGGATCGCCCAAAAGTTCTTCACAGAGTAGGCAGTAAAATCCAGTAATAGGAATCAGAAACTCACAGCCTGAAAGAAATAGAAGTTAAGGAAATAAGTCTTTTCCACAAAGGTTCAGGTTGACAGTAACCAAAGGAAATCTCACCAATCCTTTGTAGAACGATGGTTGTAGTATCAAGGACCTTACCTACTCTGAAGTCAGAAGTAGCACTTTAGATGAATCCCAAGGGCATGGTCCTCCCAATCTAAGCCTTGAACTCTCAACCTCTATTCCTTCCACCTCTTGTGAATACTAGCTGGCTAACTGAAGAGTTTCCTATTTCTGTTGCTAATTCTCCTTGAACTCCAAGTAGCACTAAGCATATTGGGAGGTTTACAACAGCCAAAACAGCCTACTACCATTTATATGAGGATCTCACATGTTGGTATTAAGTACTCAGGAGTCTATCTTCTATAGAGCTAAAGCATGTGGTACCCATCGATTATCTGTGAAGGTAAGAAATTGTAAAGTTTTAAGATGAACTTTTTACTTTTCAACTTATGGCCTAACTCAAAATATTTTAAGAGTTCTTAGTTGAAAAGGTAAATTACTACACCTTTTACTGTCCTTTAAATCTGGACTTCAAATAAATAAGATTTTAGGGCATAACCTAATGATAAAGACAGTTGTTCTGCTCTACTTTAAGTGGTACTTATATATTGAATATCTATTAGATTTCTGGCGTGTAGAGATCACTGTTTTTTTCTATCTTTTGGTCCTAACACACTACTGTGTATATCAAAGCCATTCTTACAGTTTTATTAAAAGGAATAGCTGAGTCTATGCTATACTGCTTCCTGGTACTTTAACTTAGAGACATGTCTTCCTCAAATGAATGTATGGAAACCATAACAGAGGTAGGGAGGAAACATACCTTTTGCAGGAACAGTTATCTTGTCAGTATGCTTTAGAGCATCTTGCTTGGCCTCACTCTGGGTCTTTGAAGCCCAAGGTCTGTGGTAGGGATCCAGTGTCTATTTGCAAGAGGCAGAGGTGCTCACACAACAGCACTAAAAACTCAACGACCCACTTTTCTTTTCTCTCTTTTTCCCCCATGTATAAGACCAGGGAAGCAGAAGCCCCTACCTATCTACCCCCCACCCATTCCCTCGGCCAACTGTTTAAATGGAAACCACCTGTGGAAAAGGTAAATAACATGTTAGAGCAAGTACTAGAAATGGATAAAATGAAACAAAAAAAATTAGGCATGTAAGGCATCAAGAGGCAGAAGCCTCACTTACACTTGTCATGATGTTTAATTCTAGGCAGGTCCCCTGAACTGAGCCCTAGGGATCATGTCTCCTTTATTAATATCTCTTGGCTCTTCAGATTGAGAATTTTTCATTTTCCAGCTTCATAATGCAGATGGGCATAAAGAAGTTGGAAGGTAAGGAGGGTGACAGTGGAAACAACAGAGGGCAAAATACCTACCTGTGTGTGCTTCTCATGGTGCATGTGGGTGAAGAAGTCAAACATAGTCCCACAGATGGTACTGCAGCTTTTGCACCAGTGGTTGCCAGCATCATAATACTCACAGCCAGCAACAGGCTGATCACACTGCTTAGCAGGTGGCTGGGGGCTTTCAGCAGGCTTAGGGCTCTTCACACAGGTCTTCTCATGGTTTACCTTTGATTCCTAGAGGAGAAAAACCTGCACTTACAGAAGAATTCAAGACAATCCACACTTCTGTTAGAAAAAGTGGCCATAGTAATAGGAATGTGGTTGTAGGACTACATTTCCAATGCCTAAAAAGTCATACAAGCTGGGGATAACCAAGACTCCACGCTTCAAAGAGAACTAATTAGATCCCATAATTTTCTCATATCATGGAGAGTAAATCGTAACAGTAGTATACTTGTTTACACATCCTAAATACCTCTAGAATACCACTCCAGATTGTGAAAACACTTGGTGCCTATGAAAAGAGAAACTGAAGAACAGAGTGGTAGGGGTCTTTTCACTGTATAACCTTTGGCAGACATTGAGTGTGTTACCTATGTAATCATGTACAATGGTTAAATTTTAAAATTATAAGGCAATTAAAGAAGAAAAATTAAAATGCAAAGTTAACTGACAAGTTAAGAGTAAATGAAGAAAACTGGTGATAGTGAACTCAAATATCACATGCATTCTGATATGGAAAACTGTAGTAGTACTGGTTAATGTCAGTATGTAAGGTACAGAAAAAAGATAATTTTGTCACACAGAGAACATAAGTATGCATGGGGAGTTACAGCAGAAAAGAAAAGGAAACTGGGCATGTGGAATACTAATAGGTGAAGATAAGGGATTGCAAAAGGGAAAAAAGAGATACCCTTTTCTTAACAGCGTCACTAAAGAGATCACACTCAGAAGGGAATCATAAAGTTCCTCCACTGATGGTGGGAATATTAACTGGTATCATCTTCTGGAAGGCAATCTAGGAATACGTATCGCAGACCTCAAAAATTATAGACACTTTTGACCCAGCAACTTGATTCCTTCACATTGAGCCTAAGGAAATTATTATGTCAAGCAAAGGTGATTTGATTGGTCAGATAAATTCTGCTGTTCACGTGGGGAAAAAACCCACAAAATAAAGTCATTAAAAGTTAATACTGGGATGAGGTATAGCTCAGCAGCATGATGCCTGCCTGGCAAGTACAAGATCCTGAGTTTGATTTCCAGTTCCAAAAAAATAAATAAAATAAAATAAAAGTTAACATTAAAGGGCTGGAGATGTAGCTCAATGGTAGAGCACTCGCCTAGCATGTACGAGGCACTAGGTTCAATCCCCTGTACTGAAAAAGAGAAAAAAAATTATAGTAGTATGTTTATTGACATGGAAATCTGTTCATGATTGTTATGGTTGTTACATTGTGTCAACTTGGGGAGTGGAGAGGTTTGGCTAAGTGACTCAGCAGGAAGCCAGGGTGCTTACTTTGTATGCATCCTGAGCACCTGGAAGAGAAGGGCATGGAGATTATGTGAGAGCTACACGCCCCTTAGGTGGGAGTAGCCTGTTTACAATGTAAGGGAGGGAAAGAGGCTGCTTGCCGCCATTCCTCCCATTCTGCCCGTTGGCTGCTTTGCTTTCGGCTGCCATTCCCTGCTTTGCTCTTGTTGCTTTGCTAGCTTCTCCCTCGGAGCCAGCCAAGTATGGACTGAAACCTCCACAAACTGTAAGCTAAATAAACCTTTCCTTCTTTAATTTTGGGCATTGGGTATTTTGTCTCAGCAAGAGAAAAGTAACCAAGACAGAATTTGGTACCAGAGGAGTGGGGTCGCTGCTGTGACTATACCTGACCATGTGGTTCAAGAGCCTTTGGAAATGGCTTGTGGGAAGTGTTTGGAAAGGTTCCGAGATGTTGCCTGAAAGAGAAGCGCTAGAAAACCTTCGGCTGTTCTGTCTGGGAGATTCTGGTCAGAGCTTGGAAGACCAGAAAGCTGATAGAAATCTTGCCAGTAAAGACCGGGTTTGGGAGGTTTCTGCTGGGAAAAAGCACTTCATTGGTTGTTGGACTCTAGACGATGTGTGTTATGGCTTGGCAAAAAGTTTGTGTGCATTGTGCTCATGTCCAGAGACTTTGCCTAAGACTAAGATTAAGGGCGGCAGGGGACTGATTAATCTGGCAAAAGAAATTTCAAGGCAGTCGAATGTTGGGGAAGTGGCATGGCTATTGTTGGGGGCTTTTAGCCAGATTTATATTGAGAATCAAGAGCAAAGAGCCCAGCAGAATGATTTAAAATGTTGTGAGTTTGGCCACAAATAAAGCTGTGGACTGCAGAGATAAGGCTGAGAAGATCTCTATTGCTGAGAAGGAACAGGAGAATAGAAAAGATGGCTGAGGGCATCACAAGAAGCAGCAAGTCTCCACTCTTTGCAGCCTCAAAACTGCAAAGGTGACAGACCTTGCCTTGAGAAGGAAGCCTCAGAGCACCAGGTTCCAGAATGGCGGCAGCATAGAAAATCTGCTCCTCAGAATTGGATTCAGAGTGCCCAGCGATCCAGGTACTCGACCCTTATGGCCAAGAGAGAGGAAAGCTTTCCTACTGCTCCAGGTGGCAGCAGACCTTGGCATCATCCACATGGCCCTGGCTTTAGGTGCGTGGAGAATGCAAGAGTTCTGAGGTTTAAGAGGCTTCCACCCAGATTTCAGAAGGCCTGGGAGGCCAGGCAGTATTCCCGAGGGGGTAGTGTGTGAAGCTGTGAGTGTGAAGCAAAAGGGGCACTGGAGACCTCAGAAGTTTAGAAAAGCCAGGACTGTGGATCATCTAAGGAAGGCTGCAAGGAAGGAGCAAAGCAGGCCTAAGAGAGAAGCCGTGGAAGCTGTAACCACTGGAAGTGCCATAGGGGTGGACTCATGCAATCCCTTTGGAGCTCACAATGTGCCACAAGTTGCTTCGGATGCTGCATGTGGAATTACAGCACATGTTAGCTCTGCTGGATTTTGGACTTGCTTTGGTCCCAATGCTCTGTATCCCCGTTTGTACCTTTTGCAATGGTACTGCTTATTTTGTGCCACTGAATGTTGGAAGTGTTTAACTTTTCATTTGTACAGGGGGGTCATAGCTAAGAGTTTGCCTTCACCTCGGAGGAGACTTGGGACTTGGACTCTGCAACAGTGCTGAAATGTTAGGACTTTGGCAATTCTTGCAGATGGACTAAATGCCTTTTACATAAAAGGATGTACATGAGTCTTTAGGAAGTGAAATGTTATGGTTCTAATGTAATATAATGTCTTTGTATCTGGAAACTGGTTTAAAGAAATGTGTCTGGTTGCCAAGTTAACAAGGGGTGGAGTGTTATGGTTGATACATTGTGTCAACTTGGGGAGTGGAGAGGTTTGGCTAAGTGACTCAGCAGGAAGCCAGGGTGCTTACTTTGTATGCATCCTGAGCCCCTGGAAGAGAAGGGCAGGGAGATTATGTGAGAGCTACACGCCCCTTAGGTGGGGGCAGCCTGTTTACAATGTAAGGGAGGGAAAGAGTGTCCTATTCTGCCCGTTTGCTCTGGCTGCTTTGCTTTCGGCTGCCATTCCCTGCTTTGCTCTTGTTGCTTTGCTAGCTTCTCCCTCGGAGCCAGCCAAGTATGGACTGAAACCTCCACAAACTGTAAGCTAAATAAACCTTTCCTTCCTTCATTTTGGGCGTTGGGTATTTTGTCTCAGCGAGAGAAAAATAACCAAGACAATGATATACCGAGAAAAGTAACAAAACACATATGCATAAACATAGGCATAGAGATATGTAAAGAGGTATAGACTGTGAAAAGTTATTTTATCCAAAAGACCTTCTCTAACCACTTTATAACCCTCTTCTTAGACTCTCACTATGTAGCCCACGCTGACCTCAAACTCATGGTGATCTTCTCGCCTCTGCCTCCCAAGTGCTGGGATTACAGGTGTGCACCACTATGATCAGCTCCTTTTTAGGCATTTTTCCTTACTTAATACACGACTGTATATTTATTGTGTTTTCTCCTATTTCATGAAAACAGTCTATACTGTTTCCTGTTACAGTTCCCCTATCTAGACTGGTGCCTGACATTTTCTTAGTGATCATTAAATATTTGTTAAATGAATTTATAAACAAAGGAATAATATACAGAATAATATACACCAAGATATAACAGCTTTCTCTAAGTAGATGGAGTTGTGGGCTTTTGTACATGCATACTTTTCTGAATTGAATAGAAAGAGAAAACAGCAAACCCAACTATATATTTTAATTAATTAATTAACTAATTAATTAATTAATTTTTGTCTTTTTTGAGATAGGGTCTCGCTATGTAGTTCAGGCTGGCCTTGAGCTCACTTTGTAGCCCAGGCTGGTCTCGAACTTGCAAAGATCCTCTTGCCTCAGCCTCTTGAGTGCGGGAGTTACAGGCGTGCGCCACCATGCCCAGCTTCTGACTATATATTTTAAAGAAAAGCAAAGGTCTAGGGGTACAGCTCAGTGGTATGGCATCTGCTTAGCATGTACTACATCCTAGGTTCAATTCTTGGCATCACAAAAAAAAAAAAAAAAAAGAAAAAGAGAGGCAGAAGAAGCAAAGAACAATGAAAAACTAAGGACAGGTAAGAAAGTTCACAGGCATAACATTCCTTACTACTGAGATGAAAACTAAATTGTAACCTACCCCTATGGTAGCTTTAGAAAATGTAAAGACTTAGCCATGTTAAGACTATATTATTATGGTGTTGGTATAGAAGGAGAAGCCTACTATATAAAAGGTAAAATTGAAAACTACTGAATGCTTAAATAGTAGCTGAGCCTGGTGGCACATGTCTGTAATCCCAGAACTTGGGATGGTGAGGCAGGAGTTTGAGGCCAGGTTAGACTACAAAGTGAGTTCAAAGCAAGGCTGAACTACATAGCAAGACTCTGTCTCAAAAAAAAAAAAAAAAATACAGTGAAGGACACACTGCCAGGACCAGGGACATAGCTCAGCGGCATAGCACCTGCCCAGTACGCACAAGGTCCTGAGTTCGATTACCAGTACAAAAAAAAAGGACACACCGCCACTAGTCTCCCTTATGATACTTCCCCCTTCCTCTTATTTCAAACACATTTATCCCATCATTCACACCACTTTCTGCAGCAGCTCTGAAAATCCTCTTTTCTGAGTATCTGTAGCTGCACTGTCCTGGTCACCTTGATATCCAGAATTGATTTTAAACATTTACATTTCATGGTCATTTTGACTTTGAGGAAAACCCAAAAGTCACACAGTGCCAGATTCAGTGAAGAAGGTGCATGAGGACACACCATCATGTTTATATGTGCCTGCCTTCCTGTTGGTAGCACTTAGCAGCAGTGCTTTTGATCTTTTGATGCTTTTTTGATCACATCTTGTAAAGACACAGAAGGACTTCACCAGTGCTTCAGGAAGTAGCAACAAGTTAAATGTGTTTGAAGTGAGGAGAAGCATTCTGGAGAGGGGGCTAATGGCAATGTGTCTGTTACTGTACTACTTTTTAAAAAATTAAACATTCACTGTGTATTTTGATCACAACTTAAATAAGTCAACTAAAAAGGGTCAGAATTTTTAAGCTCTTCTGCCAGTAAAGGTCCTGGACTCAAGATCTAGATATAAAGAGACAAGAGTCTATCTGATTAAGAAAGAAATTAAGAGCTTGGTTGATGGATAACACAGCACATCCTCTTCCCTATCCCTCAATAGCAACTGAGAACCAACTATGTGCCTGACATACTGGATGATGTGAAAATAAAAATATAAATCAGTTATGCTTCTTTATCTTAAAAAAATCTCTCCTTTAGTGGAGGAAACAGACATGAGAATAGTCTTTAAATAAGACAATGAAATAAATCTTACAAAGAAACAAGGAATTTATTATGGAAATGCTAAAGCAAGGTTGACTGGCTGGGTGTGGTGGCATAGGTCTATAATCCCAGCACTTTGGAGGCTGAGGCAGGAAGATTGCTGCGAGTTCAAGGTGAGCCTGGGCTACAAAGTGAGTTCAAGGCCAGCCTGAACTACATAGTGAAACCTTGTCGCAGATGAAAAAAAAAGAAAGGCTGACTAAATCTGGATAGAATTCTGACAGAAATGTAGGAAGGATTATTCATCAAGTTGATCCTCAATGGATAAGTAGGATTCCAAGAAAGATTATTCCTGGCTTTATTAATGAGAAATCAGAGAGGTTTAAAAGTGTATTACACATCTGGAAGACTGTGAGCACTGTGAGGTGATAGGCATGTAAGATATAGTGTAACATTTTGTGAGTACTACTCATAACTATGTGCTGGGCATTTATCTGTATACTGGTGACTATGTTGGAGAATATGACAGACACAACCCCTGATTCCTTGAATGTTAAAATTTAATTGGGGGAACACGTGTAATTATATAATTACAACTGTCATAAATGGAAAAAAGGAAAATTATAAGGTATTATGAACAAATTTAATAATCTGATGAATCAAGGAGGGGAACAGAAGTAATTTAAGCTGTGATCTGAAGAAAAACCATACATTAGAAGAGAGAATAAGAGCCAGGCGTGGTGGTGCACGCCTGTAATCCCAGCACTCAGGAGGCTGAGACAGGAGGATCGTTTTGAGTTCAAGGCCAGCCTGGGCTACAAAGTGAGCTCAAGGTCAGCCTGAACTGCATAGCAAAACCATGTCTCAAAAAGACAAAAAAAAAAAAAAAAAAAAAAGAAAAGAAAAGAAGAAGAAAAGAAAGAATAAGAAAAGAGTTGGGCTTGCATGGTAAAGAAAGGCAAGATGTAAAGGCATTACAGTGAATTTATGTTTAAGGAAGAAAAAGGCCAGTAAAGAAATGACAGTTATCAAGAAGGAAGAGGCATGCAATGAGACTAAAAGGGTAGGTCAGACAGTATTACAATGACTAGCTGAATGTGAAGAAAGGATTAAGAATGTTGCAGTACAAGCAAGAATTTAAGTAGATGGAAATGAGAGATGGTAAGGTGAGTGCAATTGAGACTCACTTTGAAGAGAGGTAAAGAATTTGTAGTTGATTGAGTATAGGGCAGTTAGTGAGAGGAAAGTACAGAGAATGCTTTTGAAGTTGTCAGCATGAAAACTGCTGGGATACCCAGGCATGGTGGCACAGACTTACAATTCTAGCTGCTCAGGAGACTTAGACAGAAAAAGTCTGAGGTCAGCCTGGGCAATTTACTGAGACTGTGTGTAAAAATAAAAATACAGCTCAGTGGTAAAGTATTTGTCTAGCATGCATGAGTCTCTGGGTTCAACCCACAGTACAGAAAGGAAGGAAGGAAAGAAGAAACGCAGGTGGGCAGGCAAGCAGGTGGGCAGGTGGGGAGGAAGGCAGGAAGGTGAAAGGGCAGGATGTCGGATAGCGGTGCTATTCATCAAGAATGGATAACACCAGAGAATGGGCTGTTACACCCTCAGAAGAATCATTTCAGCTCAAATATAAAACTGGAAGTTGCCACATAGTATTTCCAATAGAACTAGATGAAATGGCTTAAGAAGAAAGAGTAGGATTCTGAAGAACTGAGCTAGGAATGAGCCCTGACAAACTCAAATATTTAAAGATCATATAAGAGAGGGACAAACAGTAAAGACCAAGCTGCAGTAGCCAGTGCCCTAAAAGAAAAAGAAGTGTGACAGAAGACAAAAGAAAACATTTGTAGCAGAAAGTATTTCCCTGTGTTGAATGCTGCTGATTGGAGAACTGAAACATAGCCAGTGGTTTCAGCAACAGTGGTACACATGAACATGGGTGCTAAATATGAACCTCCCCAAACGGCATATATTGTATAAGCTGTGAATACATTGGACTGGATAGGTTAAGGAATAAATGGTGCAACAAGAACATGGAAGTCTATGAATACTAAGGATTTTAGATTCTATTTTGTGAGCAACAGGGAATGGCTAAAATTCTGAAGAAGAGTACCATGATTTGGTTTACGCTTTAAGAGAATGTAAACACTAAGAACTATAAATATGTGCCCTCCCTCCAAAAGCGAATGGGATCAAGAGATGGGTGGAGCAGAGAGGTAGGGAAGAGAAAGGGGGTGAAAAAAGCAATTAAGATGTATTATGTACACGTACCAACTCCCCAGAAAGAATATAAACATTACATACTATAAACATACTAATTTTAAAAAAAGAATAAACTGAAGGCTTATACACAGAAAATATAAAATAAATTCTTCAGGACACAAACCATCATCTTGCACTAGAAAATATACAAGTCAAAAATACCAAAAACCAAAAAAAGAAAGAAAAGAAAAGAACTGTAACAAGAGAATACTCTGAAAAATGAATCTAAGAAAATGTTATAAAGCTTCTGTAGGAGTTCAAGGATAGACAAAAACATAAGCTGAGTTGTTACCTTAATGCTAGAAGACTTTGAGGAGGCCAACATTTTCTCTGGGCTCTTAGATTTTTCTGCTTTCCCAGGCTTCTCAGTAAGCTCTTTACTGTCATTTGAAGATTTCTGGGCTTTATCAAAGATGTTAATTCCTAAGATCTGAGCCACTTTGTCAAGTTCAGATTGCTTCTTTTCTGCCTCTTCTGCTTCCTGCCGTAGCTCTGCAATATCCTTCATGATGTTATCTTGCAGCCGACTCATCTCCACCAGGAGTGGGTCTTTGTGACCGTCCTTCTCCCTTTGCTTCTTGCGTAGCATCTCCCCTGAGTATTCAAATGCCAATAGAAAAAAATAGGGGAAATTAAATGAGTCATTTTTTATTTAAAGTAATGACATATCAGGGCTTTATGGTTATAAACTCATTTTCCACAAAGGTTTCTGAGAACAAGTGAGACTCCCTTTCCATCTCATATGCAGGGGCAGGATAGTTGATCACATTATCCTTCCCGTAGGCTGACTGCTAAGCATGTATGAACAGGCTTCAGGGTTCCACCAACTCCCTAAATGGTATATAGACATCTGTGTGCATGGATCCCTAAAAAGATTAATAAATACTGTAATTATGAATACAGCAGCTGTTCTTTCTTCAGGGAGCCAAAATATTATTCAGAGGGTAAAAACATTAAAAGTCACACATCTTAGCTGATTTAAGGACACTACCAACTCCCATGTGAGTTTTAGTTTTTGCCTCAGGCTCACCTAATGTTATCCCCTATTTTAAATTGCAGGTCCTCATAGGCTGATCTTTGCAGAATAAATTTCTTATCCTTAAACAATTCAAACAAGCAATTTTATCATCTACTGTTATTTCATACTATCAACAAGCTGCAGTATTTAGAGGCCTTGTGACCATCTTTCCTTATTGTGTATAGTAATTCCTAAAAGCAGAGATGAAGAGATGGAATAAAAAGTAAGGCATCACAGAACATCCTGGGGCAAAAAGTAAGGATGTGCTCAAAAGTGATAAGGGGTTACTAAAAAGACATGGAGCCAGCTCATGAGGCCTTCACTAGCTAAATCTGAGACAATCTGAGCATGAAAATACATGATAAAGAAAGATTATAACCTGCTACTACTGAAGAATCTGTGAGTTCACACCGATATAAATGAGTACACAAATAGGAGTAGGGGTTGAAAAGTTCCTCCTTATGGTAGAAACCACCTAATAAAGGTAGAAGCAATGATGAAATTGGAAAATTATTTAATAATAATCGTAACATATTTGGGCAAGAATTATTAATGGATGTTAAACTAGTAGGTAGAAATCTGAGGAGTAACTGAAGTTTATATAACCTTAAAGTATCTCCCCTATAAAATACTTATTAATTTAAAAGGATAAAATAGTAACTTTATGGTGGAGAAACATGGCAGACACCAACATTAACCAAATGATCAAAGTTAACATCACCAGTAATGGAATAAATGAACACATGGAATAAACTTATCGCTTCCTTAATAGACCTGCAAAAAGTGAATACCCAAATTTAATTATAAGGAAACATCAGACAAACCAAAATTAAGAAACACGCTATAAAATATGCACCCTCTTCTCCAATGTCAATGTTATAAAACACAGGCTCAGGAGTGTTATTAAAAGATAGAAGACTAAAAGAGTCTATCAGCTGAATGTGATGAATAAGCCTGCATTTCTTTTGCTGTAAAGAACATTACTGGGGGGCTGGGGATTTAGCTCAATGGCACAGCGCCTACCTGGCAAGCGCAAGGTCGTGAGTTTGATTCCCGGTACCGGAAAAAAACCAAAAAAAAAACAAAAAAACAAAAAAACAAAAAACAAAAGAACATTACTGGGAGCTGGGCATGGTGGCACATGCCTGTAATCACAGCATTCTGGGAGGTTGAGGTAGGAGGACTGAAAGTTTAAGGCCAGCCTGGGCAACTTAGTGACTTAGACTTAGCAAGAACTTTTCTTAAAAATAAAACTAAGAAAGGGTAGGGGATGTATGTAGGTCAGTGCAAAGGCTCTAGGTTCAATTCCCAGCAACACACACACACCTGTAAGGATGCACGCACACACACAAAAATTACTAAGATAACTGGTAAAATACAAGTAAGACTGGTGGACTACATAATAGCACCATATTTGTTAATTTCCTAATTTTTATTAGTGTACTATGTGTTATGTATATATATTTTTTATTGATAGGAAATACATACTTAAATACTTAGGGTTAAACAACAGCCATTATCTATAACTTACTCTAAACAGTTCAGGAAAAAAAAAAAAACACACATAGACTGAGATAAAGAAATAAAAGACTAGAGCAAATGTAGTAAGATGTTAATAATCTGGGAAAAAAGTGCTTTCTTTATTATGGCTTCATGTATGGGGACAGTAAAGACTCTATGTCATAATTGTTTCTTTAAAGTGAGACTTTGGGTCACTGAACCTGCATGAGAGTACCAGCATGTCCTCTGTTCAAATCACTACAAAAAAGGCAGCCATACACAGCTGTCTGATACCTTGTTGTTTATGTAGCCGCTCCAACTCGGTCCTGAGATAGTACATTTTCTTCTGGCGGGCTTCCCGATCACTTTTCAGTTTTTCTCTCTCTTCAATAACCTACAGAGTACAAAATGGTAAGACAGTACCTCAGCCTCCAACATCCTTTTTCTACTATTCTCTTCCAGAAACCCTCATGCTAGGTATCTTAACCCAGAGATTAAATGCCTACACAATGAGGCACTGATTTTTTTTCCCCACAACATTCAACATTTTGGCCTTTATTTACATTTTCTATATTTCATACCAGAGAAACCATGCAATTACTTGAACATGTGTCTGGTTTATTTCACTTAAGAGTATGGTCTCAAGGTGCATTTTGTAGTCAAAAATGATACTTTATTCTGTTCAGATTCCAGAATAGAATTATCCTCCTTTTCAGAACTATACTACCCAGAAAGTGCTATTCTTATGTAGCAACCACCTAAAGTCACTGACGGTGACTACTAAACACTGCTTCTGAGCCAAAGGGAGCTGTGGAGAAGGAAACTGTGTCATGGGTGAGGCACTATAATAGTCATGTTTCATGTTATTGAATCCTTACATTTTCTGTTACAGTAAGAAAACTGAGCTGATATAAAGTTAACTTACCCGGTTACAGTGACAGATTTAAAATACAAGTATATTTGTCCTAAAGCTCATGATCTTTAAACTGTATTACTACCACCTACCAGAAAAAAAAATAAGGCTTGTCTCTGATAGGCCAATGAAAATAAATCTATGTGTTACCAGCTTGATTTAAGTGCTAGTCTCTTAGAGGGAAAGTAATGAGAAAGTTCTCAGTCTTCCAGACCTTCCTGTCTCTAAGGTTTTGTTTTTGGTTTTGGTTTTTTTTGGTCTTTTTCAGACAGAGTCTAGCTATGCAGTTCAGGCTGGCCTTGAGCTCACTTTGTAGCCCAGGCTGGTCTCCAACTCACAATGATCCTCCTGCCTCAGCCTCCCGAGTGCTGGGATTACAGGCGTGCACCACCATGCCTGGCTCTTAAGGTCTTAAGTTTTGTCTTTATTGAATCTATTTCCCTTCTTTCCAAAAAACACTTCAATAAAACTAAAGCCTAAAGTTCAGGGTATCTGAGTATAACAGAAAATTAAGAGGAAGTATTTTTTTGCCTTCAAAGGATTATCTATTTTTTATTTTTAATCTTGTCAAAAACAAGACTATGGGATACTTTAAGGTTCTTCTCTCCTTCACTCACTGTTCTCTAAGGCTATCAATATGGATTGAGAAATAAATATTGAAAAGTCTAACAATCTGAATGGAACTTATGGCCATACTTTGTTTAGCTATAAGGACAAAATACATGAGAAGATTAAGGGGCTGTTTACATTTACATAGGGTGATGACTGCACCCTCCACAGGACTTAAAGTAGAAGGCCCTTACAGATCTCAGCCCCCTCTAAAACACAAATTTCTGTTAAAATAAAAAACTCAGGCGTAAGACCCCCCGCCAAATGAATATCCACCTTCTGCTTCTGGGAGGCACGGTTCTTCTCATCGGAGATTTTCTCTGGGTTGTATCTTATGAGTGGTGGGATAGACACCTGGACAGGTACTTGGGCAGTAGGAACTGAGTCTGGCACTGACTCCTCCTGTTTGGGCTTGTCAGGAGTCACAGTGGGGATGACACGGAGGTTGGGACGGCTCCGAGAAGCTTGTTTGGTTAGTGGCATTATTCTATGAAGCTCAGGTAGAAGCGGGGTTGCTGGCTGAGATGCAGGGTACAAGGGCCATCTTGCAGCTGCATAGGCCATGTAGGACCTATAAGCATCGAAGGAGGCAGCAGGGATGGCTGGTCCCTGGTAGTTTGGAGGTATCCGAGCTGCGGCAAACTGAGAGTCCTGTGGCACATGAAACTGAGATAATGAAGCAGAGTGGGGAAGCCTAATTGGGGTAGAAGATGCGGAGGGCAATACACACCTGACTGCAACAGCTGACTGAAACCCACCACCAACTACCTTGGGTCTTGAAATATGACCTACTGGATGGTCAGATTTTAGGAAGGGAGGGCTGTGTTTTGTGAGTAGGTAAGGATCTATCGAGGAGGCTGAGTGTGGATGGGACCCCTCAGGGGAGTGTGCATTGCCACGGTGTGTCTCCCTGTCATCCAGTCTATGGGGATCTGAGGAGTACCGATCAACCGAGAAACGGCGGTCAACAGAGGAACGGTCTGCTGAAAAGTGTCGGTCAACAGAAGAACGCCGGTCAGTTGTGGAGCGTGATGATGGCTTCTTGCCGTGAAGTCGCTCTTGAGTGCGCACAGCCAGTTGACTAATCTCTGCTACTCCGATATCCAGCCCTATGGTCTTTAGCAAGTCATGAATCTTGGCATATTCGGGATTGGTCTCTTCTAGGGATTCCCCCTTTATAGCTGGAGATGAAGAGGGGAGGGAGCTTGTTTTCTGCCTTATAACTTCACTCTCAGAGTCCCCAGGGGCCTTTGGTGGGGACTCTGCCTTAAAGTCCTCTTCTTCATCCCCATAGAGAAATTTCTCCTCATCTTCAATGTCAGGAAAGCTTCGGCGTCTTTTCTCCTGTGTGCTGGTAGAATCCGCCAACATGCTCAGAATGCGGGAAAACCCACTTCCATCCTGGCTAGCTCTCTCATGGGGCAGTAAGAAGTCTGTTGGTCCCTCAGCCTTCAAATCCAGGTTTTCCTTGTGGCACAGAAAGCTTCCAAATTTTTCTCTGAGGGGACTGCTGTCTTTGGGCACCCCAGAGAGGGGACCCCATTGGTAGAGGTTGCCCTGAGGTTCTTTCAGGGCAGTCTCCACTGTTGTCTCCTTATCTTCAATCTCTGAGGCAAAAGCTGCAATAGCACCACTTAGTGGAAGAGGTGAGTGTCCAGCATGATCCTGGCTAGCGCTGGTGCTGCTGGAAAAACTGCCAAGCTGCAAAGACAAACATGACTGATTTAGACCCAAGAAGAATCTCAGGATATTAGTAGCTGGGATAAACACTTTAAAATCTTGTTCTTTCTGAATCAATAGAGGAGATACAAGTCTACGTAAATGAAGAGTGTCCTTAGCCAAGTTTGAGATATGGGTCCCCATCTCTCCAGATGTCTCTGCTCCAAGAAACTGAGGCAGACTGCATGGAATTCCCACTTTCACCCTTTTAAAAGTCTTTTTCAAGGAATCTGATTTCAAAAGGATTTTAGAGATCTCACAGCTTATTTTCATTTCTGTGGATCCCCAAAAGAAAACACATAAAAGTGGTGCTGCTTTAAAGTGTCAACAGTAATTCTAGACTTTTAACTAGATTAAGCAGGCACCACTTGCTTTTGTAAATACCCTCAGTAACTTCTTTGGAAGCCTTTACCTAGACTAGTGGTCTTGCCCAACCATCTTTTCATAAGAGAGGAATAAGAGTAAGGCACAGGATGATGAGGTAACTTATCTAAAAATCACACAGCAAGTTGATGGCAGAAGTGGGTCCAAAATCAGAATCACTTGCTTTCTGGTTTAGGATCCTACAACTTACACATTTGTTGTTTTTTTAAAAGGACATGAGGAAATTCAAATCACCTCCTCCTTTTGCCCTTTAAGTTTCATTTCCAAGAAACCCATATTCAAAGATTCCTACAAGACTATCATAAAGAAAAAACTTACAGTAGATAATCTCCATAATGTCTCTTTAGAAAGCCTAGAAATCTGACAATGGAAGCCCTCTATCAATCCATTATAAGACCCACAGTTTCACCTGGAGATTCCTATAAAGTACAGCTTACAGGTATAACAACATTGGCTCAGTACATATTACATATTACAAAGATACCTTTAGGAACACAGCCACCAGGAAAGTAAGATACCAGAGGGACTAGTAAGAGACTCTGGAAAATATGTTAACAGATACCTGTACAGAAGGTTCCATGTCCACCTCAATCCGCTTCTTCAGAATGGACTTCTTGGGCATCACAGATACTTCCTCAGGCCGATGCAAAGAATATCCGGGCTCCGAAGCTGTCAGGGCACCTGATAATCCAGGAATAGAACAGCTATTGCCACCATCATCTTCTCCCACAAGCTCCTGACTCAAGCTCCTACTTCGTTCCTCTTCCTCTCGCTTTCTCCTGGCAAGGTCCAGCTCTCGAAACTCAGGGTCTAGAAACCTAGGACTTGGGCTTCGTCTGCGCTGCCGATAGTTTCGAGTCCCGGAAGTAAAAGCTGGGTGATCCCCTCCCATGCTGTATATCTTCTCTGTATCATCATAACGGGGCCTTTTGGCCTCCCGGCTCCTTTCTTCAGATCGGACAGAGTAGGAGCTTTTGAGTTTGTCTCTAGTCCGTTCTGTTCCCCGCAATAGCTCATCATGACAACTGATATGGGGACTATAATCAGATCGATGCAGGAAAGTCTCTCTTGTTCTGTAGTCCTCATCAAATTGTCCCAAGAAGGGACTAAGAGGCTCCTCTTCCCGGGAAATATATCGCTCAAGACCCCGAGAGCACTGGGAGCGTCGAGTGAAGATAGAATCATCTATCAGGTCATCCCTGAGGAAAGAGACAAGCATCACTAAATATAATGGTCTTGGAAAGGGTAAGACTAGACAAGGCTGAAACTGTTATTTGGCTAGTGAACTACAGAATGTTTACGACAAAAGATAATAATCATGAAATCTAAGAAGAGATCTATGCAATACATGCAACATTTCCCCTCCCTTTCCTCAGGGGGACAAGCAGTTTCAGCCTCTAACCAGGGGTTGATCTTACCAATACATGTAGACAGAGCTCTTATGCTAATTTCTTTGATTACACTGGGAAAGCAGATTATCATATTAGGATTTGGGAGATGTGAAAACACCAATAACAGACTATAAAGATTCTCAGGTTTACACAACTCTAGAGTAACTAAATTCTAGCTCTTTGCTACCAAATGTGTAGTCAGGACCAGCACCACTGGCATTAAATGGGAACTTACTAGAAACACAAATCCTCAGGTTCTGCTCACTATAGCCAGAGCTTCCTTGCTTGCTTCCTTCCTTCCTTCATTTTTGGTATCGGGAATCAAACTCAGGACCTTGCACTTGCCAGGTAGGCACTGTGCTGCTGAACTACATTCCCGGCCAGAGCTGTATTTTAACAAGACCTGCAGGACAGCACCTGTTCTCCAGGTTCAAAGTGTGAGGAATATCAGTTCACAACAATGGTTTTTAAACTGTATTCCGCAGAGATTTTCAAAAATGCTTAAGAGTTCTCTACAGGAAAAAGGTGCTAGGAAAACAGAACCAGAAGACTCTCAGCCTTCCACCCCACTTACATCATGACACGAGCCCCAACTTCATGATGTCTACATGTTCAAGTTCTATATGATATTTCACTTGGGAAAAGTGAGTATGATTTGGGGGGGGATGTTAAAAACCCACAAAACTGTTTTCTCACCCTTTTTCTATCTCACCTGGATACTCACAAGCACTCTGCTAAGTTTTGACCCAAACAGAGATGATGGTTTGGCTATGTTTTTATTTCACAGAAATACAACAGTTTCAGATCTCTGTGGCGTGAAGGAAAAAAATACAGGATAAGACAACTGTCCTTTCAGCCTAGAGCTCTGCACCATACACACTGATCTAACCTTTTTGGGCACTGTGGCCATACAGCATCTATGACCAAAAAAAGAAATTTAATCACAGATAGAAATAAAGATTCTCTACTACTTTAAGCATGTAACTTTTTTTTTTTTTTTTTTTTTTGTCTTTTTGAGACAGAGTTTCACTATGTACTTCAGGCTGGCCTTGAATTCACTTTGTAACTGAGGGTGGCCTCAAACTTATAGCGATCCTCCTGCCTCAGATCCCAGTGTAAGCATAAAGCTTTCAAACTATCTGAGTGAAAAATGGAAATTCTCCCATGTTACTCATGTTCAAGTGAATTTCCATGTAAATGGTGGCAATTATTGCCATACTATTTTTAATTGCTACTTTGCATGCATGCATGTTTCTAGAAGTTATTTTTTTATAAATAGTCGTTTTACTACCTCTGAGACTATTTTAGCAGAACAGCAAGAAGTTGCATTTTCTTATCCACCAGTGCTGCCTTTGTCCAAAGCTACAAAGTAATTTGGCAAAAGCTACAAATTACTTTATGAAAGGCTATCAAGGTTAAACTTTCTCACATCCACTGAAAGAATGCTGCCTGTAGAAATCCAGATTGGAATTTAGGGAATTCTGAGGTCACAATATAGTATGAAGTAGGAAGGAATGGGAATGTACCAAGGATGATCTCTTAAATGAAACGTAACTGGAGAAAAATTTTTACTCTGTAGGTCTATCAGTCATGTCCATACCTACCTTCCAGGGAGGAATAGCCAAGAGTTGAGTTGCTCCACCACTAAAATACCATCTACCATACAAAAATAGGCTACATGGATAGGGGCAAGTTCATCCATGCTTTTATGGTCAGCTCCACACTAAAACTATTATGCAGATTAAAAAAAAATAATAATAATAATAAAAAGAGAATATCAGCCCATACCCTAATCCAACACTAAATGTCAAGAAGCTAGGAATAAGATGGCTCTCAGGAAGCCTCAGTCCAGATGTGGAAACTCCAGCAAAAGAAGACATATAATTAAAGGAGGCATATAAGTAAGTTTTTTGCTTTTTTGTTTTTTTTTGTCTTTTTGAGACAGGATCTTGCTATGCAGTTCAGGCTGGCCTTGAGCTTATTTTGTAGCCCAGGCTGGTCTCGAACTCCCAACAATCTTCCTGCCTCAGCCTCCCAAGTGCTGGGATTACAGGCATGCACCACCACGCCCAGCGCAAATAGTTTTTTAAACTGTCACATAAATACAATCAGAAATCGGGGTGCGGGGCTGGGGATTTAGCTCAGCGGCAAAGCGCCTGCCTGGCAAGCGCAAGGTCGTGAGTTTGGTTCCCGGTACCGGAGAAAAACCAAAAAAAAAAAAAGAAATCGGGGTGCTTATTAGAAGCTCAGGTCTTCTTTCCACAGGACTCCTAAGAAGTAAGAGAGAAAACTAGATGGAATAAAAACATGCCCTAGGAAGTACCACATCTCTTGTAGACTGAGGAGTCCAATGATGGACACTCTCTAGAAGTCTAGGTTAAATCCAACTGTTTTCTAATATCAAGTCTCTTTTAAAAATTGACTGCTAGATATAGATAATAACCACACAAGGGTTCATGGTACTACTCCATTTTTTGTGTTTACCAATTTCTATTAAACAAGTTAGAAAATGTCGGGCTAGGAGTGTAGCTCAGCAGTAGAATACCTGCCTAGCATGCACAAGGCCCAAGCTTCAATCCTCATTACCACCAAGGGAAAAAAAAGGAAAAAAAGTACATTAAGTCCATATATGAGCTTATACACTAATGTTCACAGCAGCATTTTTTTGTTTGTTTTGAGACAGGGTCTCACTATGTAGTACAAGCTGTCCTTGAATTCACTAGGTACCCCAGGCTGGCCGCTAGCTCACAGTGATCCTCCCGCCTCAGCCTCCCAAGCACTGGGACTACAGGCGTGTGTTACCACCCCCAGCTTAGCAGTATTATTTATAATAGCCAAAAAGTTAAAATAACCCAATGCTGTCCACACATTCACTACTGATAAATACACAAAATGTGGTTATGCATACAATGAAATATTATTGGCTATTAAAAGGAGTGCTATACATATGAATAAACCTTAAAAACATTATGCTAAATGAAAGAAGCCAATCACAAAGGACAATATAACATAGGATTCTATTTATATGGAAATGTCCAGAATAGGCAAATCTATATAAAGAGAAAGAAGATTAGGGCTGGCACTAGGGTGAATAATAGCTGAAGGTGCTAGGTTTCTTTATGGCATAACAAAAGTGTTATAAAATTGAATGCACTGGTGGATGCACAACCCTGACTATACTAAAATCTTCTAAATTATACACTTTATGAGGGGAAATTATATGATATGTTAATTATATCTCAATAAAATGGTTAAAAATATATATAATTTCTTTAACAAGATCCTTTATGGGGCCAGGGATTTAGCTCAGTGGTGCAGTGCCTGCCTGGCAAGCATAAGGTCTTGAGTTCGAGTTCTGGTACTCCCTAAAAAAAGGTTCCTTTATGGCTAAGAGGTATAGTTCAAGTGACAGAGCACTTGCCTAAATGCCCTAGGTTTAATCCCCAGCACATAAAAAAAGAAGTCCTTCAGAGCCTATATTTTCCATTCTTTTTTTTTTACTGAGTCCTCAAAATGCCCTAAAAAAATTGTCTGCTTGTGTCTTTTCCCTAAGCAAATCAAGGGGAAATATATCCTATTTCATCAAACTCTATCAGGGCCAGCAGGAGTCACGTGATAGAATTTCATGATTGCAATGTATACTGTACAGAGTACTTTGATATACAGGAGAAACTGGCCTCATATCCACTAGTCTTTTTTTTTTAATTTTTAAATTTAAAAATTTTTTTCCACTAGTCTTGAGAAACTCAGTCTCTTAGAATTTTTCATATAACCTGTTAATGCTCCCTTTTTGAACAAGTTGTAGTCAGCTAGGGGACTGCTGAAGAAAAATACTAACAACCCTGGTAACTTGGTTGTCATCCAACTTGATACAATAAACTTAACAGACTCAATAGGAAAAGGAATACACTATACCCCTGCAAAGTCATGGTTCAGAGCTTGTGACCTCAGTAGTTCCAAGATTTTTCCTTCGAGTTTAACCAATAATTGTTCTTGAAAACCCCTGCAATTTCATGGAAACTGCAAATATCCTCTGCAATTAGTTTTTTGGTGGGAGATTTGCAAGTAGCCAATCTGAGAGCATCAGTCAGTTCTCCTTACTGCTGACTGGTTGCTGCCCTGTAACCCATCTCAGGCAGTTGCACCAACATTCCACATCTTAGCAGGTTGCTGCACCACATGTAGCTATTGAGGGGTCTCAGTTTTGCTCTTCTTAAAGCTCTGAGATCCCTAAGATGCTGCCAAAACATTTTGCACCTTCTAAGGCTCTATCAATACAGTATTTTATTAAATTACATAACTGTGGGAGACATACCATATTTAGGGTTTAAAATATAGGCTTTTTTTTTTTTAAATCATATCTGAAATTTGCAGTTTTTCACAATTCGCGGGTGCTCTAAGAATATAACCCCTGTGAATTTTGGGGGCCCACTGTATTAGGGTCTCATGAAAAAGAAAATAAACATCTATAAGGGCTAGAAATGGCCCATTTGATTAGTGGAAGATGAGACTCACTGTTGAGACATCCTGAATACGCCAGTGGTGCCATGGCCTGGTGTTAGTAGACAGTAACTCCCCACAAACCATACTGAGAAAGTGCAAAGGAACACAAATGTGGAGGTGGTAGAAGAGAATGAGTCCATTGAGAACCTTAATCTCACTTTTTCTGAAAATTGGGTCTCTCTAAAACACATGCTTCTAAAAAGATGATTAATTACAGTCCTAAATTTTCATAACTTAAAAAGACAACCAATTATCTGAAGCTCATAATAAAGTGTGTACAGAAGAGAGGTGACATCCTAGGCCTAACATTCTAGGGAATGCTTAAGATCCCTCAAAACTTCAGCACGAGGCCAGGTGTGGTGGCCAGGCTGAGGCAGGAGGATCGTTGAGTTTGAGACTAGCCTGGGCTACAAAGTGAGCACTCAAGGTCAGTCTGAACTGCATAGCGAGACCCTGTCTCAAAAAGACAAAAAAACAAAACAAAACGAAAAACCTCAAGGAAGGCAAAGAATCACACCTCATGCACTACCTACCCAGACTGCCTACTCAATCATATCTCAAAATAGAAGCCACCGGAAGGGCAAGAACTATTGTCTCCTCAAGTATACAGTTACATACCTTGAAGTCCTGTTCTCAGAAGCCACAGTGTGTAGGACACACAACTACCCTGCTTTGCCTCACTGTGTCTGCAGCCTCTGGAGCTTTAAAGTGAGTATTTCCAAGAGCAGCACTATCCTCAGACTTCCTGCCGAGCTGTCCCCACCTGCCCACTGTGCTCTGCACACTACTGAACAAATAGCCTTGGTATGAAAGACCACTTCTTTGATCTCTGCTACTGCTAATCATTTGTGGAAACTCTCAGTATGCAAGCAGAGACCATAAAAGACACAGTCTCAGCCCTGCTTTCCAATCTTTATCTTCTGACTTTTTGAGGTGAAAAACACCTAATGAGATTATTTATTTCCCATATACAGTCAACTTCCTAATACCTGAGGTCTATATTTCATGCTGTGGAGTCTATTTGGTACATTATTTGTCAACTACTATTCAATAGTTGTAAATAATTGAACATAAACATTTTTGAAGAACTCTAACTCTTCACCACTGCTTATATGCTTAATATATATATATTATATATATTATCAGACATATCTAAACCTTGTCTGAATCAATATTTGACCTGTACAAACTTCTTTGAATTAGATTTTATTGACACATTTTAGAAATACATAATCACATTCGTCATAGAGAATTTGTACCTGTACATGACATATCTTGATTCTCTTTTTCCCATTCCCCTACCCTCCATTCAACCCCTCCTCCCCTCTCCATTTACAAAAGCTTTGTTTTCATGTTTTCCTTCTTTTCTCATTTTTTTTTACTTATCCCTTCTTTCCTTTCCCCTTCCCCCCCTCTCTTGTTCCCCTCCACATCTGAACATTTTTTTCCTATTTCACAATAACTATTGTGTATTTTGGTGCTTATCTACACTTTTGGTTTCTCACACCAGAGAATCTAGGTAGTATTTACACATATGTCCAGTTTATTTCCCTTAAGAGTATGGTCTCAATGGGACCTGCACAAACTTTAAAAACGTTTTTAAGAAAATCTTTCCTGCAGTCAGGCATGGCAGCACATGCCTGTTATCCCAGCAACTCAGGAGGTTAGGGCAGAAGGATCACAAGTTTGAGGTCGGCCTAGGCAGTTTAGCAAGACCTTGCTGCAAAATGAAAAATAAAAAGGGCTGATGTAGCCTAGTGGCAGAACACATTTGGGTTCGATATCCAGTTATCACCAAAAAAAAAAAATTCTCCAAATCTTTGCATAAAGGACCCCTCATGGTTCTAAATATTTTAGAATCCATGTTATTTCAATTAATTTTTTTGCTTTGAGGACTCTGATTATAGCCCCTCACAGCCCTGTTTCTAGACATACCAAGATGAACTTTTTAAACAGTCTCTTCCTTGTAGAATTCATTCAGAAACAGAGTTTATGTCGATACATTCTCCTCTTAGAAAAGTCATACTTTGTCCTGGACACAGGGATATTGGGAATAATCTCAGTGTTGGCACTGTCCTTTCAAAGACATCATTCAGAAAACAACATTTCTGCCTTTTAGGATGGTACAGTGCACCTGCCCTAGGGGAAGCCTACCTGTCCATGTCTTCCAGATTATCCACTGGTGACCCCAGCCGATCATTAAGGTGTCGCCGTTCTGGTGTGCTAACACAAAAGTGGTCATTGCCAACAGTGATCCTTAAGCTCTGTTCCACAGAAGAGTCAGAACGCAGACCAGGAGAGCGTCTCTACAAAGGTAAAAGTGTCAACATAGTCAACAGATTGCTATAGCCAAAAATGTTCTCCCTACTCATAACACTGTGGTCCAACAAGGTAAGAAATAGCTATGATAAGAAACTATCCCCAAATAAAACATTTTTTAAAATTATCATTTCCTTAGAGATAAAAGCCCATACCTGTAATCTTCCCAGTGACCTCTCATTTTTACTGGGTATGGGAACAGAGCAGTGAATAAAATCCTTGCTCTCAGAACCTATGCACTTCTAGTTAAGGAGGCTAGCCAAAAACAGGTATGTTTTTTCCAGTGCTTCTCATCGTGGTAAGTGCTAGAGAGTCATGAAAAGAAGGCACCAGGAAAGACTGAGGAAAAGGACAGGACAGTTAGAAGCTTCTCTGAGGTGGCATCATTTAACCCAGGAGACAGAATGAGATGTCAGCATTGCGAAGAAACACAAGGGTGTTTCACACAAAGTGAAAAAGCACCTGGGTAATGTGTTTGGTGTGTTTTGGGCAATGAAAGTCTGGTATGGCTGCAGCAAGGTGAGAGAAGACAGAAACCACAGTTGGGATTTTCCCCCTCTGGTACCCAGGAACAAATGGACTGAGCTCTGCCACTAAGCTACAATCCCAGGCCTTTTTTATTTATTTATTTATTTACTGACGGTGCCTTGCTAACAGACTTGGTGATCTTTCCGCCTCAGTCTTCCTCAGTGTCGGGGACGGGTTGTATGTTACCATGCCCAGTTTATATTAGGAAACTTTATCCTAATATGATAAGGATTTTAAGTAAGAGTGTGATTTGACGTTTTCCCTCCAGATAGTCTGCATTGCCCACTCCCTCCCCTTCTGGTATTTATTCAAGTCACCTTCTCAGAAGACCTTCCCTGGCTACTCTATCTTAAAAACTTTACCTCCTTCCTTTCTCTGCTTTATTCTGTCCTTATTACCTACTCACATTTAACACATCAAGACATTTCTAACCTCTCCATCTTATCCACCCACACTGCTAAGACTTTAAACTCCATAAGGACAACTCTGGTTTGTTCACCCTTATGCCGAATACATGGCAGATGCTCAATAAACACTTTTCAAGCCTATAAAGTCAGTTTTAAAAACCATTTTGATTACTATATACAGAGTAAACTAGAGGATAGCAAAAGTAGGATGGAAAGGAGGCACCTGAAACCATCCTGAGAGGGAAGAAGTAAGTGTGGACCACAGTGATAGCATGAGGATAGCTTGGGCATGCCACTTGGAGGTACAGCTAACCAGTTAGACCCATGAGGTCTGACATGTTAGAAGTGGGAAGAAGGGACATGGGACAGTTTCTGCGTTGAACAAGGGACAGTACCATTTATGATGATATCATTTACTGAGACAGAGAAGACCCAGGCAAATAAACTACGTTGGGGCAGAAAACAGAGATTGCGAAAACAAATATTCTTTCTCCTGCTGCAGTGACTGGCACAGCTCAGCTTTAAAACCTCAAAGGGTAGTAAGTCAATCTGCCTGTGACCAAAGGACACAGAAAACTTGGACACTCTTAAGAGAGCTCCTCAAAAGAACAGACATTTTTGCCACTGGGTGAAAAGAAGACTGATGAACTGAAAATAGAAGCAGAATCCCAAACGCCAGCACTGCGAGGCTCTGCTGAGCAAGTCGGGGTCACATCTACCTTCTTTCCCTGTGCTGGGGTCGGGACCCAGGAGCCCACAGCTCAGCCGAGCACCCACCCCCGAGCTACACCCCAGCCCCACACCCCAGCCCCGCGAGTTCGCCTCTAACCTCACGCTTCGCCGCTAGCAGTGAACCTAACGGTGCACACTGGGCTGCTGGACCGGTCGGACGGGACCGAATCACAGCTCCGCCACTGCTCGGCGGCGTCAGCTCGGCCAGGTCACTCGGCCTCCCCGGCCGGGTCCTTAGCCGTGCACGAGGGGCCGACTGCTGCACCTCGTCAGGGGTCGCACAGCGCCTGGCCCGCCGACAGCGACCGCGGTGGCGCGTCACCCCTCGCAAGTGCGGCGTCTCCAGGTCGCCACCCCGAGGCCCTGACAGCGGCTCCCGGGACCCTCTCGGGAATGGCGGGCTCGCGTGTGGCCCCAGCCCCGCAAACTTTCCCGCACCGCGGCCGCGGCCTGGGACCGAGGCCGGCTTTGTGCGGTGCGCGGGGCCCCTCCCGGGAGGGCTGGCATTACCCGGCTGCCGCTGTCGCCGGCGTGGTTCCCGCGGCCGTCCCGGGAGAAATCGGCGCGCGGCTCGCCGCGACTGCTGCCTCTGAAGCCTCCCGGGCCCGGAGGAAAGAGTCGGCGCCCCCGCGGAGGG